TAATAATAATAATAATAATAATAATAATAATAATAATAATAATAACAATAATAATAATAATAATAATAATAATAATAATAATAATAATAATAATAATAATAATAATAATAATAATAATAATAATAATAATAATAATAATAATAATAATAATAATAATAATAATAATAATAATAATAATAATAATAATAATAATAATAATAATAATAAGTATAAGTATAAAATAATAAATAATTACATCTTACTTATATTTCTCTTCTCTCCTTTTTTATAAAGTGTTGAAGCTTTTATTAGATATTGATTTTGTGTTAAAAGGAATAGAAGTTACCGGTACTAATCACGTGTCGTGATTAGTAATACGGTTACCTAAACAGGCTAGATTAGACGAACCATAAGCAGGCATATTGGTCCCCTCCGAGGATACCAAGAGGAGATTAATATGCCTACAGACGTAGTAATATAGTCAATATAGAGGCCTCTTCCACCCAATCTTTTAATATTTTGTATCTTTTAGTTCATTTATGTTACGACGGGCTACACAACTACCAAGACACGTGATCAAAAATGATCAGTAGTGATCATTAAGGATCACTAAGGATCCCAATATAGGTGATCACTGATGATCATGAAGGATCACCAGTAATCATAGAAGCATGAAGGACTATATAATCAAGATGGATTTCCTTTGTATAGAGCTTCGTGCTCAAGATCAATCATTTAGTATACTCTACTATTAGTTACGAATTGCATTATTGTCATTACTTTAAGTCCCTGCTTGACGCCTAGTTATAAACCATCTCGAGAGCCTAGAGCACTTCCACGTGATCTAGACGGCAAACCTCGTAACAATTTATTATTATAAAAATACATACATATTTCTATTGATTGCTAGATCAGGGGTATCAAATCAGAGCTTCATTATCATTACAATATCGTTCATCCACTTCATCCATTATATATCATCCCAACTATGACCTAGGTCGCACCTAGTTAACCTACCTTTCATGACTTACACCCACTATATACTTTACACCCCCTGCGCACCTCGCGCTAGCTATATACCCACGACTCACTCATGGTGATGCAATGAGAAGAACCGGATGGTTATTGCATCTATTTATTTTTCAGAAAAGTGATATTCAGGTACACTATACCAGCCGGTATAGATCCATCCTATCGAAGATCACAATAAACTCATCTCATCAACTCGATCAGATTAACTACCTCTTCACCATCTCACCACCTCATCATCTCGTTACATTAGAATCTAATAGCCTCCATCAAATCTTCTCATCCACATCTATCAACAAATATTAATCCTATCCCATCATAGGACTCCCGAGATAACAGGAAAAAATTAAAGATCTACTCCCCAAAACCTCGAAAGATCATAAAATACTCTGTATAAAAGAGTTGGAAAAAAAAAAAGTTTTGCAAAGGAATTCTGTTTGAAGAAAAAACTTTATAGTTCATGCGATTATAAATACATAGAATAAAATCTTAAAATTACAAGATGAAATCTGAGAATTCTATTAAAGACTGAAGGTGTGAAGTAATTAATAATCTGTTGATATGAGTTTAAATCTTTAGAATAACAATAAAAAAACGAATATAAAAAAAAACTAGACTTACGTTTTATATTTTATATAAATCCGACGAGATATATTACACATGATGCATTTATTTATATATAATAAAAATTTCTCTTTCTGAATAATCCAACTCTTTCCCAACTTAAAGTTAGCTCGAGACACCAAGATCATCCCTCTATCTATTCATTCATTTATCTATTCATCAATGCAATATATTAAAAACCTCACAGAGATAAGATAGATTTAAAATCACCCAGAATTTGAACGATGTCGTTATAATTTCCAACTCACAGCTTACCACCTTCAATCTTTAATTTTATAAATCTTGAATATTATGTCTATATTCTTAAACAATATAAAATCATGTATCAAAAAACAAATTACTTAAATATACTATCAGATAAGTAAATAAATAACAAAACAATTTTTATTTATTTAATAAAAGATTTAAGAACCATCGGGAAAAGAAACCTTCCCTCTTCCCACCTCAAGCAAAAATATACAAGGTATAAAAAACTCTCTACTTTCTATTCCATATTCTATATCCCATATTCCAATATTCATACTTCCCAAGCAACACCTCATCCACCAGGACGAAGAAAAACCTTCCTATGGCCAACACCACTCCCCCCCAATTAAGATCTTATGTACATTCTATCCCAGATTCCCAAAGTATAGCTAGGTTAATCAATCCTCACTACCTACCTACCTACCTACCTACCCACCATCAACAGCATATTGATATATCCAAACACCGAACTCGGCGATTATAGTCATAGTCATAATCATAATCAAAATATCACACTCACTTACATCGCATATCCTAATCCCTTGAGCCCCGGCCCTCTGCACGCTCATAATCACAATCACAATGATATTAGTGATCACATCTGTGAAGTAAAATGCTAGCATAAGTATAAATTATAAATCATAAATTATAACACTGATCAAATCCATAACCATAGAAACCATCTACCCACCCACCGCACCACTTCCTCACTCCAATCACGCAATACCATATGTTCTGCCAATCCCCAAGATGAAGCTGTTTCAATTTCCCCTCAAAAAATAGCTTCGAGCTCATCACCTCTGATACACTCACTCACACAAGAAATAGTACCAATAATCATCTTACTACTCATACACCTCCTATCCACATTCCCACTTGATGTTCAAAAACCACCCAAACTCTAAGGATAAAAATCCTCATCACCCACTTCGTAGCTTCCCACCAATTTCCCCGCCCCCAATCAAACCGCGCGTCTAATCAACCTACAACCTACTGACACCGCGTGAAACCATCGAATAATTGGACAATTAAACCACAAAACTAACCATCCCAACTTTTCAGTGCCAATACAGGAAATAATGCGAAGAATGACTTACATTTTCTGCGACCGAAACAAACATTTTCCCATCCGCTCCTGGCGGACGTTATAATTTCTACCGTGATTCCAAGCATCCGGCATGAAACACCTGCATTTATTGGAAATTGAGAGATTCATTCCTAGGTGCGGATTTAGGTAATGTGATTGAAAGAGCTTAAATCAATTAAATACGAGAAGTTTTCCGATACTTGGGTAGTTAGACTCATTATTTTACTTGCTGTGCCTAAAAAATCGATGACTTGATTGGAGAGAAAGATGGGTTGTGGGGAAGTGAGTTGGAATATGTGATAGTGAAGGAGGTTGCACAAGGGTGAGATGTGGTCGCATAAGAGGTCTGAGGAAGTGGATAGGATATGTTAGTGCTGATGAGATGGGATGAACGTTTTTGAGGAATGGAGAGATTTTGGTGGGAAATGGAGACGGGAAAATTTTCTGGGAAAGAATGATACTTTTCTCTCATGATGCAATTATCACTAGGTAGCCGCTGAGCCTTTTGTCGCCGTTCGAGCGACTTTATAGATGATTTAAAAGCCTGATTATGCAGGATTGAAAGATTGAACGGCTGATGAATAAAGTGATAAACGTATACTATGTATTCAAGAGTGTGATGCAAATCAGACTATCTTTCTTGAAGCAGATTGAAAATGGTGTTATTCATGCAGATGTATAAAGATATATCAAGAATGTAGTCATGATCACAATCAAGCTAATTCGTAATGGAGAAACAGATGTTAAGAATTTACGAACAAGTAGGTTCTCTAAACTTTCTCGTTGGGTTTTTGATTGAAGACTTTCACACAAAGCAGTGCCAAGACTAGTTGACGCTGAGATACTTGCAAACTTATCGCTTTCGACATGCAAGAAAATACAAAACCAGCTATTAATTTCGAGACACGAAAAAGAAATGGAGTTCATTCAAAGAAATGTGAAGTCATATTCTCCCGATTTGTTAAGTCGATGAGAGAAGTAATGATCAAAATTAGCAGGTGGAAAAGGCGTGTACCGGTGTCTCCTCTTAGGACCTCAACCCATTGATTTATGTACTAATCTCCATCCTTATGAGTCCATCATTTTCATGAGATTATCATGAATGAACCAACTATGCAGTAGAATCAAAGAGCGGTAAAAAAGACTTGCCATAAACCTCGGTTCGATTCGAAGAATGCCAATCGAGAGTCAAGCCATAAGTGGTTGGCGACGGCGCAAAAATGCCAATGAAATACGCCGTTTGTAAGACGCCCATCTAGCTATTTTACGCTAAAGTACCGTGATGGAAGAGGCGAGTGTTTCTCCTATCTTTCGTTAAAAAAAAATAGTCAATTGTTTGACCAAAGAAAGCTATGACTCCCGAATTGCCGACAGGAATTCGAATATGAACTATAACGAGTCAGCCAAATGAGGAATACTAATCCAAATTTTTCGAAAATGGAAACTGAGCAAGGATCTAAGCAGAAAATCTCCTGAACCAAAATCTCAATTCGAGTTGTCTCCGAACTTAATCCACAATGCGAAGATCTTGTCTCCTTTTCTGGCGAAACTCGCGCCAACAACCACAAAGCCAACAAGGCACTTCCATTCTCCACTGTGGGCTCAGCCCCAAGTACGAGATGTCGGTACATGGGTGTATCATGGTGGACGAGCAGAAGTGCCATTGAACCACGGATTTGGAATAATTTCATCACGTGACGTTGAGCTGACCGTAGACTGAGGCAGACGGGCCTCATTTTGGGCCGCGAGAGTCGAGATGGTGTGTTGATTCGATATCCTGTAATGTTGGCTCTCTGCAAGGGCGGATTACCTTTTACTAATGACGAAACGGCTGAGAGGGCTGATTGTACGGATGTACGGCTATACAGTAAGAAAGCACACACATGCTTTAATACAAACGACGTTTCCATCGCAGTATGGCAGAATTTTCCGCAGAACGATACCTGGAAAGGCAGAATAAAGCTTGACAGCCAAGATATGCTTTTCTTTCCCATCCAGGACTATATGGGTATAATCCGTTTTACCATGCATCACGCTGAAAGTGTGATTGAGATTTATGAGTATTCTAGATGACGAAGCTCCATAATGATATCTTCCTCTAAGTCTATCTTATCCACGAAATTGCAGGGCATATTGTGAACGAGAATTAGCCATTGCCTTCGGATGTATGCACTGGTGTTACGCGACATGTAGCTATGTGTATCTCATTTTGAAAGGACGGTCATGGGTGGGATAATTGGTGGAATCCTGACAGATTTATTGGATGAAATGAAAATCATCCGTATCTCCTTTTCTAAGGAATCCAGATCCCGAATCCGAGTTTTTGCCAATTTCAGGATGGATCAAGGCTAATATGGAGCCAGCAAGAGAAGGATGTGATGAGCAGGTAGTGATTCAAAGATTTCCACGGTTCAAGCCTCTGTGCGTGCCCTTAGTAATATAATTGAAACATGTCGGAAAGAAGCTTTACTCCCTTTTGCCTGTACTTATTCCTGAGGCTTCGTTTCATAGGGTAAGTGAGTGACATGAGCTGTAGTAGTGGTAGTAGTGGTAGAAGTGGTAAGTACGCTCGCTGTCTACTCTCCTGTGGTTGATTTTCGGAGTTCGGAGGCTAAGATCGAAAAAGATTTTGACCTAGGATATGTTAGACAAGGGAACCCAGTCAAAGCTCGAGTGTCTAATTCGCATTTTGTGTTCGGTTCTTTCCTAGTCGATTTCGTTCTGACTTTTTTGACCGCTTCCGTCTAAAATAGTCAATAAGCAGGTAGGCAAATTGCAATATGGAGAAAACCCTTCCCCGGCTCTTGCCCGTCTAAGAAGTAGCTCCATATTGAAAGCCAAACCTTGCTCACCTTCTTGTACTACCATCACTTGACGCGGTGGTGCTTACAAGGAAAATACAAGGATATCGGACAGGGAGCTCCTCGTTTCGATTTTTTTCCTTATTATCCTTGTTATCCCGTGGACGAGATGTCAATTATCATGCCACCGGCGTCTATTAGTCGCCTCCAATTCGTTGTGCCGCCAAAGAACAGACGTCACACATGAGGTTCCTAGAATTTTGAGGTTACCCAGTGGCTATCACATTGCTTATCGAAGAGGGATGTCGATTAATCAGATCAACATCGTAATGTAAGTTCAGCCAAGTATTATAGACTGCATTCTGTAGGTAGCAAGGCAAGGGGAGTCCAAATCGGACTTTGAAAAGCTCGATCGAGTCAAGAGCCTGTACGAACCCTTTCGAAGAATTAGTAAATAATCTTTCGTATCTGACAGCGGACACGGCTGTGGGTATCCGTCGTCAAAATAACATGACGTCGGAACCCTGCAGAACTAAAGTCCTTGTGGCCCCTTGTGACTTGACAGAGTGTCGTGGGGGGAGGCTAAGCAGCTCTGTGATGAACCAAGCATGTTAAGTTTGAAGCCGTTCAATTGTGGAGTCATGGAATGCCTTGGTGCAGGTCGGAACGGCCGAGGTGCGGGCCGATACCGATTGAAGACTGGAATATGACTTGCTTCACATCACTGATATCAGGGGTTTCCAGTAGATAGGTCTGCTTGTGTTGTCCGAATCCTGGTCCGTATTTTGATGGCCCGTGACTGCATATATTCGTTACATAGTAATCATCTTTAAGAAGGCCGAGATCCTTCTTTAATGCGGTGAAGCAATCGAAACGTTGATTAAAAAAGAAAAAAAAACAAGCGACGCAAAACACATCCCATCATCACCACTAATTTGTCATCTTTTGGTTGTTGAAGAAGACTCGAGTCTTACCGGCGATCTGTACCTGGTGTATCCCAAACCAACCCGTCCAGAAGACTGCCCAATTTAGTCGCAAGGTCTTCCTTCGACAGACAAAATTGCCGTTTTTGTGATCATACTCATGGATAATTTTTTAGATGAGATATGGAAAAGGAGAAAGTCGAGACGTTGCCGCGAAAGTGCATGGCATAACGGCGTTTCTGCCAATAATGGTAGAATTCAATCAATCACGCATGTAAAAGTCCGGCCACCTGCGGATGTAAAATGATTCAGCTGTAGGGCAAAGTTGTACTAATTGAATTAGTACGAACTGCGAGCTGATGAGAATGTTGGTGATCAGTCCTCGAGGGACCAATTGTAACCATGATCGCGGCAAGTTAATGTTGGTAAACGTTGGACTGACCCTAGAGACGCATGCGAAAGAGGATTAGAAAATATGCAGAATTGCGGCTGTTGAATGGAATGATGAATTGAAAAAGTGATGTAAGAGGGGGAAAAGAGTTAGCAATTAATTATTTGTTTCGAAAATAAAAGAAATGTTTGAATTGTTGGATTGATTTTGGATGTTGAATTGTTTTGGGTGTCTGCCGAGTCTCCCAAGTCTCCCAAGTCCGTCAGCAAACATAGACTGACGGTTGATAGCGGACATGGGAAAGAGTAAAGTTCCGAGGCGCTCCCATAATTGAGTTTTCTACATGTTAGAGTTTGGATGACTTGATTTGTTTGTTTGTGTTTGTTTGTTTGTTACTTAGTTAGCTTCGTTGGCTGGATTCATCTGATTTAATTATCCATCCAGCCCTACAGCAAAATGATCCTTCATCGATCTCCGACGTCACCAAAATGGAAGAAAAGCTTCGAGAAGCCTTACGTACTTGTGCATCGCAAGAAACTTTTGCTGTGCCGTTCTCAGAAATTATGGGAACCGGAAAAGTTTAATGCTTTGAGAGTGTGATTTATTTCTATTTTGGAAAAGGTTGGGTTGGGATTGATGTCGATACCATCCCCAAGGTAGAGAAGAAAGTAGAAGAAAGCCTCTTTTCAACTGTGTCCGCTTGACAAGTCCACATGGCACCCCCGTAGAATATGATTCATCAAAGGGTTCAAAGCGTCTAAAAATTGACAGATCTACAGGTGATGCACCATAATGGTGAGGTGATAAGGTGCTAAAAGTGATAAAAAGCCTAATGCTGCCCTTGACCATTCGTAATTATGTTGTGAGCCGCAGTCTCGAATCGGATTTAAACCGTTTAATTAGACCATAGTTGCACAAGAAAAGCAGTGAACATTTAGAATTCTCGTTAATTGATTCGATTTGATGTTGCACGACCACGACTCCACGTAAGAAATGGCACTCTTACGGTGGCTTTGGCCTTTTTTTTAGCGGATAATAAATCTAGTCTGTATACGTTCCTAGGTTATTTGTGATTTGAGATTTGACCTGGTCTTGAATTTGGCCTGGTCTGTTCTGATTTGATTTGATCTGGTCTGTTCTGATTTGATTTGATCTGGTCATACTCGAAAAAAAGATTGAGTCAGGTCAATGAGGTGGGTTAAATTAATAAAATGCTCTAGAAACAAAATTAATGGAGAGTCCGAATGACAACGGAGGACCTCAGCCGAAAAATGAAGGGGAAGAACATCCACCAGAAACAAGCTTGGAAGTTAAACGACGCTATCTAAGCCTAATACAGAAGAGCACTGATATGAATTGATCTATCAAACTCCAGATTCCCATCTCGTAAAATGCCCAACTTGTTTAGATTTTATCTCACCAAATTATAATTCTATGATATGATATTCTAGCATAATTTATTCGATTACATATCTATTTTCCCGAAGAAACTCATTCAGCCATAATTTAAAATCAAACAATTCAAGGCAGTGAGTGTGAGTGTGTAATCACTGTAGCGTACTGTGCACTGTGTACTGTGTGCATTTGCTCGAGATAATCATTCCTTTGATTTCAGTATCTAGTCTCGAGTTGCTTACCTCTAATCCCCCTAGTCTCTAGATCTACATTTGCTACTGTAGATGGTTAAGAGTCGTTTGGTTGCAGGTCCCATTATTTGGCCCTTGCAACTTTTGCCAACCTTGCAGGTCCTTGCTGCCTCGGGTGGATCATCTACTTTTCGTAATTTTCAATAATCAGAACGCTTGACTTGTCCCCAACTGCATCGATCCTCCTTTCGCCGTACCTGCAATCTAGGATTGACCATGTGAGCTTGCGCTTTTAGTTATGGCGCCCTACCGATACCATGTCAGTGATGGAATTGATACCTGCCCGCCCTACCACTACTCTCACTGTGCTGTGTTCCTCGATCCTCTCGCCAACGGTTTGCGCGGCGGATGACGGCTATTTTTCTTGTTGGTATTCACAGAAAGCCTGGTATGATACCTCTATGGCTACAGCTCGATTTGCCAATTCCAACACCGTCAAACCCCTTACGGAAAAAACTTACCAACAAGGAGGCACACCAGCTCGTCGGCAGGCATTTCCCCCCTCTCTGACAGACTTCGTGTTGACATCCTGCGATGGATTGCAGAACAAACAACATTTCGCAAATTGAATGACAGGCAGTACCGTTCACTCGGAATGGTACAACGGTGTATAAAGCAAGCTGCCGTCGCTCATGATTTTAGAGGGTCAACAGCTCAACCATCATCTTCTCAATCATCACTACACAATTAGTCTACCATTTACAATCTATTTATCCAGCCAGCTTCCCTCATATCAAAATTTCCTCAGCAAAAATCACCACCTCGCCCACATTTCCCAATTGTCCAAGTAAGTCCGAAGTCTACTTGCGCAATAAAACTCCTCTAGAGGAGAGACTTTCGCAACCATCATTGCCATTGATTCCTCATTGCTAATCACGTTGCGACACAGTAGGTCAATTCAACATCTCACTCACCAACTCCCGATACTTATCCGAACAATAACCGCCAAAATGTGCACTCACTACATCGTCTACAAGAGCTGCAACAAGCACTACGACACCAAAGTAGTCGAGTGTGCTCCTTTCAAAGCGACGGGAGTCTGCCCCACCGGGCCAATAAATAAGACACCATCTCACAATGCCGGAGAACCATGTACAAGTGGCTGTCCATCGTAAGTAAGTGCGTTCTCCAGAAATTCCTGCTTATGTCATAATACTGACTTTAGATGCAGAGACTATACCTCACATCTCTAAACCGCATTTCGCAGGCGGCCCCTTAGGAATCCTTCACCCGACCTCCGACGGGACTAGTTGGGTGGAGCAGGATATTTTTTTTGTGGGCATCCTTGCAGATGAAGTGGTTTGGGGCTAGAAGGGGAATTTTAGGACAGAGTTGGAAACCTGAGGTGCAAAGATTGGTCATTCATGAACCGCTGCTGTAATCATACAAGCATACTTGGGAGTTCATGGGACGATATCTCATTTTGTTGTTATTTTTGTCTTGTTATTTTTTCTGGGGGGGATTCTCGTTCTGCTGTGGTAGATTTTTAGTCGACACTTTTTTCCTCAATTACAATCGTCTTTCTCTTTTTAAATCCTATCTATCTATTGAGTTCATCAAATATGTGATATGAACAGTGAAATCATTCCAAAATTACCAATTCTTTAAGGGTCAATGCAGGTCAAATCAACTAATTACTTAACCACCTCCTCGAGCTCGTGTGTCACGGTACGTTCTCATGTTCACTCAATTCCCCTTTTCTTCTGAAATTCTATCAACTCAACATGTGGCGAAAAGGAACTGTATACCATGGTGTATAACTCGAGTGAGGTTGAATGATTTGCCGTGCGGCTTTCTTTGTGTAACTACAGGGCTCATGAAATGAGCGCGACACCCGCCGTCCTCGACTGATAGTCCTTATCAGCTATAATGCGGCTAATATCACGCAAGCAAGGGGCAATCAATGTGACATGGGCGATTACGGATCGAGATAAGGAAAAGGGGAAAAACCCAAGCGCGGTGGAAAATTCTACGTCCAGGGATATGAATCCTTGCATTTTACATGCAGCTATATTTAATCATGTGATAAGGCGGGTCAGAAATCAGGCAATCACCAGTGGGAGCCTAATAATCCTAGTATGCTTTTACAGGGGACATTTCCCAGATGCTGACATTGCGTAAACATCAGTGATATCAATATGAAACTCTCATTATCAAGAGTCCTTGATCACTTTTCCTCCCTTTTCCCGCGTAAGAAAAGAGAATGATATGTCATCGCGCGTCTACCGCCTAGAATATTATGGATTAGTAGGTAATCTAGAATACCTTAAGAAATAGGAATAAATGCTGAACCACTCATACCCAATAGAGATATGATGAGAACTCAGCCATCGGCGCAGTTGTGTGGATCCGTGGCACTCTCGGGAGCAGGAGAGAGGCGCGTATTTACGAGTAATAAACTTAACGAACATGGTGGAATGAGCATTATACCCAGAGTAAGGGTATCCTGGTAAACTAGGGCTCAGGGAATACTCGCGTGTGCCGCCAAAAGACTTTTACAAGGAAAAAGGCGCGGCTTATTAGACGCCACTGGCGCGCAAGATGAATGATATGACGGTGAAGCTGAAGATAACTGCATACAAACAATAAGGCAGCAATTAGTCCACATGTCTTGGGTAAAACTACCGCCATAATACCAAATGGCCTTGGGCTGATATTATTGCTGGAACGATATGTCCTAGTTTGTAGTCTTGCATTCTAGGCAACGTCATCCATATGAAAATTACAACTGAGATGCTGGGAATTGCTTGTCAGGAGTTGCAGCAGACGTCCCGAAGTGGTTCGGATGTCCAGATTTCAGGTTTTGATTCCAAGAGAAAGGATTTGTAATTTTTGGACAATGAATTGATGTAGTGTTTTGACCGAAATCCGAGATGAATGATCAAGCTAGACTGAAAAATGGAAGGGAGACAAATTACGACTGGGATTGTCCTTGAATCTGTTGCCATAAGCTCGTATATATTGATATGCGGTCGAGAGGATAATATAGTATGTGGAAGTAGAAGAAGCATACCTAGGTACCTAGGTAAATTAAAAAGCGAAAAAACGACGCGGAGGTACGGAGTTCCAAAAGAGGTTAGCCTAGAGGTAGTAAGCAATCTTCAAAAGTGTACTGCCGCTATAAATTTTAATTGTGGCCGCTTTAACAAAGTCTCTATCATCAATTTGATTGTCAACCTCATCTTCAAAATATTTGCAGGGCATGAACAACAATGTCAAGTAATATCATTCCAAATAATACTCCATCCTTTTCTTGTCCTTTTTCAAACAAACAGGAGTGTGTTCATCTAACACGGATTGCAACGTAATTCAGATTTTGTCATCAACCACATCATACATAGATTGATTGTATTCATTTCCCATTCCCAAATGTCTATTGACCTCAATTGGGAGACATTGACTACGGGACCTGATGGGATTGCGCTCGCAGAAAAGATTCGAGACTTTGTACATGCCAAGTTCCAGACCGTGACCTTGCCCCGCTTCATCAAGGGTGTCAAGGTTCACACTTTCGATTTTGGTTCGATTGCTCCAGAAGTTGAACTAAAAGATATTTGTGATCCATTGCCCGATTTCTATGAAGATCTAGATGATGATGATGGGGGAAGCGATGAAGATGACGAGGGCTCTAATAGTTGTCAAACAGACGAAGAGAATGAGGCTGCAAAGACTCTGAGAGAGAGAAGGAAGATGGATCGTGTAGAGAGGACAGCTAATGGTTCATCAAATGTATCGAACCCTCCTTCATATACGGATACACGATATCCTGGTTTACGATCAATGCAAGCTTCTGGTGACAACGGAAGTCCTTTTCTGGGTGTTAGTACACCTGGTATTCCAGGTGGAACATCAAATCTGAGTTATTTCCATTCTCAATTAGCTAGTGGATTTTCCGGTACTCAAACCCCACTAGCCGCTGTTGCCGGTGCACACTTGCCCCAAGGATGGCCGGACCGTCCTAGCCCATCCCTACATATGTCGGCTCTCCGTAATCAATCTCATACATCTTTATCCCACACGGCGAGTGAAAGGCCCATGACCCCTCCACAGATTGCGGATCTAAGCCAGCAATCCATACGCGAAAAGGCCAGTGCATCCACTCTTGCTGTCTCCTCTTCGACGACCGGACCCGTAACTCGAGGCGGCGCTACCGAGAAAACGATCCCAGAAGAACAGACCAGTGAAGGCGAAGAGCCAACTTCACCACCACGAAGATTTCGAGAGCCAAAACCGGAAGATCTCCAAACCGTATTCCGAGTGCGATACTCCGGAAACATCAGACTCTCACTCACCGTCGATATCTTGCTCGACTATCCCATGCCAAGCTTTGTAGGCATTCCAGTAAGATTGAATATCACGGGACTGTCTTTTGACGGAGTGGCCGTTTTGGCATACATCCGCAAGAGAGCTCATTTCTGTTTTCTATCGCCTGAAGATGCTTATGCTGCTATTGGCGCAGATGAGAAAGAGGCAGGTGGCTCTGGTGGTATGAAAATGGGGGCTCTTTTGCACGAGATCAAGGTCGAGAGTGAAATTGGACAAAGGGAGAATGGCAAGCAAGTACTCAAGAATGTAGGTAAGGTAGAAAAGTTTGTCCTTGAGCAAGTCAGACGCATTTTCGAGGATGAATTTGTGTACCCTAGTTTCTGGACATTTCTGGTATAAATATCTCAAATGAAATTCATCGAACAACGTCAAAATGTCAAGATTATCAACAGAAGCAGCGTCGATCAATTGATTAAGTTGGAGATTGGCACTGTCCAATACCACAAATCACTAAGATTGAAGAGCAGATTGAATTAATTTGAGAATAATGGTAGCCGACACCCCTGTCCAAGATCAGCCCTGTGCGCAGAATAGACATCGATTGGCAATCAGCGTCCAAGCCAATAACCCTAATGTTGATGGACATCTCAAGTTAAGCTAAGGTCGCCTTGAATCCTTGATATGCCGAATTCATGTCCAACTCCAGCTCCCTGGCTTTGTCCTCACTAACCTCCTCGGTTGCTTTCATCTGATTCAAGGCAATGAGCCACTGAACAATCTTCCCTCTCCCCTCAAAGTCCCTGTCCGTAACCTTATTTACGCTCTGTATGACGTCTGACAATAGCGGATGTAGTTGATCCTTCGCTAACAATCCCAACTTAAGCGCATCCAAAAATGTTATGAAATCTTGAGTCGCCTCGAGAATCAATGTCCCGCTGGTTCCATTGTTGTTGGACGTAGACACATTAATTGGGGGTGCAGTAACGGTGCTAGGTAAACCTATTCGAATCCTTTCCGTGGCTCTAGGGACATCTATCTGTAAAGAATCAGTTAGTTATCGAAGGGCTACAATTAAAATTAGAGGAGATACGCACATCCCATTCATTCTTGAAAGTCTCCAAATCCACAAATTCTCTAGCTACACTTTCATCTGCTAATATAGCTTTGTATTGCTTCAATAATCGATCACAAGTCTCAGTATAGTCTGATTCGGGTATCGCATCCTTCAGATAAGCTCTTTCGAGCTGGTCTAAAGTGATTATAATACTAAATACTTCTGCGACCGAGTCTTGAAGGTCGCGCTCTGCTCTAGATTCTGCGAGCTTCACTTCCTAGAGTCTGGAATGAGCCCGGGCATTTTTGTAGGAAGACAAAGTCTTACCTCGTCCAAATTTATGGTTGCAGATAGTGCGGTATTTGGTATATAACTATGAGGTGTAGGCGCATACGCCGGTTGTCTGTTTTGATACATATTGTTTATGGAGTATGATCGGTATGCTTTCGAGCTCGGGGTCTATCGCAATGGCAGGTTGTTGGTGGGGGAGCTTATTAGGCGTCGCAATTATGCCTTTCGATAGGTAACATTCTGCAGCCGAGGAACATTGAGTCAAATTATGGACCAGAATATTCTTAATGAATTGAATCAATGTATGCGATAGTTTTCCGCATTCTCTTCAGGAATATAGAAACGCATTCGAGATATTGTTGATAACTGCTTCGCTGCTATGGAAGATGGAAGATTTCCACACTGGGAGTGATTGTTGAAGTAAATAGAGCTATTAAATTTTCACCGCCTTTGATACGCTATATCGGTGCTAGCTTATCGCTGTAAAGATTTCCCTCTCAAAAAAATCTTAGAAATTATTTTGCAACTCTATTACCAAAAACTCCAATTCCACCATGGCGAAAAGTACCAAAAAGTCCACTCGTAAATTCGAGAAGAATCATCTTAAGGATACATTGGAGAAGCGCAAAGATGGAGCAAAGTATAAGCAGAGACAACAAATGAAAGCAAAGCGAACAGCACGAAATGCCAAGGATGCCGAATTTTTGGGAGGAAAAGAAGGTGGAGAGGAGGGTTCAAAAGCCAAACCGTCTGCAAAAGAGGATGCATTCGGGAAGATGAGCGTTGATGATTTCTTCCAAGGTGGTTTTGAAGTCCCAGAAAAGCTTGAGAAAAAATCGAAACCAAAGAAAGGAGCAGAGAAATTGGGAAAGAGGAAGAGAACTGAGCCCGAGGAGGAGGAAGAAAACGAATCATCATCTGACGATTCAATTGGGGAGGCTCCAGTAATGAGTGATAGCGAAGATGGTGATGATGATGAGGAAGGATTGACTGGTATGAGCAAGAGTGCCATGGATGCTCTCGCTGAGAAGGATCCGGAATTTTACAAATATCTCAAGGAGAACGACCCAGAAACTTTGGATTTCGAAGACGATGCGGATTTTGCTGAGGTTGACGAATTAAGTGGCGATGAAGACGAGCAACCGCAAAAGAAGAAACAAAAGAAGTCGAAGAAGGCAAAGAAAGAGCAGGTGGCAGAGGAGGAGGAAGAGGAGGAAGTTGAAGAGGAAGATGCCTCAGAGGTCACAAAAGCAATGGTGAAGAAGTGGAACAAAGCCATGACCGAGCAAAAGTCTCTGCGGGCCATGCGACAAGTTGTTCTAGCATTCAGAGCAGCTGCGCATGTCAATGAAGACGACGGAAAGGAATACAAATATTCAATATCGAATTCTGATGTCTACCACGAGCTCCTGCTTATTGCTTTGAAGCAAGTTCCCGAGGTTCTCAATCATCATCTTCCAGTCAAGGAGACTGCGGCTGGCAAAGTCCGAGTATCAACGGACTCGAAAAAGTTCAAGACGCTGTCACCCCTCTTGAGATCACACATTACCTCTGTTCACATCTTCTCTCTTCTCTTTCCGATGCTTCTACCCTCAAACTCACACTTTCCTCTGTCATACCACTTTTACCATATCTTTTATCGTTTAAGAAAGGTTCTCAAAAATGTCGTTAAGACTGTGGTAGACATCTGGTCCGATGCCTCGAGCACAGAAGCAACCCGAATCACTGCTTTCTTGGTCATCCGACGCTTGGCAATAATTGGTGATGCTGGATTAAGGGAAGCTGTTATGAAAACAGTTTACCAAGGGTTGCTCAAAGGAAGTCGGAATACTACCATACATACTATCCAGGGAATAAATCTTATGAAGAACTCCGCTGCTGAATTGTGGGGAATCGATCAAGGTGTTGGATATACCACAGGTTTTACATTTATTCGACAATTGGCAATCCACTTGCGAAGCAGCATCACAAATAACCAGAAGGAATCATACAAGCAAGTCTACAACTGGCAATACGTCCATTCTCTTGATTTCTGGTCGACTGTTCTAGCTGAGCACTGCAATTCTTTGAAGGAGGCCGAAACAGGAAAAGAATCCCAACTTCGGCCGCTCATTTATCCAACCGTTCAAGTCACACTCGGAGCTATGCGTCTCATTCCAACTTCTACTTATTTCCCACTTCGATTCCACTTGATCCGTTCATTACTTCGACTGTCCCGAGCCACTGGAACATACATTCCTTTAGCATCTGTTTTACTCGAGGTTCTTAATTCCGCGGAAATGAAGAAGTCTCCGAAGCCGAGCACACAAAAGTTCTTCGATTTTACATCCAATTTCAAAGCTCAAAAGTCATATCTTCGTACACGAATTTACCAAGATGGTATTGGAGAGCAGGTGGCTGAATTACTTGCCGAATTTTTTGTCCTCTGGTCTACTAGCATTGCACTTCCAGAACTCACATTGCCAGTTGTCGTAATGTTGAAGAGATGGCTTAAAGATGCTTCAAACAAGAGCTCTGGAAACAAGAATAGCAAGGTGAATTCCATGTTTGTACTCCTCATCCAAAAATTGGAGGCAAACTCGAAATGGATCGAGGGAAAGAGAGCTAAGGTTGAGTTCGCTCCCAATGATCGAGCTGGAGTTGATGGTTTCCTGAAAGGATTCGAATGGGAGAAGACTCCACTGGGAGCATTCGTTGTTGGACAAAGGAAGCAGAGAGAAGAGAAGGCAAAGATGTTGGAAGAGGGTAGAAGGGAAGAAGATAGGAAGAGAAAGTTGGAGAGAGAGCAAGAAAAGGAGATGGGCAGTGATGACGATTCTGAGGTGGTGTCAGATGAGGAAGAAGACTCTGAAGCGGGCTTTGAGGGTGAAGAGTAAACTTTGGTACTTGTGATCGTTGTTTTTTTTTCTTCGGAAAAGTGTTGGGAATATCTATGTCGGGAGTTTGGTGGCCAAAGATTGCATACCTCTATGAATGGTATGTTGTATGACCAAAATTAGAAGTGGAGCGATAGCTATATCTCTAGTTCTAAAATGAATTCGTATTAATGCAGCTGGCTACGGCCAACGATTCTTATCTGCGACCAATCTTTTCAAGAAACTTATGTGAGAATTCTCCTAGCGACTATCAAGTGCCTTCAGACACAAGTAAATGAGCTCTCGATCATCTATCCATCTATGCAAGATTTCAAAAATAATACTAAATATCTAGGCAATCTTCCATCGCTTAAGATGCACAGCCAATCAACTTCGGCGTGCGAATTTTATGATCCTTGATTGGTCAATGCAGAGCCAAATATCCTGAGCTTCAACGACCCGTTCAATGTATCGCTCTTATGCACATGGTTTTCAGTTATGAATTTCTCCAATCACTGTTCTAAGTAGACAGTGGGAGTTTCTGAGGTATTTCTTCAAAGTTTTCACCAAATGACGATTCTTGCCTCGCCAACAAAAGGCGCAGCCTATCAGACGTGGAGCCTCTGGGATATTTCAACTTCTGTGGTGGAACCTCCCTGCATATGGTTATGCGGGAACTTTAATTCGACAAGCGCCCATGTGGTGCCCTCGATAGGTTGATTGGTTTCTTGAATAACTTTGGCGAATCGAGCACGTTGTTGCTTCGTTGAGTACTGAGGGGTACTGGTGCTTATCTTGATAGTTACGGAAAATCGATTGTGCTGGATACTTTACATGCTTTTACCCCTCCTCATCTTTCTCATCTCTTCTTCCTGTCATCATTAATATCTTTCAACCCGCAGGATCGAATACTATCAACTACGTATCAAATATCTTTGCCAAAGCAATGAGAGAGTATCATGGCTTCTCTTACCCTTAACATGCTACAGGAACCAAGAATTCAAATCTTCCTCTTAGGAGCAACTTTATTTCTCTTCATTGCTGTTATTTTCATCACAATAACTACTACTTTTACCTCCAAAAGCTCAGAGCAAGAAGAAACACCAAGCGCGTTGAAATCTTTCCTCAAATTTTTCTACGCCTCGTTTCTCAAACCACATAATGGAGATGGAACTGAGAATGGCCAGCAAGATGCTTTGGAAAGTTTTTACAAAGCACAAGCGAGTGTCTATGATGCGACAAGGAAAAGATTATTGAGGGGAAGAGAAGATATGTTAGCGCTGGTGGCGGCACAATTGGTTAATAAGAAGAATAGGGAACATAGGCATGAGACGAGACGGATTTGGGTGGATGTAAGTCTTTTATTCTTATTAACATGCTTAAAATACTTTTCAACGTTCAGACACCATTGAACCTTCAAATACTCCAATGGGCTAATAACTTCAAATAGATTGGCGGTGGAACCGGATGGAACATCGAAGCCATGTCTAAATATGTTTCAGTCCCAGAGTTCTTCTCCAGTATATATCTTGTCGATTTCTCACCCAGTCTCTGTGAAGTCGCACGAAAACGATTCCAGCGTCTTGGCTGGAAAAATGTCAAAGTCGTATGTCAGGACGCTCGTACCTTTCGTCTCGAAGATCATGAAGATCTAGATATTGGAAGTGTTGGCTTCTCGCAGTCGCCTACCTCCAATTATTTCTCAGATGCAAATGGTGTTAGTGGTGCGGATCTTATTACTTTGTCCTACAGTCTATCTATGATTGTGAGTTTCCATGTTTCACTGCGTATCAGGATGCCTCAATTGCTAATGACATATAGCCTGACTTTTATTCGGTCATCGATTCTTTAGCGAAGTTACTTGCTCCCACGGGAACAATAGGTGTTGTAGATTTCTACGTCCAATCAATTGTGGATCTCAGCTGTAGAAACTACACAGGCGGCATGATAAACCGCCATGTGAATTGGCTAGGAAGACTATTCTGGCGCGCTTGGTTCGATGTCGATCGTGTGAATCTAGAGGCTGGTCGGAGAGATTACCTCGAATATCGATTCGGCACTGTCCTCAGCGCAGACTCGAGAAATTACCTTTTAGGTTCTATCCCTTACTACATGTGGCTCGGTTGTCAAAAGAAACCCGCATCTTCACTCGCGGCTCCAAATTATCCCCATGAAATAGTCGAACGACTTGATGCTGCTGCAACGGAATCTCCGTACTTATCTCCAATCAATCATACCAAAGCACTATCGCGCAATATCGACAGATCAACACCACTGGAAATACGATCTAAAGCATTCGAAGCCGCTATTGTAAATCTATCTGCAAATCTACCACTTCCCTCCTTCTTCTACCAAAATCATCACTGGCGAATCCGTTACGACGAGCCAGCTCAAAAAACATACCCAATTCTAACAAAAATACATCTACGCCTTCACCTGGGAAGACACTCGCGTGGACGAGCGACTCCTAAACATCACCCACAACGACGTAATCCTAGCCAATCACAAGCGCAGGGTGACATCATCCTCTCCTACGCTCTCAAATCCCCACGCCAGAATTCACGCCATCGATCTAAACCCCAACCCAAAACCACCTTCTCGAACTAAAACTCGCCGCCTACACTGCGCTCCCCTATTCCGATTTCTGGAAACTCTTCGGTCTAGGAAAACACATCCATTTTCGGGACTTACTCCTCACGCATCTTTCGCCCCATATGTCTTCACGCGCTTTTCAATACTGGCTAAACCATAGCCAAGTTTTCACAGACAATTCTCGCGGTTTATACGATACGGGTGGTTCTCGCCACGCTATTCGCATCATTCGTCTCTTATCCCAAACCCTCGGTTTTAGTCGTGAAATCAAAGCTCTACTGCACTCCAAAACACTCAACGAACAGCGCGAAATTTGGAAATCGAAGATTCGTCCTGTAATTATGAGTAGACTATTCGCCTACCTCGTTGTATCTCAAGAGAAATTCCTCTGGAATGCACTCGGGGTACCGAAAAACCAACTCCACATGTTAGAAGCGGATTATATTGCGTCTGAAAGCGCAGCGCGAAATGCGTCGCCGTTGGAATATTCAGAAACAGATTTAAAGAGGAGTAAAGGGCGTGCAGTGTGGGAGTATATGGTTCAGACGCTAGATCCAGTAATTGAGAGTTCGGTGATTGGGGAGGAGAATCCGTATTATCTTGTTTGTCTCCAGGGGTTTTACACGCGGAAATGTCATCCAGATTATTTGAGGGCGGGGGCTCATCGCAGCTTGTCGCGTCCTGGGGCGTTTGATGGGTTGAGGATTCATACGGATGAGATTGAGGAGGTGTTGCGGAGGATGGCCCCGGGTACGCTTACTATCGCTGTTGTGATGGATAGTATGGATTGGTTTGATCCAGGGGCCGAGGCTGCAGAAATGCAGATTAGGAAGTTGAGTAAGGCATTGAAGATGGGTGGGAGAGTATTGTTAAGAAGTGCAGCGTTGACACCGTGGTATATTGCCACATTTGAGAGATTGGGATTCAGGGGTAAGAGAGTGGGTGCGAGAATTGGAGGGGCTTGTATTGATCGGTTAGTAATTTTATGCTCGCAATGGATGGAAATTTGCTAATTGGTTTAATATCTAGTGTTAATATGTATGCTTCCTGCTACTTACTAACTAAAGTCGAAGATCTGGAACTGTTGAGTCCGGCATCTAGTCCTGCGGGTATTTCAGGCAGACAAGGATCCATGGATTTGGAGAAGTTGGAAATTTGACTCTTCGACAGTGTGGGATTTCACAAAACAGCTGCGAAAGTTCTAGATAGTGGTAGTAGTAGAAATATTCTTTGTGGAAGGCCGATGAGGAGTAATTCGCTTTGATCCATTAACCTTGGTTGTATTAGATAAGAAAATTCCTTCATAGCAATATTAGATCGTATCTCTATCCCAACGAAGAATTTGAGAAAACACCGAGCCCAAATCGTATTAGAGGAAAGTCAACACCAAACGTCTTTTTTTTTTCATTTCATAAGGACCTTTTCCCATACTCCTCTACGGAAAAATCCTAACTTGTCTAACAGCGTTGGACCTCAATAACAAGGCGCCTGAATGATCTGTGGCAGGAATTTGTAATTAAACGTCATCAAATAGTAATCCCCGCTAACTATGCATCTCAGAACCCATTGTTCTAAAGTAAAGTATTACTGAATAGTGATGAGAAGTCAGTATATTGTTCTTGACATTCAAGTAAGCTCTAACTGAGTCAAATCAGGACGGAGCTAATAACTCCATTGAGCCACTACGACGGTATTCTAGGCTGGTACATTTGGCGAGCTTTCTCGAATGATAACTGAAACTTCTGAGCTACGAAGTTTGGCCATGGGTATAACCTCCGCTGCTTGGCTGGAAGGATATACGAGCTGATGCGGGACTTGAACCCTGAATTTAAAGCCAGGGTCTTGAGGCTTCTTCAAATTGGCTACGCGAAGCGGATGGGCAGGGAAACATTTTCTTAGTGAGACTTTATTTATAATATAGGAGACTCGAAGTAAACGAAGAAAAGCACGGTGAAAGAGAGCTTACGCACTTATGTACTTATACAATTGACAGCGGCAGGGAAAATCAAATGGTGTGATAAAAAAACACATTCGCTAACAAGTAGTGCAGACCGGAAGAAACAAACGGGACGTATCCATACGTCCCCAAACAGGTGAAAATCAATTGCGACGCAGGATAAGAAAAATAACAGATATCTCTTCTCATCTCATTTCGTAATCGACTCTCCGGTCCGCTCTCAACATATAATTGTTTCTCAACATTGACAAACCTAATTTAATTCAATTTATTCCCGTACGATTGAAATAGGGAAAACCATGAATTACGTTGTACGTTTCCTTGTCGGGACTGCCACGATGCTGCACTCGATCCTACAACCCTGTCAATACTTGTCTCGCAACGAACTGAATCAAAGTTTACTTGCCTGGTGTAACGCCTTTACCAAATCCAAATATTCTCAACAGAGCACGAACAGGCCAAAAGGTTCCAAATTTCACAGCTAGTGCTGCCCATACTACGAAACCGCTGATATACGGATGCTGGCGAACGACAGGCCCTACAGTTTCCAACAAATGTTTTGCAGATTGGCTAGGATCTTCAAAAGCTCTCACACCAACTTGCTTCACAGTGCTCAAGTGTCTGGGAGTATCTTGATATAATTGTCCTGCAGCATCCTTCACAGTGTCCAGATGTCTGGGGGCATCCTGATATAACTGTCGTGCTGCAACCTTCGCAGTGCCCAGATGTCTGGGAGCATCCTGATATAACTGCCATGCCGCTACCTTAGACCGTTCTAGGAGGATTGGCGTTTTCTCTATAGCAGAGTTGAGTGCAGGTTGAATCTTAGCCGCAGCTGTTACAGCAGCCTCTCTCCCACTTTCATATGCCCCTGGAGCCTTGTCAAGTACATAATGCACTGTCTTTTGAGCTTCCACCATAGCTTTGGCATAAAGTGTTGATGAATTGTCGGCCATGGCTATTTATTGTATTATGATTGTAGATGAGAAGTAATTTTGGATTTTGAAAAATGTAAAGTCGGACCTTGAGGCAGACACAACATTCAAAACATGACACCGCATACTCCCCATACTGCGGGGTAACACAACCTACACCTCCACTTCCTTTACAGTCATGCAGTAGGAGACCATGTGGCTTGATTTCAACCACTCGATCGACATTTTAGATGGTATAGAGGCTGTTGATTTGGTTATGATGTACAAGGGTACCAAAAACACTTGTTACAGGTATACTCGAGAATTGATTGGTGTTGAATTCATCTCAAAGACCACCACTCAAGCGCGGAGCCCGAAGCGCGGAGCCCGGAGCACAGACCATTGAAACTGGTGAACCCTCAAGCAGTACCTAAGATTAGAATTGAAATTGGGGGCGGCCGCCAGCCGATACCCCTGAAACTAAGAAATTTGCTACTGTATTTCCCCAAATTTAGCGGGCGCCTATCCTCCAATCTTTCTCCACCCGCTCTTATCTTCAAGTCAATTGTCTCAACACATCCCACCTCTCATTCAAATTCCATCTTTTTTTTTTTTTTGGTTTTTCGAAAACATAACATCATAATGCGCTTTTGTTCTTCGTAGAGTATATCAATGCGATAATTCATAATGGCAACCACTATTCACGAAACACCAGAGTGGGAAACTCCAACACCGAAACAATCTTTTCTCAGCAAACATAATCCCTTTTCAAAACCAAAATCGATACTTCCCACCACGAAAGAGGGTTCTTCGCAATCATTGGGTCATGCTGCTGCGATAGGAACCTTCGGAAAGCCTACATTAATTGAGAGATTCAATCGTGTATTGCCTGGAAATCGCACATACTTTGGAAGGAGTCGCAAAGTATTTTTGTTGATTGTAGGAGGAATAATCGTATTATTACTTGTGTTGATTCTTGGATTGGGGCTTGGTCTTGGGCTGAAGCATTCATCGTATGTATATTTGACGATTTATTATTGATCAACTGCTCATCATTCTTTAATTCTGCGAGTGCATGAATCGACTTGCGCATCATGTCACTTCCTGCTACTCCACTTTACAATTGCTAGAAATTAAGTACTAATCTGCAAATAAAGGTCGAAAGCACTACCCCTTCCTTCACACGGTGGAGTATTCACAGGAGATCTCACATACTATGCACCAGGTCTCGGCGCATGCGGGATTACATCCTCATCTACTGAATCCATTTGCGCCGTATCCCACATCATCTTTGATGCCGCTTCAACCAGTTCAAACCCCAATGCCAATCCTCTCTGCGGAAAAAAGATCAGGATAACTCGACAGAAAGATTCGGGCACAGGGAATAATACAGTCGATGTAACGGTTGTAGATAGATGTGTTGGATGCAAGGCCGAAGATTTGGATTTAAGCATAACGGTTTTCGAAAAGTTGGCATTAGAATCACAGGGTAGAGTTACTGGAAGCTGGGCCTGGTTACAGTGAGCTGCAATATAGGGCAGCTTTTAAGCGATGGCATTTAATATTGAGATACCCCGGATGTTTTCCTTCTTTTGGGCAGGGCTTGGTATATGTTCAGCGTGGATTGTGGTTTAATTAATTTGGTAATGGAGATACCCTTGGTTTTTGGTACGATTTGGATCGGCCTTCTTTGATCAGATAAATGGGTACACAACGTTATCAATACCCATTTTGTCAATATTTCAAGACCTGTAATGCATTGAGACATTCCATGATCGAAATGCAAGAATACCATATTAGAACTCTGGTGCTCTTGGGAATCACTCGAATATAAAGCAATAGTTTTGCCAGCCTCCGATTAAGAGGGAATTCAGTTATTCACTCTCGAATCTATCTTATGAGATCAATGGCCTGTTATTACAATGATAATTTGCTGCTTCTCCGATTCTGTATTACCTTGATTGACATTCTGCTTTTGTTGAATTATAGCTTATGGATGTGCTCACTTCTACCTTTTATCCTTTCTTATTCTTCCAAAGCTTTCAGGGCGATCACAATCTCAACTATCTTCGCCATCGGGAGAAACATATACACCTCGTCCCTTTTTCAGGTGAGAAATTCGTTGGTCTAAACTTCGAGGCAGGAGGAATTTGGAAAGTATAACTGAGCCCAGAATCATCCTATATATGATTTATTCACAACTAATCTCCAAAGGACTCCCACAATATATCAATAATCATACTAATCACTCAAACAAGCTTGAAGCACAAGATGAGATGAATAGATGTCGGAAATCACGTGTCAACATACACGTGCTCCTCTGAGTGGATTCCAACATTTAGCTTCTCATCTTACCATTCAAAACCCTTGTTAAAATGGAGCTCCCCCGCAGTTGAAACAGTTGTACTCCGTGCGGCCCGAGAAGCACTAGAAAAGTACACGACGCCTCAACATCATCCGTCTCGAGCTTTGGTAGTATGTAAAAGCTTGGCATCACTCCTCGTTATTTACACTTTTGTACACAGTGAGCTCTGTTGTTAAGATCTATTTTGCTTCGCCTTTTTGATAAAAGCATTTCAAAGTGGTGTGATTTACAGTTACTGTATTCATTTTTCGACCATTTCGAGTTTTACATGATTGAGATTGTATTTACATTGACACAGCTGGTTTGTATCTCCTCTCCCCCTTAAACCGTCTTTCTCTTACATTTTTATAGATACTGAATTTCCAAGTTATTTGATCAAATTTGAATATATTTATACCTACAACAATATCCATCTAAAGAATCATCAAATATGGCTTGGATATCAAGAGGTCAATCCGGTTTCGTCCAAGATACTCCCAATGGACACACATCCGCCGTCCCAGCCATTGCCACTCATTGCGGCTCCCTTTGGTGTCTCTGGAGTGACCCATCGGGCGACTTGTACTATGCCATCGGTGACAATGATATCTTCCAAACTCGAGTTCGCTTTCCCGACCAAGGAATTCCAGTTATGGCTGAACTTCTCGGCCGTCTTCATGCCGTAATCGTAAGAGCTGACGGAAAAATTGCTCATTATGAATATAACGATGCGGGAAAAGATTGGGATGCTCCTACTATCCTTGACAAGGGCCCAGGACTGTGGACAGACACTACACCAGCGCTAATGAGCCATAATAATAATTTGATTCTGGTATATATCCAGAATTCATACTTGTATTATTCAACATGGACATTAGATTCCGAGGATCAACCAATTTGGAAATATCCTCAGGAAGTGAGTGGCATTAGTAAGGTATCTGGTATACCTGCTTTGTTTGTGTTGAATGGAGATTTACATGTGCTTTGTTCCTCTTTAGATGAGGATCGCACAATTCTCGGCTTCAAATATTCGTTGCCGGAAGATGTGTGGAATTCTTGTGATGATGTTAGTGAGGGAAAGGCTGCACAAGGTGTTTCTGCTACTTCTTATGGTGGAAGTGCGTTTTTGGCTTTTCAGGAAAATGGCCCAGGGAATACTTCTCATGTGATTTATATGAGCGAGTATAAAGATGGGATGTGGCATCCTCAAGAACCTATTGCTGGGCAAACTTCTTTTGATCCGCCACAATTGGCTGTGCTTAATGGGAGGATTAATTGTATATTCAATTCCAACGATGATGATAGGGAATTATTGTGGTATTCAAGATCTTTGTTGGATTATTCTTTGGATTCTTGGATGGCGGAAATTCCTGATGATACTCTACTATCTAATATGACTATCCCTGGAACCCACGATAGTGAGATCTTCCCTCTATTCAATACCGAAAAATCACACTGACAACTTCTCAAACAGGCTGCGCAGAATCCAACATCCCTTTCGTACGCACCCAATACCTCTCCATAAAATCCCAACTAATCGCTGGTCTCCGCTTCCTCGATCTCCGCGTCCGCGTTCACACAGAAGACGGGCAACTCTACATGTACCACGGCGGCATCCCCATAAACATGCCCTTCTATCTCAAATTCGACTTCGTCATGCAGGAAATATTCGATTTCCTCTCCCAACATAGCCAAGAAACAATCCTAATATCCATCAACAACGACGACACCTCAGGCAAAGAACCCCCTTCAGTATTCTACTCCGCAGTCGCCAAACACATCACATCTATTCCTCCCTATCCCTCCGGCGAACCCCGCTGGCTAACCTCAACCGCACCTTCAACACTCGGTGAAGCCCGCGGAAAAGCAGTATTATTCCGCCGCTATAAGTGCGAGGAAGATCTAGCTCCGGAGGATAAAATGGGTTTAGATCTTAGTGGGTGGTTAGATAATAATCCTGATTTTACATTAGTAACTGAAAGTGGCGTGACGATTCATCTGCAGGATAAATGGCAGTATTCGCATAGGATTCCGTTGAAGGGATTGGTGGAAAGTAAATATGATTATGTGGTTCGTATGTTGGAGAAAGCGCGGGATGGGGCGGAGGATGAGTGGTTTCTTAATTTTATGTCGGCTGTGGGGGATCCCGTGCAGAGGGGTGAGGTGGCCGAGAGTCATGTATGTTTATTTTCCTACTCCTACTTTCTTTTCTTACCACTCCCTCTAGCTTCCTTTCCTCCATCTCTCATCATCTCTCTCCATCTTCATTCACCACTCACAATTTCCCAAATAACTAACCCAACCCCCAAAACCCCAGTGGATAGCAGTAGGCGCGCACAGTAAATTCATCGGCACCTTTATTCAAGGAATGAATCCGACTCTTCGTACGAATTTTGATTGGGGCATTAAAAAACGCTATGGTGTTATTCCGATGGATTATCCGGAGTTGCCGAAGGATTCGGATTTGATCGCTTTGGTTGTGGGGTGTAATATGTAGGTTGGGGGAGGGTGGTTGGTTGTAGGTTGGGTATGGGGAATGGGATATGGGGAGCGGGGAAGGATGTTGGGATATGGGGGATGGGGGAGGATATGGAGGGGGCGGGTGAGAGAGTGTATATATGTGTACATGGGATGGGATGGGATGGGATGGAATATTGGTGTGGGGGAATAGAAAAGGGGGGAGGAGGAGAGGGAACGGAAGGGGAGCGGAGATAAAAAAAATAACGTGACAGTAAAAGGAGAGGGTATTGATTGATATAGATATATATATAGAGGGATCTAAGAGTATTTAGACAGGTATTTAGTTAGATATAAGATTACTTATAGATTGTTATACTCAAATCTATATATATAGGAAAAATACTAAGTAGATGGATTATTTATATCACATTACATTATATCATATCAAACACGATCACAATCACCAAATCATTAGAATCATCTCACAACCCTCACAACCCTCCCAAGCAACCCGCACACATCCACACACCCTCAAGCCCAAAATCCCACAAACATAAACTCTCAAAAAAAGTTATAAAAAAATCTCATAATTCCCGCTGGTATGCTAACAAACTAAACAATACATACGTATATGCATGTATGCATGTATGTATGCATGGATTCCCAAACCTCCGAATTCATGCTCTGTGTTAACCTTATCGAATGAAAGATTCGAGTCTGTTACGTTAAGGTATGAAAGAGCATGGTATGGAATGTATACAAAAAAGCATCGATATCCATATCCATATCCATATCCATATCCACACCCACCACATCCCTCCATTTGTTCTTCCCATTCCCAAGGCAACAAATCCAGACGCATGTAATTGGGCCTATTCCCATCCGAATGCATAAGAGCAAGTAAGCAAATAAACAACCAGCCGCCAAAAGAAAGAAAAGAACAAACCCAAACTCCTAGCCGAGGAGAAAAAGACAGGTCAAAAATAAATCAACGCCGAGAAACACTCCCCGATCTACCTACGCCTACACCCACGTGCGCAAGACCGAACCATTTTCTCCCGTGGCCTGGTGTAGCTATCGAAGCAGAACTATTTTCTTTTTCCTTGACTGCGTTATTCTCCTTGCTGTTTTCCTTGACTATCTCCGCTTGTGCATTTTCACGTTTTTCTCTACCCATACCAGAACCCGAACCCGAACCTGAACCTAAAGCCTTAATACCCTTTTTCTCACCGCCAGCTCCAGCTCCAGATATACAACCTCTCACTACCTCATCCCCATCATGAGCACCATCACCTCCGAATCTTCTTCTTTCCCTCGCACTCACCATTACACCCGCACACGCACTCCTCGGTCTCACTACATGCTCTCGATGAATTTGCGTCGAGTGCATTCTGTTCCTCGAAATAGGTGGTGGTGTTGCACTTCTCTCTCTCTCAACTTCCACATCATCCTCTTCAAAATATGTCGTCTTTTCGACCATATTCCCACTCTCATCACTACCATTTAACTGATAATCACTCAAGTCCGTTCGTCGACTACTATATCTACTATTCCTCATCGGCATAGTTTGATACTTTGTCCTGCGGTCTATATTTGAATTGGAACTGGAACTCGAGGTTGAGTTTGAATTATTAGTAGGTTCAGTTTCTGATCTCCCAAAGAACAATCTCGTAGGCAGTAATCTCCTGAAATCCTTTTCTTTACTTCCCTCTTTCTCTTTGGAATTTTCTCTAGGAGTGTTTGGGATACTCGCAGATACAGGCGCTAGCGGCATCTTAGGATTAGAATCATGACTCGTATTGATAGAAGCTGGAACATGTTTCCTCAATTTTGATGTAGCAGCTGCTAATGAAGATCTTCGGTCCGGTGCAGGAGGCTTGGATGTCTTTTCATCTAGAGGCGTAGATGATCTTTCTATCTCCCTCCCTGCAAAATGTCGCTCCCGACGATCCTCAACTCTAGATTGTGGCCTACGATCTAAATAACCAGAGGTAATTGTGCCATCACTTTTCGGGTGAGTCTCAGCTTGAGATAGCGCTCGAAGAATTTCGTAACGTCGAGCCGTAGAATTTGAAGCACGAGAACCAGAATTTGAGCCAGACGGGACACGTGTTGTGGGATAATCATTATAGGTTCCATCGACACCCCATGCTCTCATAGTATCGCGCTCGCGAGATGTAGTATTGAAGGAGAAGAATTCTGGTGTTTGATTTCCGCTTTGAGGTTGGCGAGTGGGAGGATGAATCTTGGTCCCTTCGGCGGCACTGTCGGTACTGTAATTGGTTAGAGTATCTAATTCATCTGTCTCCAATGTTTCCGTATCCCATCCATGTCCTTCACGTCGACTAGTTACTGTCTCCCCAGCGCTGCGTGGTCGTATAGATGTAGTCGATTGATATGGATTGTAGGTAGCAGGAGGTACCGAAAATGTCGATGTATTATGAAGGAATGTAACCTCATCTTCGTTGGCTTGACGTCTTTGATTCAAGGTATCATCGGAGTTTTTATAATTTCTCAAAGTGCCAGTGCTAATAGTATCTGGCGTAGGTGGTAATTTCTGCGATGTTTCGTACCCATTCCCATCAGTCGTGAGTCGAAGACTACCCTCGTTGAACCTTTGTATATCCTGAATACTATCTCGCTTTTCCGATCGAGCTTTGAGTCGCATACTGGTACTATTGTTATATTGCTTTTCCAGATTACTCCTAAGCTTTTCAAGGCGTTGCAATGGCGAAGCAGCAACATAATTCATTGACAGGAATTGACTTCTCCTACCACTAGAATTAGGTGAAGGTGATGGTATTCGCATAGGCATAGTTGAAGCTGGACGTTCATCAATCCACTTTTCCACTGAAGAGCTCGTTCGTCGATGTTGTTTTGGTGGAGAGGCCTCAAAATCTTCGTTCACGGCAGATGATTTTTCTCCATAAACGCTCAAGAATGAACTCTCACTCAGAACACTTAATGAAGGACTAGCCATTCCACTTTCACTACCTTCTTCTGGCAACTTTGGAAGAACAACATCGCTGTAATTGTTGGTGTTAGGAAGATATAAACTTCTCAAGGCTTCCACACCTTCACTTTTCTCGGATAGAAATGAAGGCATCCTAGCAATAACCTGCGCAGTATCTTTTCCTTTAGGAGTTCTCGAAGTGTCTCTATCGAAGTTTGGAGGTGAACTTGGCATTTCCGTTCCGTTGCTGTGATCGTAGAAGTCATCTCCATATTGCGTCTCGAAACTCCTTACATCTTCTCGTTCCTGTAATAGTCTCGCAATTTGAGCTTCCAGTTGACAAATGATACCAACAGCTTCTTCGACTGCCTGATCCCGTTTCTCTAACTCTTTGAGTAATGCTTCATTGACTTCTTGCATTTCTGTCTGATCCTGGATCTGGCTCCTCAAATGTTCTAATTCCGCTTCTAACGCTTCTTGTCTCTGTCGCCGATGAAAAAGCTCCAGTTTTAGATCGAAATTCTGTTTATGTAAGGTCGAGACAGTCTGGATGAAAATGATTAGTACTTATTCACTAAAGATAAAATAAACCAAGTATTAAAAAAAACCTCACCTCTTCCATTTGCTTAACACCCATCGACTTCTTCCCCGGTTGACCCACTCCACTTGAGCTCGGTCTTCTCTCCTCCCTCTCCCGCACAACTCCGCTACCACCACTACCCCTATTGACTGGCGAACTTTCAATTTCCCTAGCCATATTAATACTCCCACCAAAATCCCCACTCAATCTCCTCTCCCTTCCCTTCCTCTCCCTCAACCTCTCTTGCAAGAAAGCGGCCCCACCCGATTGCGCACTCATTCTTCCGGACCCCAAAGGCAAATGTGCACTTGAACTATTCGTACTCTGCGACGAGAGAGTGGGTGTTGCCATATTTATTCTTGTATTGTTACTTGAAGAACTGGTCGCAGAATCATGGTAGAGTGGCATGCGTGGTGTTGAAGATATGCGACTTCTTCGAGATCCTTGACTGCCATCTTCCATATTCGGAAGATGGTTCCTTTTTCCTGTCAGATTTATGTTTTTGATTTTGCTTTTGCGATTGTTATATAGAGTTTTTGTTTTGGATTGACTTGGAGTGACTAGGGTAATACCGTATTTGCTGTATGTTGAAGCAAGGGCGGGCCGTACTAAAGTTGTAAATTTAGAAAGACGGGATGATTGAGATAAATCAAGGATGAAATATCAGCTTTGACCAAAAAAAGAGTGTATGATATGGTACTGGATCATTTGTGTACTATGGTTGAACTGGGAGTATTCTCGTTTGTTACCATCCAGAGTGATTGATCTTCCTCACATCGATATCTGCTGGGTACAGGAAGATCTATGCATATGCAATGCTGCTACAATGCACAGGAATGACCCAAAAATGAAGCTTGAGAATTTTAACCCAAAGAATTAAAGCTCATATAGGTAAGTGTGATGTTGTTGAGTATTAAAAGCCACCCCCCAAAAAATGATTGACAATAGTGAAAAGTTTTGGTTTGTTTGTTTTGTTTTGTTTCACAATCTTTGGGTGGAATGTGGGTGACACAACCAAGCGTTTCCAGGCCGATGACCTTCTACCTTATAAGACCTCACACCCCAACTTTGTTTTCTCTGTTCGGAGTGAAGTGAAAAATAGTAAAAGGAAAGAAGTGAAAGCTAGTATTCTAGTTTGTATGAATAGGCACCTAGTATCCAAAGTCAGGTACAGAAATAAGGTTTTGAAGTGACATATGGCTACGTGCAACTTACCATTCCCTAAAAAGACCTTGTAACTTCTCATCTTATCCGTCCTAAATTTTTCTTCGTCTGAACTAAATCTTGGTAAAAATGTGGTAAAAAGTAAAAGGTATAGAGGGAGATCAATAATGCCTCATCTGCAATTATATATCACATATCAGTTATCACATTTCTGCTTTTCTATTCTATCTCATCCCTTTCCTGTACAACTCTTCCGATCTTCCCACAAGCATCTCCAACATCAAACCCTCAAAGTGTATAAAGTAACCCTTAAATAATTAGCATTACTTACACTAGATTAAATCACTATCCTAACTTTACCTCTAATCGGCGACGATGGATCAACCCGCAACCTTGTACTTTTTACTAAAATTCATCGGGAATATTTCATTGGTTGAGTTTTGTGTTCGCATAGCGACATTATGTACAACCAATTGGATAGGGACTCTTTTTAGAATTTTGTGAAATTCTAGAATAAGGAATAGAGATTCAAAAAAAAAGACTATACATATCAACTAATAGATGGTATTTTCTCAGCTATCAAATGCTATTTGTATGATATGTGATTAAATATAGGGTTTCTAGATCATTTCCTTGAATGTCTGGGTGGTGGTAACTTGTGATATAATGAATCTGACATCACGGCTCACTGGCGGGGAACTGTCTCCTGGTTATCAGATTCCTCTCGATCTCTGGTAAATTCTATAATGATTTTCTGTATAGAATCAACGATGAGTACATGATGAATGGATGTAATTCCTTGAAATTCTTTGAGGATGGGTATCGTAAGTGCCAGGTTTGAACTTTGGAGAGGAAGGAAACAGGTGCTATAGCCATACTGAAGTTCCGTCTTCTATCTAGAAAATAGTGTTGCGAGGTACCTTATATGGATATCTGATCCTGTGTGAAGATACAAATAAAATAAGGAAGGCCGTGCAAAATCCCCGAGTATCCCATGCTATGCACATGATTATTCTAGAATCATCATTTACTCCTTCTGTTCCCTCCCCTCCCTCACCTTTCCTTCCTCCTATTTACACACAAGATCTACCAAACTTTGTATTTCCCAACTCAAAAGTAATCATCAATCAACAAACCCCTAATCATAAAAAGATAAAAAGGGAAACCACACCTCACACACCTCACGCACCTCAAACCTCAAACCTCAAACCCTCTTCTCCCCAAAAAGATCATTCCAAAATTCCCTAAACCCATACAGAGGCCTCTTAGAATCATGCACCGTAACACTACTCGCACCAAACCTCTCCATAATCCCACCAGAACGATGACCAATCTTCTCAACGAGTTCGCGGGCAGGCCTCGTCGCTCTCTCTTTAATAGCTTCAGCGAGCTGCGGCGCAACATCCGCATAACATGATTTGAGTTCGCGCTCTAATGAAAAATAAGGCTTTTTCGCAAGATCTGGTGCCATGAGATTGTAAGATCGCGTTTTGCTGTTTAAGTCTGCGATGGCGAGGTTGAGATATGATTGTTCGGCTTCCTCCCAGGATGGTATTCGGAAGGGAGGCGGAACTGCGGTGGATGGTTGGTCTGGTGGTGACTGTTTCTCGGACTCGGGAGGAGTGACTTTAGCGACGTCTATTTCAACTCCTTCTGTTTCTGCCAAGACTTGAACGATGGGTTCTTCATTGGACGAGGTTGACACTTCTTGAATAATTTTCACCATCACTGGATCACTTGTCGCATTCGTAGGAACAGAGATCTGCTCTATGGCTCGCTTCTTCGGATTGTGAAAAGCTTCAGATCGTGCGTATATTTCTGCGGTTCTCATTTGCTCCTGCAATGTACCACCACGACTTGCAATTGTTCTTGCAGCATGTCGTTTCCAGTCATTCCGCAACCGATTCCTGAAAATGTTTGCGGTTTTGACAAGTTCTTGTTGTTTCTCTATCCACGGTGGCACAATGTCTTGACGTTGTATCATCTTATTCATAATATATTCGGTGGTGTCGAGAAATGGATTATCGGCTCTCGCATCTCGTTCTATCGCCTTTCCTCTGGGAATATTCTGCAAAGAGTTTATTAGTACAACATCATCCTAGCAAAGATGGCGAAACTTAGACTCACCTTGAACTGTCCACGAGCAATAGCATCTTCAATTCTCTCATTAGCCAAAGCAGCCAAACCTCTAATTGAATTCGGCATTGCCCTCGCACCAGGGGTAAATCTTTCTTTGAGTTCTTTTCTCATCTCCTCTCTCTCCTGCTCACTCATTTGACCATCTTTAGAAATAGCATAAATCGATGTTTTATCCCTCGCATTTGCTAACCTCTGACCAGGTCTCTGCTTAGCTTGGCCCTTCAACCTCAAATCCACAACTGGAGAGGGAATCTTTCCCGGACCTCGTAAAGCAGAATTAAGAGGCTTCCTAGCATCATTCAGGATCCGAAGAACCGTATCTTCAGTTGCTTCTTGCCCGGTCCATGCCTGTGCTGTGGCGATATCCCGAGAACCACGACCAAGATTAGATACAAGACTTGCTTCCGTAAACGCAGAGGCGTTTTCAGCCTTGAACTTGGAAGCTTCTACTCTTTCAAGTAGTCTTGCCTTCAATTCTTCTGAAAAGCCTGCTTCTTCCACGGCTTTTCGTCCAGCTCGACCACCTTCCAAGAGAGCATCTTCAGTAGCTTCGGCAAGACGTCTTGACATCGCCCCTTGCTCTTTTTCGACAGACTTATTTATCGAACCATTCTCTGAATTTGGTTTCAAGATCTGAGCTTCGATTGAAGCATGATCCTCCGAGTCTATTGTTACATTGCTAGCATCTTCCTTTTGAAGTGGCGACCCTTGTGAGAATAGCCGGTAGATATTCTTATACAACTTTGGCACAGCATTTTGCTGCCTCGTAGCTCGCAGACAGCGGGCACATTTAAATGTAGATTGTGATACTAACCCGTGCATATAGAGAAGGATAGGAAGGAATTGCTTGAGAAAGAATTCATGGTGGCGTGGGATATTATTGATAATATTTGTAACTACTTGATCCCCCTGTACATTTTAGCTCGTCGGCGATAAGATAAGAAATCCGAGCCCAAACGTGTGGTTAGGAACAAATCCCCGGTGAGCTTTTCTCCCCAGGAACTTGTCCCGGCACCAATCGACTAATACCTATCAGCATTTATTTTTCAATACTATTCCTGAAAATCCAAATCATCAAAATCCTAAACATTCAACTCTATTTCACATATCACTAATACCCAGGTAGATACTGATACACAACTCATAAACGTAATCAACCATCCATTCATCCATTCCACCATCCATCCATTCATCCATCCATACGTAGCTATCTATACACGATAATAAGAATCTCCAATCACTAATCCCCACCCATCAACCTCTCATTCATCTCACCAAGCCCGAGAACTCACCATGAAAGAGCTATAATAAAAGAAGAATCCGCTGCATAATGCCTCCCTCCTCCATGAACCCTCAACTATCGTATCTCGCATAATATCGTACAAACATTTTATCCGCCGCTGCGTTCATCAAAGATCCGCCTGTCCATGCCTCCCTCCATCCATCGTTTCAATTCAAGTAAAAGGAAAAAAAGTCTACTCCTTCTTTCCTTCACCCTGCATCTCCGCATGCTGGATATGCACTAATTCTCCATCGCCCTCTCCATCATCAGTACCCTCATTCGGCAAGCTCTTATTGTTCTTCAAATCTGTACTTGAGCTTTCACTACCACCTACTTCTTCCACCATCCCCACATGAACAACCTCATCAACCAAGGCTCCGGACCCCCCTACTCCACCATCATCCTCATCCTCATCCTCCAAGCTCGTTCTCCTTTTCGCCTCCCTCGTCACACTAACTCCCATTCCATCCTCATCCTCAAAATTATCCTCAAATCCACTCCTTCTAAATCCGCTCTCATCATCATCACTGCTCCCCTCTTCATCCTCATCGTCATCCTCGCCTTCTACCTTAAAAGGATTGATGCCTTTTGACTCTCTCTCCTCACCCTCAGCCTTTTCTCCATTCGCCAACTTTTGCTTGCTATGCAAGGCCAACCTCGCCGCCAATTGTCTTCTAGCACGGCTTGGCGGTATGTTAAGAGGAGGTGGAGGCGGCGGTGGTGCTGAAGGAGGTGAAAGATCCGAGGTAGATGTTGTAGTTGAAGGCGTACTTATGTAGCGGGAGATCTAATTGCAACCACATTAGCATATATTTTGGTATTATATGTGTCATTTGTAAATAAATAGGCTGTTCCAAAAGGGGCAAAAGCTAAGCGGCGGATAAAAGCAAAACGGGTAAATAGCAGAGAGATGGCAGGTTAAGATGAGCGTAGATCATTAGCCTACCCACTCGGGAGCAAAGTTAAAAAAAGATTTGTGGACACTAATCATCATTATTAAAACACCAGATCAACATCACAACCATCACCATCTCTACTTCAAAAAAGGAGTATAGGATTATATCTCAAAAATTGAATCTCTTTCTCTTGATTTAAGGAAAGAGAAAACTCCCACAATACTCCTCATTTCATACCAACATTAATGCTTTCTAAATTTCTGAAGCCAGAAACAACAAGCCCCAAGAATCTAAGAACGCCACTTGTAATGCTGTTTGGGAATAAAGTGCCAGAAAATTGCGTACTGTACAAGAGGAAATGAAGACAACATGTGCGCTTTTACTGATTAAGAACTACCCTGATCGAGATCCTCGTCCTTTTCTTGAGGAAACAGAGGTGATTCGCGATCGAGTTGCTCCAAATATTCATAATCAACATCTAGATCGTCGAATTTATCAAGGTTGGGGGCTGATGGAGGAACAGAATGACCCACTTCTGCCGTTGTACCACCACTATTCTTTCCTTCCTCATCATTATCTTCATCCATTTCATCGTCTTCTTCATCACTGGAACTTCCGAAGCCGCTCAATAATGTACCTCCAGTGATAAAGCTGTTGCCATTTCCATTGTTGTTAGCAAGGTCAATGCTATCAAGAGCTGTTGAACCATTTAGGCCAGCGTCGGCAAGGGCAGATGATGCATTTCCGAAATTGTTGGCCGCATTTACTGCATTCATGACTGCTTGTCGCGGACCGACTGCCATGTCTGGTCTAACTCCCCCAAGAATAGCATTGTCACGCTCCCGAGTTTCTGCTAGAGTAACCTCAACATATGGAATCCAATCACCGTTCATGACCCTTTCTAAAACTGATTCAGATAAGAGCTCCGGGGGATGTCGTTCTGTAAACTTCACAACCTCTTCAGCGATAAGTGTAAGATGACCCATATAACCAAGTCGCATCTTGTTCTTCTGTTGTGCCTCATCACTCTTCTTTTGACCATCGACAATCCTCATTGTGATGTCTCCAGTTTCAAAGAGATCAATTGCAAGTGATCGATTATATCCACGATCCATAGGACCATTAAATACTTGTTGTACAACGTCATATACGACATTATGTAAGAAGTTATTCCAAGGAAATCGGAAGAAAAAATCCTACATGGGTTAATTCACATGCATAAATGCTGAAGGTCGAAGAAACTTACCAAAATAGTTGGTACAACCTTATGTTTAACAAATTGCATTTTGAGAAAATCTCCAACTACTGGACCACCTGTATTTTCCGTAGTTCGCTCTTGAGAATGCTCCTCCGTATTACCCATCAGCACGGAGTTGTTGCTATCTCCAGCATCACCCATAGTAGTGTCGACGCTGTCAAGATTCATGTTACCATCACCAGGAACGATAGTTGACGAACCAGCAGTCTCTTCCGTTAATCCTGCCTTTTTGGAAAATAAAGGTGCAGGAGTGTCTTCAGGGAGAGGAATAACTTCTGCAGCGTGAGGAATCTCTTCTGTAGGTGCTGAAGACTCAGTGGGTAATTCCATGCCTACATTCTGGCCTTCATTAGAGCCGTCCGAGGATTCTGGGGTATGTTTGTGAGAACCATCAGAAGAATCTTCGGTATCATCAAGGACATTGGTATCAATAGAAGAAGGTGGAGATGTCATAGTCGTATCCTCATCGTTAAACCCTAGAGACCCAACTTGTTGAGAAAGTTCTTTGGTCGGAGAAAGAGGGAGGACAGCCATGTCTGGTTCTTGCAAAGTATGATCATCGGAAAGTGGTTGTAGCCTTGGCGAGCTTAAAGGTTCATCAACAAATTCCTCGTCATCCTTGTCGAGGAAGGAAATGGGTGGTTGTGCAGAATTAAGAAGGGTTTCTTCGGTTTCATGTTTCTCATCAAAATCATCCTTGGCATCATCACCAAGTTCTGTAGCGTGCGTAACTTCCTCAAATCCATCATCATCAGAGGCATTCTGAACCTCCAACTTCCTAGAACCATCTGGAGAGCCCAGTCGTGTTTGTGTGGAGGATTTCATCGTAAGGTCATCTTCGGACATTAAGGCCGTAGGCGATGGGTTCAACTTTCCCTCGGCCTTTAATCGTTCTCTCTCTACGTCTCGCGCCTTGACAAACTCTTCACTGCCAGCCTCATTCAGCAAGGCCATGTTGCTGCAGTGCAAAAGTTCCGCCATGAGCTCACAAGTCTTGAATCTATCAAATCCAAGTGGCTCAATCTTTCCACCAAAGGCAGCACTCAACTCTTTTCTTTGTATTGTTACTGGTCCATCACCTCCTCCAACGGTATGATTAGGGCTGAGGATGAGGTCCATAAAATCGGGAACATGCTTGGCAAACATTCGCAAAAGAGTCCCGAGATATATAGGATCGCGACTGGATGGTACTGCATTTGCCTCAGCTCCAACCTCCGGATCATAATCTGAGTTGTTCTTCCGAATGACTTCGATAACAATACCAACTCCGACAGTCAACGGATTTCCACCCTTTAGCATATCAGAAATTAACTTTTCAATACATGGCTGAGAGACAAGCTGGCGAGTAAGCTCATTTGGTCCTATGCATGACTGTTCATTTTGCGAAGCATTGGCTGAAATAGTGATAATTGCCTTGAGAAAATCACCCGCCGAAGTCTGTGTTGCCCAGCTATGTTCAGATGATAGGAATGATAGAAGGATGGGCATCAAATCTTGCGAGTGCAGCCACTATATCAGAAATTAGCAAATAGAACTTATACCAGAGGAGAATAAGAGGCATACGTCGACAATTCCAGCTCCTCCTTCGGCCTTCTCCAGACTGATTATCTTCAAAAGAAGATCCATAATCATAGGGGAGTCCACATGTCGAAGCATACTCTTGACTGTACCATCTATTGACTTCAACAAATCAAGCATCTCCTCAGTCTTTTTATCTAAAAGAGCCTCATTGACTTTCGTAAAATAAGAGGCTTGTAAAGGATCTAAAGGCGCAGGAAGGTTTAAGAATTCCCAAAACTTGCGCAACAGAGGTTGATTCTCCATTAATGCCTCGCAGATTGACCAGTTGTCCGAGGACAAGACCTCAGCTGCAACGTAGGCATAGCGAGTTCGTTTCTTTTCCTTTTCTTCACCATCGTCCTCAAAAGACTGGCGAGATAGGGAAAATGATCGACTTTTGCCCCTCGAGTTTGGTGAAGCAGATACTACTTTCGATTCCGCTCCAGGACCTTCAGATGCGACAGTCTCCGATTTAGGGGCCACCACATATTCCAAAAGCCTTGCTAAGATCTTGTCTTCACGTAGATATTCAATCAGCTTTGAATTGTGTTGTTTTAATTCTTGTATGAGATCGCTCTCATCCAATAACTCTTCTAAGGTAACATTTTCTTTGTCGAGGATAGTATCGATGGTAGAAACGTTAGCATATCCGCCGAAACGCCAGAACATGATGCTTTATGTAAGAGCGCTCGTCTGCCACCAAGACGATGGTGGTAGATCGAGATATGGGTATTGTATTTTATGTCCGTATCTCGGGATTGAACATGCGAATCGATCGCTGTAAGAGCCGCAGATATGATGTATTTCTCCCCACAGGAAAAAGTGATAATGGAAATGGTTCGCGCCTGCAGGTAGGCTCCCTTTATCTGTGGATTCGGATCGTGATTCGTTAAGATTCAATGATGGTGAAGATGACTATAAATAAAGATGTGAGGTCAGTGATAATGTTTTAGAAGTGGATAATCATGTACCATCAAAAATTGGGGTAGAGGAGAGGACTGTGTGGCTCGTAGTCGGTGAATGGTGCCTTAATTTGGGCGCGCGACTTCTCAGCCCTGCGCTCCCGCAAGACATGTAGTTTGTAAATAATGGAATGGATGGTGAAGTACAACTTACACAATATTTCCTATATTCCAATTCTGATTTCTTGTACAGTAGGAGGGTGTATCGATATTCTTGAAGGACTACCAAAGTTTCTCAGCATCCACTAAGCAGGAGACCGAAAGGTCTGTCCAATGTTGTTGTTTTGGAAGGATTTGTGTAGGTATTGGAAAGTAATGATCAAAAAGACTGTGTTGCTGCTACCTCTGATTTTCCCAGCAGATGATTAAAGAGCTCTGGGGATAGCGTCAAGCAACATACGATTTAAATAAAAAGGGTATCTCAAAGTAAGAAACAAGAAAGGCAGTGGGTGGTAGTGGCATAGAAGTACAGAAGTACAAATAGGAATTTGTTGATCAAAATTGGAAAATCTTGGTTCGTCCCTTGAGGAGTTCGAAGGGTGGATGGTGGGGTTCAAAGTTGGTTGGGGTCTCTCTGTGATCTTGTCTTTTTCTCAGTCCCTGCTCTGATTCTGGGTATTGGTTCTTGATAGATAGGGTGGTTCACTGGTGGTTCACTGGTGGTTCAAGGCTGTGGGTACAGCTGATGGCTTTGATTGATTTGATTACCTACTCTGTACTTTTCCTACCTTGAAAATTACTATCAAGAAACTGCCGCTATGTCACCTGGTGGTCCGTTCCCCTTCAGACGTAAGATAGGAGAGCCAACCGTTCATTCACCCCTCATCTGTACTCTGTACACTGTACTCCGTACGTGTATAATTTACGGTGAGCAGGTGTCTGATAATCATTCATATCTGGTGAATATTTATAAATGATTTGTAAATGCATATATACCTAGGTATTCTAAACATATATTTCCCATCTAGCAAACATTACAGTACTCACTCAAAATAACAAGTGACAGCGTATCATGCATACCTAGAAGATGATGGAATTCATCCATGTGCAGTAAATACCACGTGATCAATCTATAAAAATACTGGATAACCGAGACTGACCCCGGGTGGGATTCCGAGGCAATGACCAATGATGCCTACCTACCTAGTATCTTTTAATCATACTGCCACAGCCTAGACCTTCAAGCCTACTTCACCATAAACCACAATTGCAAGAACTTTCTGCCCAATATTATCGCACACTGCAAACAAACTTGAGCATCCTCTCATCATACCGTCAAGATGAACAGATTATTCGGCGCAAAGTCCTCGACCCCAAAACCCACCCTCAGTTCCGCCATATCCAATGTACGTTCGGCCTCCTCAATCCCTAAGATCTACTAACCTCACACTCATCCGCAGGTTGACGAACGCATCTCCACAATCGACGTCAAACTCGCCTCCCTAAACGCCGAACTAACCTCCTACCAAACCAAACTCTCCAAGATGCGCGACGGCCCCGGAAAAACCGCCATCAAGCAAAAAGCGCTCAAAGTCCTCCAACGTCGCAAAATGTACGAAGGCCAACGCGACCAACTCCAGCAGCAATCCTACAACATGGAATCCGCAGCCCTGATGCAGGATAATCTCCAAAATGTCATGACGACGGTGTCGACGCTCAAAACGACAAATAAAGCCCTGAAGAAACAGTATGGCAAGATTGATATCGATCAGATTGAGAGGATGCAGGATGAGATGGCGGATTTGATGGAGGTCGGGAATGAGATTCAGGAGAGTATTAGTCGGAGTTATGATTTACCTGAGGAGGTGGATGAGGCCGAGTTGGATGCGGAGTTGGAGGCGTTGGGGGAGGAGGCTGAGTTGGAGGGGTTGAGTGGGATGGCCGAGGGGACGCCTAGTTTTATGGTGGATGAAGTGCCGAGTTTTATTGATGAGCCGCCGCAGAAAGTGGGTGAGGTTAAGGAGGCTGCTACATGAGGGATAGTGGATATTTGGTTGGCGGAGGAGAGTCTGTGAAGTGTGATTTGCGGTTTGGGGAGTGAGAAACATGATGGATTGCTTTCGCAACCTCTGTATTTCATAATGATTATGGCCAGGCTTATCAGTAGCATAGGCATTCCCATTTTTATACGGTTACAAAGGCGTTTTGGATAGTGTTTGAGGGGTGCACCACGGGTACCAAGGCGATCATCGGGGTATTATTTGATATAAAGAGAAAAGTAGTAAATCAAGACTTGCTAACCACATACATGCATATGGCCCTGAATATGTCCAAAAAAAAATGCAGCCTGTGAATGCCAACAAATGCAATCCCCTCCACTGGTATACCCAACGCCATTCCTCAAATGCATGCACACAATCCCCAAACTCCTCATGATGCACCACTAATAAAATCCACACTCATTGTCTTTCCACCTCTCCACTCTCTCCCCAAAACCACCTCAATAGGCCAAGCCGTCCATGTCTCCCACCCAGGACCCAAAACATCCAAAGTAGTTTTCAACAGATTCTTCCCCTTTCCAGCCATCCACGACAAATTAGTTATGCGATTTATAAACACACAATAGTAGGCAACGAGTAACAAAGCTTCTTTAACTTTCCTACCCATCATCGCTTCCACCTCTTCGGGGATGGAAGAAAACCAACTCATGGCCACGGAAATAGGTGAGGGGGCATTGGGGGCTCTCACGAGGCCAAAAACTCGTTTCAACATGTCCAGTGCGCGATCTAATCCTTGTCGTTGTTCGAGGGGGAGATCGCATGGAGAGCTGCTGGACCATGCGCCTGATAGTGAGGAGAGGTGGATATCGTCGGCTGGGTCGAGTGGCGGGATATAATCTTTGTGGAAATGGGTCCAGGGCTCGAAAAAGACATTGAATGGGCTTTGTTGTAAATCTTTCCATGCTTTTGCGATTACCACTTGATAACCTCTATAGAGTCTCACCCATTGAGAGTGGGGAAATGTGCTTTCATTTTCGGCACCATCCGGGCCGAAGAAGATATGGTTGGGAAGATTCAAGTCTTGTGATGTCCAAGCGAAGGTGAACAACATGATGGTGAAAGCGAAGCATGCTTGAGAGTTTTCGATGGTGAGGCTAGAAATGGCAGGTTGAAATAGTTGAATGGCGGTGGTGAGGTGGGTAGTTGATGCTTCGTGATAGTAAGCAGCTTTAGGGGGACGCGCATATGACAATTGTAAGGCGGCAATAGCAAGTACCTCATGCATTAGAAAGGGAAACTGGAAAGCTAGTTCTACGACAGTAGTTCGAAAGACTTCTTGTCCACTAGCAAAGTCGGCGAGATCTGAAACACCGTACAGGGTGTAATAATGGAGAAGTTCCATATCAAGTATGGAAAATGAATGGATTGATGGACCAGGAGATGCAGTGGGAGAGACCACCGGCCTAGGACTCAACTCAAGCTTTACAGATAAAGTTTCCGCCGATGGTGATTTTGACTTTGAGTTTCGCCGCATCACTGTACTGCATTGAGTCTCTTGACTATGAAGACTCTTCATTGGGTGTGTATGCAGATAGGAACATGTTGAACCATAATTTTCGCATTTTTGGCATGATGGCTTTTTCTCATCACACTTTTGGATATATCGTCAGCTCAGAACCACATTTTGGAAGCGGAAGGTAAAACATGTGGTAAATAGAGCTGATGTAACGTCGACAAGTACACTGAGGGCATTAGATCGGCCAAAAGGGCATTTTCATGCCAGTAACAAGGATGTTCCATTGGTGCGGTGATCATAGATTTGGAGTTTTGCAGTATGGAACTCATTCGTTCAGATGAAGCAACAAGAATCACGTACCTTGACCTTTCTTGCCTTGCATTGAAGACATCCGGTTCTACTCTTGTGATGTGGTCTGCGAGGACGGATAACATCCATTATTCGCAGACGTTATAAGGATTGTGATAAAAACACAAAATGCAAGAACCCGAAGAGAAATCTTACTCTCAAATGGAAAAGCCAAGCTCTTTCCCAATACCGAAATATGAGTAACTATTCCAGGTTCGAATTGGGAGGTAAAAGACGAGGAAGGGTCAGGGGAATCGAGAGAGAATTTGGTAGGAATCTAGAAATGGGTAATGAATGAGGCTGGCACGAGCCACAGCAAAACCTTGTCAACCTACTCGTGCAACCGAGGTGAATGGTGATGTCCAACTGGCTGGCTTGGTATCTTACAAATTCTACCTAGGTACAATTAGGTTACGAGGCTGAATAAACATAGACATGGGTCGACCTTCATCTGGAAATCCCGAGATATATAGATGAATTAATTGGGACTCGGGTAATATTCTTGGGACTCCTGGTGTCCAATGGGAATGACAGATAAGTACCCAGTATTACCTACTATGTATATTTATTCTGAGGAAACTTAAGGTTTTGGGTAAAGTTTCTGTCACGATGCAATGAGGATTATAATGTCATGATTACACGGATACGATATATACGAAGTTGTCCAGTGGCTGTGTGGCTGTGTGGCTGCCTCCATCCCGACTTCGCAACGCAGCCAAGCGAAGAATACTGCACAATCTCGGCATTGAATGCAGCCCATCCACTACATATAGCCCTACCTAGGTACCCAGTAGTCCATTCTAAATTCCACCACTGCTTTATTTCCGCAGACCGAACTCCAGCATTGGCCTAAGCTTTAGGCGACGAAAAGCCTAGAACAATTACTTTAGGGTTCAAAGATTGATCTGTTAATCAGACCACTTAAGCTACTAGGTGTACCAGAAATAACCTGTGAACTTCAGTATTATATCGTCGATCTTGAATGTCCGTCTAGGTAAGCGCTATTCTGCCAGTACTATCTATAACCTGCTGTTCAAATCTGTTCGAGACGAGGAGAGAAATTTGAAGCCTCCGAATGTACCTACTAAATTCCGCATTCCATGTTTAGAAAACCGTTTATACATCATACATTTTTGCTCTATCTAATATCAAACCAATAGCCGAAATTTTACACACATCCTCATCGCTATTTCAAGAAGCTTATAAGGCCTCTCCAGTTTTCGGTTTGTGTCTTCCTAACCGTTACATGGCGGCTGAGTGGCCTTCAGCCTCAACTGACGGTAAAGTAAGTGGGTAAGAGCCGGGCTCCGCAATGTCATTTTGTTCCGAAATCATCAATACTGCTTTGAAATCAAAAGAAATCCCTTGGGTCTCTACAAATTTCTCACCTTCGTAAGAGCAGTATTTATATCCATCAGTACTACTACCATTGACAAAGTATCATTCTCCTTATTAAATCCATACTCTTAATGCATTCTTTCTTTATTTCTTTTGCCATATCATTCAAGTTTTGAGTTTGCTAAGAATTCTGGAATCTACTCACCGCACACCATTCGAAGTCATGACAAAATCCTACAAAATCTTATTTTCCTATATAAAATTAAAAATTAAGTAACTTTTTCAATATTAAATAAAGCTATATAGTTTATTTTTGATTGATTTTATTCAAAAATTATATCTATTTAAATTCTAAAAATTCTAAAGTTTTATTTGTGTTACGTCGGACAGTAACATGGGTCACGTTCTTGATCACATGATCAAGAAACCGACAAATCGAGATCGGCTTTGCAGTGATCGAATTGTCGGGCTTATAGCCATCGATTTTTAAGGAGGCACGAAGGTCTATATAATCAAGATGGATTTCCTTTGTATAGAGCTTCGTGCTCAAGATCAATCATTTAGTATACTCTACTATTAGTTACGAATAGCATATCATTATTTGTCATTACTTAAGTCCCTGCTTGACGCCTAGTTATAAACCACCTCGAGAGCCTAGAGCACTTCCACGTGATCTAGACGGCAAACCTCGTAACACGGAGCCCTGAACATATTCATTTCAGGATAGAAGCTTCAGGTGATATAACCAGTTAGTTTCTTAGGGTGTCGTTTTTTATAAAGTACATTTCATATCTAGTCGGACGACTTAGATAACGGGTATATTGATAGATCATGGACAAGTGTTATGAGCCGTCGGATGTTGAAGATTGGCAGTGGTAACACACCGCGAAGGCTGATATCGGTCGATTTCAGAAGTGCGGTGTCAGTGATACATGCCAATATTAAGCCAGAAAAATTCTTTCACCAAGGAGAATGGAAGATGGTTTATGAGGAATAGGGGATTTATCCTGCTGTCATTTCTGCAGAACATAAAATTAATAATTTACATTAGGGGCTTCTAAACCCGTGTGTAATCAGCGGATAGTAAACAGTTCTACAAAGATTATTACCCGTCCAGAGTTCTAGGGACAAATTTATTACCTCTCCGGTTTCAAGGGTTCACCAGCCCGCGGATACCTGTCATTGAAAGGATGGTGCGTGGTCATATTGGCTTCAACACAGCTAAGCGCATATCGAATTTACGATGAATCGACCTACAAAACTTCCAGCGCTTAAATTTAGGGCTCACTACCGACGCTTGTTTATCAGCTCCACTATTAATGATTTTGTATGCGATTGCTTATACAGATGAATATGCGAAAGTCTCTTTCTGGTCTAAGAACGATAGCTGAAACTGGCTAAAGTGTCATCAAAATTTATGTATAAAAAGTAGATATATGTTTCATTTGGAGATCAAAGTAGGGTCGAGAAAGTTTCGCTTTAGTCTATTATAGCCAATTTGTTGGCGACTGGAAGCATATATTGAAATTGTCCCTCGACAACCCCTTTTTTCTTTTCAACTAAAGTGGAAGCGAATTTCAGGAGGGAAATCATCTTCATATTAAGTATACACCGGTATTCCTTTGCTGATTTTGTGTACTTCCTTCTTTTCATTCACCTTTAAGCTTAAAAAGATTTTGATACAGACTCATTCATTCTCAGCACAACATACACATCTCGTCCAATATCCTCACCCTCCTCCCGTCCCTCCAATACTAGCACATTTCTCATCCCAGGAACCCCTCTTCTCTCCGTAGAAAAGTGTCTCTCCTATTCCGCCACCTTCGTCACTTCCTTCATTGATGCTACACTCAAACCACACACCATACCACAGCACAGCACACTTACCCTATTTCTGCAAGAAAACACAGAAAAAGTATCTCTTCATCAGCATATCGTAGAGAACTAAGGGTGATAATAGATTTCAGCGGAAATTAAGGATATGATAGATTAGGCGGGGATGGAAATGGAAGATTTGGGGTATATTTCCCCATTGAAGTCCTGGAAGGAAATCTATGTCTTTATTATATCATTAGAGTATGGGAGTGATATATCTATGGAAAAGGAATGTAGTTATATTGATGAGGGGATAGAGGAGAGGTATATCGGTTTGAAAATTGAGATGGAGATGAGGATTATAGAATCTTGGTTTTTGTATACGGAGGGTTGGAAACGGAATAGAGGGGAGCTGGGGATTGATGTGGATTGGGAATGTATGGGAGGGAGTTTTGAGGACGTGGTGGGTGGGTTAGGGGGGAGTGGAGGTGGGTTGAGGGGGAATGGGGAAATTTCATTGGTGGCGGAGTGGTGGGATAGCCGTGAGGAGTTGAGGGGAGGTCGGGGGTTTGCGAACATGGATGCGGATGTCGAAGGGGTTAAGTATAAGCATGAGGATGGTGATATGAAGTAAACGAGAATCTGGAGGTAGATACAGAAAATCTGCCAGAGTTCGAACTTTAGGAATAGAATATTGAGTATTCTGAGGTTCACCCCAGATAACTTCCGAGACAGTTATTGCGATTTTATTAATCGTATTATTTATTGTATCAAATATAAGCTTGAAAAACTCTTCAAAATATATCACGGAACAGTTTTCACCTATATCTCTTTCAAATTATTATTTCAATAACTTTTTTTTATGTAGTACTCTCTAACAATACTTACCTACCTACTCGGTAGTAAGATGATATGAACAAATCATCTTCCGCCCATATCCCAACCATCCACACCTTCACCCCCCCCCCTCACAAAACCTGCACAAACACAACCAAAGCACAATTTACACAATTTACACAAACCCTACATAAAACCCAGCACAAGCTCCAAACCCTGCATAAATCTCACCACAAGCAGCCGGTGCACCTGCATAACACCTACATAAAATCCACCACGAGAATTACTCATCCAACATCCAATCATCCATCCCACCACATCGGAAAACCCCCAAGTTTTCCATTTTCCATTTTCCATCCCCATCCACTTGGATGCAGATACCTACCTAGTAGCTTAACAGCAGCTTACCAAGATAAGATCCGGAATCTCCGGATTATATATACATTAAATGGTTTGGGATTCCTCACCCTCATCCCCAATCTGTTTGTTTTGCTTATTTTCTTTATCCTCTCTTTTTTGCTATTTTATGTAAGAGCCTACTGGGTATACTTTACTTTCATGAATCTTTTCTCTCAAGGACGAATCTTCACATCGAGTCACAGAAAGAAAGTTTCATCGAGTTTGTGATCATATCATTAGCATTTCCATATTTCCCCGCTTCATCTCATCCGTTCATTCATTTCGCTCCAATACTCCAAATATAGGTTTCATCCTCGTCTATCCACGTACGATATGTATGTATGTATGAACATGCTCATCACCATATCACTACTACCACCATCCACATCTCGTCGCATCATTACCATTTATGCACAGCAAGAGAAATTAGATCGAGCGAATTTTCCATCGTCCTCCCCTCCAGCCTCTTCAAAACCTTAGACACGATCGATGATTAAAAAAAAGAAAAAAGATGAAAATGTTTCCACCACGAACACATACGTTTGATCATCATTTAGCTACGTTAAATGCAATATTTCGTAACAGAAAAAACGAAACGTTGAAGAAGTGTTGATGCTTTATGCCTATTTCACCCTGCGCTAGGAAAGAAATAAGAAGACACAAGAATAGTTGCTCCGCGAACGCCAAAAAATGATGAGGTGGTTAAGGACTGACATCAAAGTATTGTATGTACAAGGCGATGTGACATGAAATTGGGTGCTCAATCGATGTTCGAATGACCCAAAAGATTTTGAGTTGGGTTCTGTGAGGTATGTGTGTATGGTAGGTCGAAGATCTATTAGCAGAGGATGTCTTGCAGGTCAAAATAGACGGATATCACGACTAGGTATAATTAGTATGAAGTATGATATTAATCTAGCGGAATGGGAATATACCTTCTACACCAACCCCTACGCCAATTAATTCCAACTAGCTGGGAATAGCAGTATTTGTGCTCTGCGAATTTTTCCAAACTCCTCCACCAACAGCTCTAGAGACTCCAACTCCAACACCGACAGCAAGCGCAATCACAACCAAAGCAATCAAGACCTTAATCCAAACTCTCGTCTTTTTATCGAAACCAGCCATGCAACCGCAGATACCTGCACTCATTCTATCTTTTTTCATAGCCTTCTTCTTCCTCTTCATTTGTTGTTGTCCTGGCCATACCGTACATTCCTGCGTCGCGCCCGTCTTAGCCTTCATCAACAGACCTCCACTTTTTGTTGTTTGTTGTGGTGTAAGACAAGCTTCAACATCGGTATCATAGGATGTGATATTTTGCTTCGATGAGGATTTCTGTGCTTCGAGCGAGTATCGTGTAGGGTTGGGATTGTAGAATGGGGACAATGGAGAGGTTTCTTGAGAAAGACTATTCTTCTCATAGCGAGTTTGGCTTGGACTTAAGGAGTGGGTGGAATCGACATCTTGAATTGTGCTGAGGACGGATTGATTGGATTGTGTACGAGATGGAGTAGGTCGATTGATGGTAAGGACGTTTGTGGCGACAAGAGTCGATTTCTCATCAATAGGAGAGGACATGATGAGATTGACTTGATGTCCTTTCTCTTGATTTGAGAGAGTTCTATAGGTTCGAGATATTTGTATATCGATGCTCGAAAAGGGGATTACTGTTATGGTTTTTGTAAAAGCTTCTTGGATAGGTAAGTAAGGTTTGTAGAAGCTCTATCCGTGATTGCGTACTCTTTTTGAAACGAGGTAGGAACGAACGACTTTTTGTTGTGGAATGATTTCCGAATTGTTATTTTAAAGAAGCTTTTTCTCTCTAACTTGAAGCCGACAAATAATTATTCTCGAATGTAAGTTTGCGAAGATAGATAGATTAATTAATTGATTAAAATCCTTTGGAAGAAATGGTTGCAAAAGTATGGTTCAGTGAATGAATGGATCGAAGTGGAAATTTAGGCTTAGGCTTGTGATTCCTCTCGGGTGTTGCTCAGAAGCTCACCGTAGCAATCAATTCTTGGGGTTGGTGGAGTGAAGGTGGATGATAACCTAAAATAGATAGATAGATAGATAGATAAATGATTAAGGATCGGATGATGCTTTGCTTTGCTTTGTGTTTGGATAATCTGTTTTAATTTTTGTTTTAATGCGTAGGTAGGTAGGTAGGTAGGTTAATGAATGATTGAATGATTGATTGATGGGGTTTTGGATGTGTGGTTGGATAGGTGAGTGGATGAATGAGTGAGTGAATGAATGATACTCGAGTATGGTATAGACCTAGTTGATAAAAAGGAGGGGAGTGGATTGTTTTAGATACCTAGGTAGGTAGTAGATACTGGGACTGGGTATGGATTGATCACCAGATGGATTGTGGTAGATAGATATGATAGATACTAGATAGATATTTCTCATCGTACAATAGATAGGATAGGATAGGATAAAATATAAAATATAAAATATTAGCTACCTAGTTAGTAATTAGCACTCCGTACGCAATACGTATTCTACCAGTGAATACCCTAATTCGCCAGCAGTAAAAGCACGAGTACGAGCGTAACTTTCTACATAACCTCCCCTGGTCTGCTATGGTCTGGTTTGATCTTGGCTATCCTATCCTAGGTATCATTAGTACGGAGTACGATATGTCATTCCTTCATTCCTTTATTTTGAGATTGGAGATTGGAGATTGGAGATTGGAGATTGGAGATTTGAGATTTTTCTGCCATTCGGGTCTAGTTTGACCTAACCTAAGCGTACCTAGGTACTTTTGAGTTGCTGGGGCGAGGGAGGGAGGTTCTTGGGTACTTGGGTACTTGGACCTTATGCTGGTGTTGGTTTGGTGCTATCTACTACTAGGCAGGTAGAGTATTTACTTATCCGGTAACTTTAAAATAAGTCTTACTATTTGGTGTACTCTGTAGATAAATAACTCAATGTCTATTTTTCCTTTATTCTTATCCTTCATTCACTAATATTCCATAGAGAGTACAAACTCTATCATCCAACCAACCAACCCCAAACCCAAAAGCATCCTCTTCGAAGTCCCATCCCTTAAACATACTCAATTCACTCTACCATAAACCTCACCATCCCAAATAGCAGATCACTTTCCTGTTCCTAGATTTTACTTTACTTTACATCTTAGCACTAACCTACTACTAACCTACTCCCAACTAGATAGTTTCACGCATACCCATTAATCTCTTTTGAGAAAACTACTGCACCTAGTAGCCAGCTAGTACCTTTCTAGCTAGTATCCAGTAGCTAGCTAGTTCCTAACTAACTAGTACGGACGCTAGAAATTCCCCTGTAAGAATTTAGTGGCTGCTTGTTGCCCCTGATGTATCCTTGTGTTGCGTGGATACTGGGTTCTGAGTTCTGTATTAATTTTCTGCTTTGGAGGTTATTTTGTAGAAAGTTACAAAGATATGCTCGGTACGAATGCGAAGTTTGCGAAGAAGTTTTTTTCTGGAGAATTGGATTTCGACTCTGATTTTGATTTTGATTTACATTTAGATTTAGATTTTCATGGAGAGGATTTCGCAGTGATTAGGATTGTTGTTCTTAAACTATCTAGGTGTATAGGTGGAATTAACTATGGGGGTTTTTCGATGCAGTTTACACTGGGAGGACTATAGACAGGGATTTACGATTTATATTCATGATCAATAGAACCAAACCACTGATAAAAAATCTTCAATCTCCCATCTAAATACCGACAGGTATCTATCTATCTGTTGATCTTGTGACTAAAATTACAAGTACAATATTTCACCAAACGTTTATTTCTGCAGCTATATATACATAGCACGAAGTACATACATACTAACAACACAAGATGGTCCTCTTCTCGTGGAAAGGGATTTTCCATATGTGTGTCTGTTACCCATACATATGCAATGCACATTTCGTACTAAATATCGTATGCGCTTGTTGAGCTTATTTTGTACGCCGCAGCGTTACATAGCTGGGTATTTTGTGTAAATAAGCTTCCGGTAAAGAGAGATATTTATTGCTTTGGTGTTACGCTCGATGAAGTATGGTATAGAGACAGAGAATTGAATTGAGTGAGTGAAATGAATGTATGTATTAGAGTTACATTGGGTATATCAGGGTCTTTTTCGTTTAGATTAATTGTATGCTATATCTTCATACGAGTTGTATGTTTATTGTGTAGAGTCGAGTTGATCGTTATGGTAAGTTTCGTTGTTTGTATTTATCAAATATCTAAGTGTAAATAAATTGAGCTTCTCATTGCTTTATCTTCAATTTCTATTTTAAGTCTTGACGCGTTGCTCATCGTATGATGGTGGCTATACAATATCTGTTGGTGTACAGAGCAAAAACGGGGAATGGGTCAATAAGATGGGTTCTTCCTCTTCACCCAAACCCATATCTGCAATATCTCGACTTCCAGGAAATAGACCTAACCAGAGTAAATACTATCCATATTCATACCAAACAAACCACTAACTAAACTTATCCTAAATCGAAAAAGATATGGACCCGAGTAGATGGGTATGAAGTATGAAGTACGAAGTGTGAGTTCGTATAGGGATGAACGACAACAACGACGAAGTATCCCACTTCCCATCCATCTTCCCATTTCCCCAATCTCAAAATTTCCCATCTGCTAATCCTTTCAATATCTCTTCCTCCCTCTCGTCCTAAGTGATATACCATATAAGTGCTGATACTAGATGCATGTATATCCTACCTTTCATACTACATATACCCCATCTTTCGAAAATCGATAAAGCACGTAGTGTACTTATCGGACGCATACCCAAAACAAACTAACCGCCAACGCCTCAAACCAACATTGATCGAAGTTCGATTGATTAACCGATGGCAAACTAGAATCGTCACTCTATAGGCTCATACACAGTACATACATACCCATAAAACCCATGTCACCATTACTCTTTCGCGCTTTACTAGGTCCTCTAGCCCCGGGGAACCCCATTGTCCAATCACACTACAGCATAAACATCAATACCGGAATTCACCAACACTCACCCACCAGTGACCCAACCAAACAATTCCTCGCTTCCCTCTACAAAGCATCTTCTCAAAAATATCAGATTTTCATCCGCGGGGTTACTTTACTCAATTACTCAACTAGGTACATGTCTGTGGACTTCATTTCATGCATCATGCTTGAAAGTAAACAGCAGAATTAAGGTTCTTTTAATTTCTCCCTACCCGCCCGCAGCTCGCTACTCTCCTTTTGTGCAGTCTGGATTCTGGACGTATGTGCAGCGAGGAAATACACAATTCGAAACTCTATGCACGCACCAGAAGATGAAAAACTATGATGATACGCTAAGATTAGCTACTTTGTTCGATAGGGATAACCTGGTCTCTTTGGTGTCCGAGTTGGTTTCATGCTTTTTGGCTGTACTAAATAATATCTCGCATCTCGCATCTGACGTTAGGTTCGCGGACCTACGAACTAAAAATTTAAAGTGGTGGCGATAACGCCATGTTCATTTCATTTCGACGTTTTCTTGTACTCCGTTCGTATGTGATATCTATTGCACACAGCATATACGTTGTAAGATCTTACAATTCATCCCTTAATCAATCCATCTCAAATCATCCATCAATCCGTCAACGAAATCTCCTTTCATATATTCCTTCTCAAAATGATGAGGCTTTTAGCGATAGCGTTCGCCACGAAGGCACTTGAGTATGTTTATTTACAACTAGATATACGCCTTACGTGAAAATCTCGAAAGGAAACTAGATAGCATGGGCATACGGCCCGGTAGATAAAGCGAATAAAAGCCATCTTTTTTCTAGATGTGAGTTAGGGCGTCCGCGCTATAAAACTCCTCTCATTCAGTAATCTGATTAAGCCTCACACGTATTCTCTCGCTTGCAACAATAATGTTTATTAGAATATAATTTGATTTCTAGTTTGTTGATTCTTTCTGTTGGCAGGATACTTGGGGGTTGGGTTTGATCCCTGCGTTTGATTTGTTGGTACAACATGGTGACAGTATGTATCGGAATATCCCCAGATAATTCCAAGTTGAACGGATGGGATATAGGATCTTTTTCCGCGCAGTCGGGAAATTGGGCTACTAGGCTCTGCAAAGGTCATGTGCATGCATGTACATGTACATGTGCTTGAACTTGTTGTTTCCCTCCAGGGCGCACCCGCACGAAAGGAAGCCAATTGAGAGTGGAGTTGAGGTGCTTTTCAGCTAGTTAGGGGAAAGGGGTGGAAATAATCGAAAGATGGGGGTTAACAGTGGGCGCGGGGTATAATTTGGCTAGATGCGTGGGGAAGTGTTGTTCAAGTGATGGTAAGACGGTAGGTGAATTGTAGTATTAGGTGGTGTGTATAGAAGTCTATTGGATTCATACTTTCTCTTCATGTTCTATTTAATTGTTCTTTGCTATGGGTATTGGAATATTTTTATTATTTCAAACTTGGCTATATTCAAGTTGATGGATTGGCGGTTCTCATTGTGATAGATATAGATGGTTGAGAGTCTTTTCATACTGTTTGTCTTCTGATCATAATACGCTACCGAAGAATGAAGCTATTAGTGAGGTAGAAGAGATAGGTTTTGTTAGAACAATGTTCCTCTTTTCATTATCACTTTCTACTATCTTCCCTCCAGTGAGTAGTCAATGGATCTGATAATAAAAGTTAAGTCGAGGTTCACTATTTGCTGGTTAATGGGGTTTGTATCAAGAGATAAAAACCTCTCTATGTATGTATAACTTCCGATTATTGTATAATTACGAAAAGATATTTGTACATATAGTCAATCTATTCACTCGCAAACATATTCAATAGATAAATTCTCTTGAAGTAATACATAAACAAGTGTTATGTACCATCCTCCAAGATCATCAGCACATAAAATTCAAAATAAATTCTTCTCCCCAAATATCCCATTCATCCACCCCAACCTCTGGAAAACAATCCAGTGAATCTCCAAGTTCACTTCCGGTTTTCTTACACAATATATATCACTAATACACCATCATATCACAATGATCACAAACATTAACTTTTACAATCTCATCAAATCTACCATTCATGTGACGGAAACCCCTGCTTTCCTCCCACCCTTATTATATAAGAAACCTCAGGTACATTAACCATGTCCACACATGATACGATTACTCGGGATTAGTATACGATTTAGGTGACCTGAGGATCAGATCCGGACAAGTACTAGGTATCAATGGTTATCGGTAAAGTAAGATCATTAGAGGGATAAATATGACTTCTTTTTGCCTAGCCATTGCGGCTAGGCCATTCATTTGTGTGTATATAGAGTAGCTATCCCCATCTACAGGTGCTCTTCACCTGTAGATTCTAAGTTAAATACAATTGCTGGTCTATAAACACCCTTTTAGTCACAATTCACTCAACACATTCCACCCATTTATGTAAGTCTAATACCCTACTTTCCGGCCACCCCCTAACTCCGGCCACTTTTTACACCAAAAATCTTGATTTTCCACTATTAATAACTTTACAATTAATGAATAAAATTTGATGAAATTTGAATTATAGATTTTATTAAATAGATATTAATAAATCATAGAATTTTCAGATTTTTCACAATTTTATTGATTGAAATATAAATGATTGAAATTACGATTTTCAATTTGTATAGGATTTATTGTTACGAGGTTTGCCGTCTATCCCACGTGGATGTACGGCAGGCTTCGTAACACTCGACGTGGTTTATACCTAGGCGTCAAGCAGGGACTTAAAGTAACGACAATAATGCAATTCGTAACTAAGAGTAGAGTATACTAAATGATTGATCTTGAGCACGAAGCTCTATACAAAGGAAATCCATCTTGATTATATAGACCATCGTGGCATGCGTCCCAGTGCTCCCAGTTGTCCCAGTTGTACTGGGACAGCTGAGCCTACTGGGATCCTCATATCACATGATGCTAATCACGTGATGTTAGGTATGTGAGATCCGTCGTAACATAAAAATCAGAATATTTTGATTAATATTAAAAGGAATGACCTTACACAGGGAATAGTGGGAAGCTGACAGGGCAGAACTGAGGCTATATTGGGCTTTTATATGAATCACACATTGTCTCTATTCTACAGAAATGCGAAGCTCTTCTACAGAGAGCTTCTCAATCTAGTCCTAATAGGACTAGTGCCTTGTGCACATGTGCCACGATTCACCATCACGTCGGACAAGTAGGGATCACGTGATGGAGCCTCCAGGAGCATAGGCTCCTCCAGGCTCCTGCAGGCTCCTGGAAAGGACCAGTATATAAACATTCATTATTTTCATAGTATAGGAGCTTCGTGCTCAACTTAGTTATCAATTAGTCTACCTACATTCTACTTGATCTAGTAACGAATTCACTTCCAAGTGAATACCAGTGATAAAGCCTTAACCCATAACTACCAACCAAACGAAACCTTAGGCAGCCGCTGCCTTCAGTACAGTATCGTTACAGACAAGTGGTCGTCTATATTGGGGGTGGCCCAAAAGTAGGGTACTAGACTTATCGTGAAGATGGATTTGCTATTTCGATAATTTAGGAAGGACTAGGGACAATCTTAGAAGAGCTACACAGCACCAACCTCATACACAGACTGGGCTGACAGAATAAATATCTATGCATGAAAGATATTTTGCAAGACTTTTCATCTAGCTAACTGCAGCCTGCTTCCCAAATTCTGAATGACTAGCTGTAAATTAGGTTATCCTTACGAATGGACACCACATACTCCCCGTTTTTTCTATCTCCATCAGCGCTTTCTTTGCTTCGTTTCTCTCGTTTGGTTCACTTCCTACCACTGCTACTTATTGAGCTAAAACTCGATTTTTTAATCTGGCAGTTTATCGTTTTACTTCTCTATAATAGTTAATTTTAACAGTAGTGCTGGTGAAGATGCTGCTCACAGTTGCACAATACGTGGTTTGCAGTGCGTTGCTACTTTGGATTGACAAGGGGGATGGTGGTAGCTAGAGGTTTTCAAGGAGGGGAAATTATGTTTCTGAGGATTCCTGCAAGCGCCGTGAGAATATAAGGGTGAATCAGAGGAAATGCGGGAGTCGGTGGTGGTGAGGAAATGGTTCATTTAGAGATTTGTTGAAGTAGTTTGTTAGGGGAGGGGGAATAGGATTTGATTTCTTTCAATGTGGTTCTGTGCCGTGGGAAGAGTATCAAATGCCCGTTTCGCGACGATTCTCGTCAAAGATCTTAGCTTTCGACATCAAATGAACAGAGATTCTGGGGCTTGGTGGATGTAAAGCTTCGTGCGTTAGGTGATAAGGGGGTCGTAAAAATCGTTCTTCACTGCGGTTCAGTAGATTAGTAGTTGTTAGGTTTCTTGAGACTAGAAAGAGCATCAGATTGAATTGACTGATTTTCTAGCTGAGCAGTTAAGCTGCGAGTATATATTCAAAAAATGAAGGAATAGATTGGGTATTCGGCCTTCGGAATTAAAGTGCTTTGAAATCAAAATATTGAAAGCAAACAAACAGTATACCAAAAAGGAAAGAATGAATTAAAAGTTGAGTTTTGTTTGCTCCTTATATGCATATGTACTATATATGCATATGCTGCCAAGATCCCAGGAGGTCAACAGTAGTTGTTGACAGTATTAACACAGGCGCATCCCGATTGTTATATGACCTTTCTTTTAATAGGGTGCCGAGGAGGTCGCTCTTGATGAGAGTAGATTGGTTGATTGATCGGTAAAAGAAGACAAATTAGGAGGTGTGTCTATGTTCGCTTAACGTATAAGCTAATAACTGCTAGCACGGTAGGAGAAGCGAATGACATGGACTAAGGAACGTGCATGGGAAAACCATATTAGAGAATGGAGCAAGATTGAAAGGAGGACGTGGTGTTTTATTTGGGATTCTGGAGGTAAGTCAGTGAATCTTTCGATTGTACTAGGCTGCATCGCACGCAGTAGTTGGATCAATCAATTTCCTTTTCAGTGAAATTCCGCTTATTCTTTGCTTAAGCACCTGACCCTGTCAACTTCCTTGTTGGCAGATTCGCTCCTTGATCTCCCATCATATCTTGGTATTGGCTTATATTCCCTATTGAAAACACACTTCTACCTCTTTTCTGCTCTTTTCCACATCACAACCACCGAAAAATAAGATCAATTGTCGTGTATGAATATTTACGAATCTGATACCACATCCCTCTTCATATGTGCTGAAAGCCCCTGACTACGCCTACCCAAGGATCAACAAATATTCCTTTGTCCTATCTCTATAATCAATCGCACTGTTTTTCTTTCTCTCTCTCTATTAATTCTTCAACACAAAGTAAAGTGCCGGAAACAGATTCCTTGAAAGGATGGCTTTGTTCCTAACATTTCTTTTTTAATTCACAATTTTTATCACCATCAATATTTCAATTGATAGAGTCGTCAAAAGAGTACTTTTAAAAAACATCATTTCAAGTCTTTTGAATAGCAAAATATAGACAATATGGCTGTAGGAAAGGATGCTGCGCTTAGGCGAGAACAAACTGCGCTTAGGCGAAAACAAAAAGAAGCGGGGAAGGGTGGGAAGGGAATGGATGAGGGGAAGGGGGGAGGTAAGGGGAAGGGAGTAGATAAGGGGAAGGGGGAAAGTAAAGAAAAGGCGGGAAAAGTGGGAGATAAGTCAAGTGAGGGAGATGGGTCAGAAGAATATGTGAGGACAGTGACGAAGACGAGAGAGAATAAGACTATCCTGGCGGGTTCCAATATCACCACACACTTAATACACACCCCGGAAATTATTGCAGTTCGGATAATGCGTGAGTTTATATTTCTTTAAAACACTCTGATGTCAATCTGAGGATGTGATTTTGATCTAGTCAATTTTCAAGGAAAAATATTGATGCTAATCTTTTTTTTTAATCGTTTTTAGGCGCTTTCAGTTCGAAAGAAATCCGTCAAAATAAATGGTGCTCTGTTAAACACAATTTAACAGCAGACAACATAGAGATTGATGCGTGTATTGCCAATGGGGCATTCGGAGTAGTGTTCCGCGCCGAGAATAAAGACACCAGAGTTGCTGAAAAACCTGGTATTAAATACGCTATTAAAGTCTCGAACCTTCGATTGGACGATTCAGAGGATGTTTATGAAGCTGATATGGGTTCGGATCACAGTCCTGTTCTTACAAGGAGTAGTGAGGCTTCTATTCAGGAAGTGGAAGAAATGAAAAGGAGGAGTTTATACTCTAAACGTGCCAGGGAAATAAGGACATCTTTGGAGTATATTAAAACAGGACATCTCAATGTGTGTAAACTGGAGGGCTGGGCCGAGTTTGACACCTTGGGAAGCCATTTTCTCATGAACATTATGGAGCTTTGCGATCTTGGGACTCTCAACGATCTGGTCAATAACATTGTAGTGCATGTGGAATACATTCCGGAAGCATTTATGGTGAGTTCAAATCCATCTTCTCTTTTTCAAGTTGCGTGGCAATGGCTAATCACAAATCATAGTGGCACGCTTGCGAACAATTGTTTGATGGCCTTGCATTTCTCCACGGCGAGCATCCAGATTACAGAGACAAACCAGAGTTCAGAGGGAATAAATCAACGGTTCTTCGTGATATAAAATCAGACAACATCTTTATCCAATCGCCTCCTGCGAATTCTCCCCCCAATACATATCCTGCACTAAAATTGGCAGATTTTGGCGAGGCTATACATCTACCCAAAGGAGGCACGCGTGACTTTCACTTCGGGAACTCTTCCTGTGAACCACCCGACACCAAGCTGAGTGCAAAATTTGATGTTTGGTCCGTGGGCGCCCAGATATATTACATGGCGAAGAGTGGAAAGTATCCAAACGTCGGATGCGTGTTCCGATCAAAGGGCAAAAAACAGCTATGGGGCGATATGGGCCCGAAAAGAAAAGCAATGGTAATAGAGGCGAGGAATAGTCTTAATAGGTTCGAGCCTATTGATGATCATTTGACTGGCGAGTTACAAAGACATATCAGATGGATCATGAATCTTGATAGACACCAGAGACCGTCCGCATTGGAAGTATTTAGGAGAGCCCAGGTATTGAATGGGGAGAGGAAGAAATTGATGTATCGGAAGCTCCCAGACTATGTACAAATGGATATTAGCCGAGAATTCAAGACCTTGGAACTGGTAAATACAGATTGGAAGATGGCTCAGGCGGAAAGAGAAGGATTTCTCTTTGAATATGGGGGAGGACTTCCGGTCAAGAGAAGAAACAGGGATAGGCTTCAATTATGGAAAGATTTTGCGAATGAAAAAAGGTTAGAACGGGAGAAGATCCAGAAGAGGAAGCTCGAGATCGACAAATATATGGAATTGGAACAGCATGCGAATTTAGATCGTGGAAGGAGGAGCGTGTTGGCGGCTGAGGAAATCGCCAAGATCAATAAAGAGAGAAAGGATAATGGTGGTTGGTTGCTGCCAGGAAAAAAGAGGAGAAAGGTTAACTTTCGTAAACGTAGAGTCTACGGGGTCGGAGAGGTGTAGGAGGTTATGGAATTGCAGTTGCCTAGGAGATATGTGGAAGAAGTGGTATTTATGCAGCAGCTCGAGGCGTATGAGAGAAGAACTGGTGAGATGCGATTTGTATTTGTTTACGCTATTCTATCAAAGGTTAACTCACAATTTTAACGTTTTTTATGATATGATCAGAGCCTAGAAAGATTATTGATTAGACTTCCCCAAGCAGTGCGTTTTAAAACTCAAACGTCTAAAAAAGACTCGCAGTTGTGTTTCATATAATTCATTGCATGCATTATTAACGGCTCTATCACTGGAATTTCACCTCATATCAGGACACCGCATTACCTGCCGTTTTACATATCAGGTTCCTGTATATTTTTCTTCTTTGGCTTTCTCGATCATCTTGATATCAGGTCATGGGGAATAGTTCGATTAACTACTCGGCTAGGTCCTCTTCGACACTCCTGGAAGCTCTACTCCTAATTCTAAACGTATCTCATAACATTAAATTGATCTAGTCTAGATTCAATCCAATCCAAGTTTGCGAAACGTTTATTCTATCCCCATACCCAATTCATGCCCAGTTCTCTAGTCTCAAAGAGTCTGGTGAGTCTACCCAAGTAAAGTCCAATACAAAGACCCTACCGACGTTGCCCCTGCAAAAATCATTGCCTCTACCAAAAAAGCTGGCGCCACATACGATGTAACCCACCTAGCAACCGCCGCTCCTACAAACCCCATCCAAATCACCACTGCCGTCGTGCTCCATAGATTATCCCACCTTGCAAATCTTGATTTCTTCTGCTCGTCCGCATTTCTCATGCTAGTCCCCCAGCCGCCTTCAAGAACAGTGAGGACAGACCAGAACATGATACCTGGTAGGGGCAATTGATAGAAGAGTTGGGATAAGACGAGATACTTAATACTACCCACGTGCGATTTGTTGCGCCAGAAATTGTAACTTGTGCATAATACCACACGGAGGAGGAAATCCCAGGATTGAAGTGCATGGACTGTAAAGCCTGTGAATACGTAACGAATAGTGAAGACACCGATAATTAACGGTCCATAAAAACGACGCATGGCAGTTACAAATAGAATAACACCATGAATAGTGTAGATTTGTGGATACTGGAAACATTCAATATGGGTAGCGCGGGCCCAGCGCATTTGTTGAAGGAGCCAGCGCAGGAGAGTAGTAGGAGTATCGGTGGAGGCGAGCGCAGAGGTGTTGAAGGTTACTTTCCAGTTTTTGAGGAGGAGGTTGGTGGTGAGATGACGATCTTCGTTGACAACGGTTTTGACGCCGATGGAGGTTTGTGTGTACCATGGTAGGAGAATAGACTCAAGTGCTATGAAACGGAATGCGGCGCAAGGCCCGGGTTGACAGTCTACGGCATCCACGGCGCCAGTTTGTCCACGTGTAATAGCCAGTCTAAAAGTCCACACTGTTAGAAATGTCCCCTAGGAAAATATTTAATGAATGAAATACTTACTCAGACCAATAAGCCGCACTCCCCAAAGCAGCGATCGCACTTTCATTATCATTATGAATACTCAAAGCCGAACAACTCCCTCCGATCAACGGATCCGCAGACATACATCCCACCGTTTGATACAAAGTATCTGGATAAACAATGGTATCTGAATCACTAGTCCAAAGATATTCAATCTTATTCGCCTGTCCCAACGCCAACGAAAAAACCATATTGGTGAACATGATATCCTTTTTGCACTTGTGAGGTTGGTAGAGACATATTGCATGGAGAGCTTTAGATTTGAAATCAGGAGAGGGAAACAGAGCATTGTGTTCGCGAAGAGTCGTGGCCGCTTTTTCAAGTACGATGCGGAAAGCATATGCGTATGCTTCGGATAAGAGAGCCGGGGGGACATCTGCGGAATCGAAAGATGCGGATGCTGATGCTGATGTCCATTTTGAGGATGAGGCCTTTTCATCGTAAAGTTCGCGAGTGATATAGTTTTGTGCAATGCGGACAGCGAGAGGACCATATGGTTCTTCGACATGTATTTTTGTGAGATCTGGAAATACCTTGAAGCAAACAGTTGTTAGTTTTGTTTGATAATACCTAGAAATTCCTGTGGGAAGTTTAAGAGAGGGTGCGCGGGCGATACGCACTTGTTGAGCCACAGAAACCATCTCCATGTCCCCATCTTGATCACCATCAATGCCAATCAGCATGATTGCCAAGCCAGGAGATTTATGATAACTTTGCAAACATCTCCTCCACATATTTGCCTCCTCACGATATCCTACTACAGAGGCAATACATTTTGCAGCCACATCGTCTTTGGTCTGAACTCCCTTCTCAGCATCCTCTAACGAGAGTTTTTGTTCTAACTGTTTGACTCTTGCTATATTCTTCCTGCGGTTTATCTCCGCTAGAGACATTTGCCATAGACTTTCAATAGTAATTGGGGCAAATGTAACCAATCTTCTGAAATAGCGGAAGATAATAAAGAAAGTGACCACGCAAAGGATGCCGTTAAAGACCTGCCTATGAATGGATGGTAACACAGGTACTACAGGCATGATTCCCTAGTCATATAGCTCAAACAAATTACGGAAAAATGAGGGAAAAAATGTACAAAGAAATTTCAACAATAGGAGGAGCGTCAATCAGACCTTTTTCTAACAACATCTCCTTCATGCAGCTATGTCTTTAAAGTTACTTGAGCCATGTTGTGTAGGACGGCTTGTACTTGTCCCTCCCTGCTGGTCTAATCAGCTAAGTCGTGGGACTTTGGAGTTTAGTAATCAGGATGACTTATAAAAGCATATTCTTTGACCAGCTCACAGAGATTTGTGATCTGTCTGGAAATTCTGTCATTTGCCGGCCTGAATATATATTCATACGCAAAGCACGCACAAACTTTTAATTTTGATTAGAATTACATTAGAAGCTTAATTGGGTGAAAAATCTTTGTTTAAATTTCCAAAAATTATTTTGAAAAGTTTGATAGTACAAGTTAAAACTCTTATAGGCTTGAAATTTAATCCTTTGTAGAGTTATTTTTTTTTTTCAATATTATTAAATAAAAATTATATAATTTAAACTAGATATTAATAGAATTTGAATATCAAATTTCATAAAAATAAAATATATTATATATTGAATAGTAAACAAATAAGATAAGATTTTCTTGAAATTTTATATTTTAATAATGTTTTTAAAACATTAATTAATCATAGACGGTTGATTTTAATCCTAATAAAGATTTTCTTTTAATTGAAATAATCTTTTAAATTGAATTTTATTAGAGATTTACAAGCTTGATTTTATACGAGAGTAATTTGTCTGTTTACTCACAAATCAAACACTTGAGTAAAATCACATTTTGTAATCTAGCAAAAAAACGATGATCCCAAATACACGGAGTAGATATAAAGTTGACACTAAAAGTGCTCCACATCAAATTAGGTTTCTGTGAGCTGGTGAAAGAACGGGCCCTTATACAGAAAACGTTCGACCGTTAGAGACTAGAGAGAAATAGGCAAATGGAGTCGCAGTCTCCACCAGCCACCGCCGTCATTCATTCTTCGAGAACTTTTCCTAGCCCTTCTTTGACCGCAAGATGAAACATTTGGTAGCCTTGCATAAGGTTCCAGTCAAACTCCTCTTCTCCAATGAGGAACTTGATCGAAACAATCATACATGAAACTCAATTCGAGTACCGGTACCTGTAAAGGTTCAAAAGTGGATCACACAATGGAGAATCCATGTTCACCCGTTCAAAGTTTCTTACGAACTTTATGGGAGCCTTGATTGTGAAAATATCCAACTTATAACCTTACTACTCTGTATACTAATGTATTATGACAAATTTTATACTATATATAAAGGTTAATAGAGTGATTATTATAAGATACATCAAAGGTAAACTATTCTTGTTCTACAAATAGAAGTTCTAAATAATAATATTATTATATTAACTGAAATTTCAAATAATTAAATATAATATTATAATTTCAAGATTTTCTAACAAAATCATTTAAACTCATCAAAATATATTCTTTATTCTTTCAAAAAAAAGTTATACAGCTTTCAAAAAATCCAAAAGTTTGGAATTGTTGAAATTTAATCAAAAGCTTCAAAAATTGAAATCTTGAGCAGTTTAATCTAGTGGAGTTTCTGAAAGTAGTACTAGTAGACAATAAATCCGGCAATATGTAGGTAGAAAATGTCTTACAACACTTGTCCCATCAACCTTCGTACATCTGAAGCTACACCAGGCCAAGTGTCGTCACACCGCCAAAGGCGGATGTTATGGTTGAACCTCAATGATTGTCAGACGGTGTACTTCGAAGATTTACAAACTCTATGGAGAAAGCGGTATATTCGTCACCCACATTCAGCCCAGAGCCACTCTCCGGGTGGAAGAATGTGTCTTTACTGGACCCGATTCAGAACTATAAGTCTCATCATGTGAGTTTTTGTTGATTGTCAAGACTGGCGCAAGCATAGTATGGGCGGATTGAATGTCTATGCAGTTTCTAACCACAAACAGTGTTATATTCAGAATTCCAAGAGAGCCTTTCCCACAAAATCCAGACTGTGGACGTTTTGAGCAACGTGAGCGATACTCTGTGCATTTATGACACAACTGCGTACAGCATATACAAAGGTCTGCAAACCAACATACAGAGGACAAACTAAGCTTCGGGTCGACGAGCCTGAGCGAGCTGAGCTTCCTTCTGGCGGTCAACCAGGTTGGTCTCTCGACAAGGACAAGTTTCTTTCTATGTTTGAACACGCCCAGAAGAATTTTCCGCGCCTCAAGTGGACCGTGTATATTGAAGATATCACTTTCGTCTTCTGGAAAAATACACTTTCAGCTGAAAAGTAACCATCATATTATGGCGCCAGAGCGGGGAAAGGTAATGCGCAAGAAAGTGCATGAATAGTAATCTCCCATTTTCGGCAGACCTAAATGTCCCACTTTCCAAGAGTTTGCCGATTCCACATCAAACTCTTGTTGCGGTGACATGATTCTGGGAAAAGTGTTGAGTGATCATGATATGATCATAAACCAATGAGAGCACTGTGGTCCAGTTGTCGTTGAAGAAAACCACCTTAGAAAACATGGTTCCAAGATGTTTCAATGCTTAAAAAATAACAGAGACCAATGATCTTCCATGATATCTTCCTCGCAATACTATCTGCATATCCCAAGGACCTTCGCGATAATTGGGATAGTTTTGCGTCTCGCCATAAACTTACAAGAGAGCACTATGCCCACAATCACCAACCCACCTTGGGATCCACCAGCTCCGGTCATACAGGATACAAGCGCACTTATGCAGGCCAATACTCCACCTGAAGCATGTGTCGCAGCATGCAATGCATTATTCTCGTGTCGCATTTGAAGACATGTGATTGGTGATGAAAACAAAAGAGCGTAGTCTGGACATAGTGGTGATTCTAGGGAGACAGATTGAGGGTCAGGCCTCGTGTGATGAACATGTGATTAATAATACTCGGTTACTCGAAAGACCGACTACGAAGTAGTCGGGGAAAGCAATGTCTCCGAATTTTCCTTTCTTCAATTTCATAATATTGAATATGAGCTTTGATATTAAAAAACGAGAGGAACAATTCCCTTTTCGGGAATATTACTTTCCAGATTACGAAGTAGTCGGTCTTTCAAGTAACCGATTATCATTCTGTCATCAAGAAACCTGCAGCGGCACAAAGAGTTGCAAATTAATATATTTCGCCTATATATCAGCGATATCCAAAGTGCCGAAACCTCTAGGTATGGAACCTGTAGATTTAAAACTCCAAAGCACCACATTCTTTCTTTTCAACAATCTTTTTGATTCTATCCACCATCCACCCACTTTCCATATAAACGCCGTCGTTTACCCTTCGTCCCATTGCTGCCATATGACTAAGGTGACAATCATCATCCTGATACTTCCAGCTCAAACATTGATCCCAGTCTGCACAAGCCTTTCTACAATTTTCCTTCGATGCCCATGGTCTTGCATCCCTTTGCGCTTCAGTTATCTCTTTGAACTCGGGAGTATAAGAATCTTCCGTTGAAGAAAATGATTTAGCTGCTGCATAATTATCCCATTCCGAGCGCGTAGCAACCAGTGTTGGCGCGAAGAAGTATTTAAAAACATCACGGTAGCGCACTCGGCCCTTTCCTTTAGTCTCCTGCATGAACTGGTTTTCGAAAACGAACAACCGGGATATATCAGCTTGATGAACTTTGTGGATATTCATAATTGGTGAGCACCAGTTCCAGTCACCAAAGCCGACTTTCCATGTCGGGAGGGTTTGCAAAGCAGCCCACCCACCTCCGTCTAATGCCGTGAGACGCTCTACACCCATTTCTTTCATGGCATGTGAAAGGACTTGATCTCCACAACAATGCTCTTTCGCATAGGATTCGTACCTTTCAGCCAAAGTCTTGTCTGCACCAAATGAAGCCGCCATAGCTTTCCCTGAAACGGCGAATCCAGCCCCGCCATGGGCAAAGTTTTCGCCCATTTTAAAAGCTGATGATCCGACCAGAAGAGGAGAAGTGTGGTCTAGACTTGCAAGCCATGCGTAAAGTGTCTCCCAAAAGAAGTAGTTATCGTCCTCCATATATATATACCATTTCTTGCCAGGGTGGTGGATGGCAGCATGTTGAAACATGGGCAAAAATTTGTATTTGTCCAATCTCCAGCCACCAGGTAAATCAAAATCACCGTCTAGATTTCCGCTCTCTTGATATAAGTTGTGGCTGACAGCCTCGCTGGCTTTCTTGTAGAGTTCAAAGTCAGGTGATGCTTTGAGAGTCGCGGAGACGTTTGCGAGAGAATCAATGACCGGGTTTCCGTTGATATTGTCCGCAATATCAGAGTAATAGACGACATTGGGAGTGAGTTCTTTGTTACCCAACGTGGTTGACATGTGCATGGGCATCCTCCTCCAAATGGATGTAGCACCAGTTTTGACCAAAATGATGACATCCTTTGGATCGAGACCTGTGGTACTGTAGATTCTGCTTGGTTCTTCCACCAGCGGCTTTTCAGCACTATTTTTGACGCTGACGGTTGGATACGTCGAAGGAGTTATAGTTGGTGAATCTAGATTTATAAAATGGCCCTGTGGTATTTGATCGGTAACTGCCGTATACTGTGATCTATCCACAAATAGAACATTGTTTTCACTCAGTCCCATAACAATAAATACTGCTACGAGAAAACTGATCCATAAGTATCCCTTGAAATGCCGGGGTAAAAAGTTCCCAATGTGTGACGTTGACATCGTTAAAGACAGCTGGAGTGACTCAAACACGGGAGAGAGTGAGAAACACAGAAGTTGTCAAGTACTGGTATGCTAATATTGAAGATATAGATAAGTAGATGGGTAGATGATTGGGGTCATTGCTAGGAAGTATGCAAAATTAGAATGAAATAGTTTTTGGCTCCTCTTTCCGTACTCATCATACAGGCGCAGGCAGGCGACCGGGATCAACTTTTCAACCCGAACATGCTGTACAAGGACAAGGTATCATGCGGACTATATTTTTATGGTCCAAGATGATGCTCTAAAACAAAATATTATTGCCAATTAGTTTGGTAGCCTTGCATACCTACCTAATACTCTGACCGAGTTATCAAACCTCTAAAAGAACTGCAGAAATATCTCTCCAGCTTAAAATAAACATTTCTCTAGTGACTAGTCTCATGCCAGCCGCGCGTTCCGAGCTAAAACAAGGTTGCGGTTAGGGATTTTTTAAATTTTTTCTCTTTACCGTCACGCTTGTTTCTTCAAGCCTTTTCCTAATTTGATAAGATTGTGATCTGAGCTTCCAAAACAAACATTGTTGTCACCGCGATTATTAATCATTGTCACCGGAAGTTCCCTATCAGGCAATAGGTCAGGTTTGCGGATCCCTTGCGGCCCCTCACTATTGCGGACTCATGTGAAACCCAAAGCATGAAGATCTTCTTACCCTGGATGTTTCTCCACCCATCGTGTTTTCCTGACCTCTGGATTTTTTCACTCTAAGTCTCACGATGTACTAGTGTTGCGTTAGTTAACACCGAGGTTACATGTGAAAAAAGGGTGGTTATTTGAAGGTGTCCATGTACGTACATATTGGGCCTGTGGTAGGGTTGATATTGCTGCCCTCGAGGTTCTGTATGCTGCGAATTGCTGCTGAGTAATGCCCATGCAAGAAAGTGAATGTAAAGTGGTGCACGTTCGAACATATACCCAGCTAGCTGGACACCCTCCAGCACGACAACCGGGCTTAGATCGCGAATTCGTGTTGCAACATTATCCGACAGCCGTACAATATCCACGATTCACTGCGAGCAAGTGTATTATATGGCGTCTGTAGATTTCCGATTTGTCGCCTATTAACCTGGTAAATGTACAGAATAAAGAACTTCGCAGGGTCTAGTTGAGATCTAAGCTTGATTCTCCAAACGCCTTACAAGAACTCCAACAACAACTGGGCCGGCAATCGTGCAAATCACTACAGCCCAAGCGATGACAAAAAACACTGCTTCGCCAAATGTGACAGTGGTATTGTTTCGGTTCTTCAACAACAGAGTGCCTGAGCTTTGCGAAAGGGACGCAACTAAGAACCCGATTTCTCCTCTAGCAACCATGGAAAATCCCACGAGTAAAGCTTCTTAATGTGGTGGACGGGTACTAGCAGCTGCTGAAAACTCCTTTTGCTGCGTTGGCATACGGCTTGATGCAGTCTTCTTTGGGTTCTGCCAAGATTTTATGAAGTACTCGGAGTACATAACGAGGCTCACTAGCCCTTTTGCGATGATCATAAGGATCGAATAGACAATGCCTTCCCAGACGGTAGAGGCGTTAAACATGTCTGTGACCGGGATTGAGAAACCATTGGACGCCTAGATACATTTTGTTAGCTGAGATCCGTAGATCAAGTATTGGTTAAAATTCTTAAATCGAGATAGATTCATGGATACCCACAAAGAAAAAAGGAACCAATATGAAGTCCATAACTGATTAATAATATTCATCATACATCTTCTGAGCTGCATTTGACATTGATTCTTCTTCAACATCATACATTCCGACATCTCACAGGTAATTGACTACACCACAAGCGATGAACGCAGCGAAAAGAACAAACTCATCAATGAAAGATGCAATAGTGATGAAAACAATCAATACCAACGTTGGAAGAAGGAAACTAAGATGTGGGACACTTCGGGGTGGCTTGAGGGCAAATCCCTCGATATCAGATCTGCTGCCTGTGGTCATTTGGCAGACACCTCGGGTTAAGAATGCTTGACAAGATAGAGCCAGATCGGTGTGAGAATAAATCTACGGACAGCAAGTGAGACAATGAGTAAACCAAAACTCGCAACTATCGGTCTTGCAATAGGCCACCCACCAATGTCTCCACTACCCAGGGTCGTAACAATGTTTACCATAACAAGGCCCACAACATCATCCATCATGGCAGCCCCCACAAGTATCACGCCCACTCTAGCATGCCACATATCCGCAGAGGAAAGGATAGCAAACGTCGTTCATAAAGACGCCGAACATAGTGAAGCACCCGCGGAAAAGGCGGCCAGAGGGGTGGGATATGATGTCCCAGAACTACTGGGAAAAGCTAAGATAAGGAGGAGGAAAGACAATGCAATTGGCATTAATAAGCAAAGAGTAGCTACCGACACAGAAAAATAGGCAGATTTTCGAAGCTGTTTAAGGTCTGTACTGAGGCCCCCTTCAAAAACGAGACCTATCAGACCTAGGTAGCCCAATGCTTGAATCGTTTCCTGAGCTCCGTGTGTCAGCCATGACGTCCCTCCAACTGGTAGATCCCATATTATCTCAATGAGAATTTGCCCTATGATGCCACAATATAGGGCATGGTCTAGGATATATCGAGTGATATTTAACAAAACGATGACTGAGGTCAAGGAAAGAATGACCACTATTCCGGGCTCCTCGTATGGGACGTATGCCGTCTTCGAATTTCCCTAGTTTCGGTATCCGAGGAGACAAAAAATAATTGTTAAACTTCTTTTCTCGGGTGGACACATGGACATGAGTTTCATGTGTATAACTCGTTCAAGAGGCAAAAGAATAAAGGTATTTCGATCAACCGTCCAGCCACATGCTCACGTGAACTTACCAGCCACACCAACCACATTATCTCCACTAAAATTTATAGCAATTGCGCTAAGATTGCGATCTGGAAATTTTTAATCGCGATAAGATATCTCTTCATCCTCGGTTTCAAAGCATCATTCCCTCTCCATCAGCGTACACCACTTTCTCACATTCGCCTTCGCGATCAATCTACGTCAAGATGAACGCCCACGCGCTCCTCACCTCTCAAGGTTGGCGCGGCACCGGGCACTCCCTCCACCACAGCTCCGACACGATTGGACTCTCGCGGCCGCTGCTCGTCTCGAAAAAAGACAATGTATTGGGAGTAGGGAAGAAACAACACAAGACTTCTGATATGTGGTGGATGAATGCTTTTGATGCGTCGCTGAAGGGGTTAGATACAAGTAAGGAGGGGCAAATTAAGGTGCAGAAGGGAGGTGGGTTGGAAATGGTGGTTAAGGGAGGGAGTAAGTGGGTTGGAGGGAAGGGAGGGTTGTATAGTTTCTTTGTGAGGGGCGAGACGGTTGGGGGCACGATTGAGGATAAGGAAAAGGAAGTTGTGGAAATAATTGTCAAGGAGGAGAAGAAAGGGAAGGGGAAGGAGAAGGATAAGAAAAGGAAGGGAGAAGAGAGGAAAGAGAGTAAGGAGGAAAGGAGGGAAAGAAAGGAGAAGAAGAGGGCCGATAGAGCGAGAAAACTTGCTGCGGTAGAAGCAGAGAATATCAAGGCACAAAAGGAGGTCAAGGCAAAGAGTTCCAAATCGATAGATTCGGAAAAGACAGAAACGAAGGAGGAACGACGAGAACGAAAGGAACGAAAGCAGCAAAAGAAATTATTGCGACAACCCAAAAAGGAATCATCGGATACATCATCGACGTCAGAGATCACAAAGAAGAAGAAGAAATCGAGGAAAGACAAATAGAAGGCCTCGCCCTGTATATTCTACGTATCGGCATAACAAAAGGCGTTTTTGAGCAGGGAGTTTTGCGATCACGATGGTGACCCTGGCGTTCAAGATAATGTATGGTATCTTAATTAGATTTGAAATTCTAATACTCAAACTATGGCTCTTTGGGTACCTTTCCAGGCTTGTTTGATAGAAGCCATGGCCTTCTCTGCCAAAATTCATCTTTAATGACATCTACATGCTGCACTGTTATTCTTGCCTTTGCTCTCCTCTTTCTATCTTTCTCTTCTTGGGTCCTTGAGAGTTCCTTCTGCTCGATCGTCTTTGCCGAATCTTCATCAATTAATTCTGTTGTCGCTTCCGGTTCCACTAATTCATACTATCCTCATGTTAATTTCCTGGAGAAAGTTAAGATGAGAAAAATGACTTACATCTCTAAAAACCACGCTCCCCTTTTTGTAGATCTCTGGTTCATTATTATAATTGATTCCAAACCTCGAGAATAAAATCTCATTCTTATCCGCGGCTAATGTGCCCTAAAACCACATGAGAATAAGTATCCAAAACAAACCATCGAGGAATTACAAAACCTACAGCAAGTTCCTTCTCTGCACTTTTTGCATCCAATCCTCCTTTCTGAATCAGAGCCCAGAAAGTCGTATTGTAAAGATTATTTATGTGACCTTAACTCATCAGTACCAACTCAGAGAAAATGACGGCAAGGACGGAAAAGAGAAAAACAGGAACAATAAAAGTAAAATTACATACAATCCACCTGTCTCCAACTCATGTAATCCCTCAAATTCTGCACACTAGGATACTGCACAGCTCTACCATCAAAACTAGGCAACGGAGCCGTGAGTTGCATTTCCGTTTCTGGAAAATAGGTAGACCAGAGATGAACATAGTATGCTGTGAAAGTCGATACTATAGTTGTGACGAGTTTACTAATATATCGCATCAAAGTTTGTTTTTCAGGAACTTCCTTCAACAAAGGGTTCAGCGGAGGGAGTCATACCTCGAGCGTCTCTCAAACAGCACACATGATTTATGGAAGACGAAACTACGATTGCCTCATTAGCAAAATAAATTGATGAGAAGCTAACATTTTGGACAAAACGAACCTGTATTCATCACTAATTCCATAAGCAATAATAATATCCGACAATTCCATCATCACAGCCTTAGCAGCCGCATTCATAAGATCTAACGCTCTCCTGTCATTTGGTTTTTCAAATGCATATTTATCCGAGAACCTATATTTCTCAGTTTCCAGTACATATGCAAGCGCCGATAGCTTATGGGGGAGGTACAACATACTTATGAAATCCTCGACCATCAATACGCACTACGATCCATGTATTTGGGATAAGCAGATCAGGTTGCTCAAAGGCTTTAACATATTCATATCTAAGGAATTCGTGAGTTACATTAAATCGAACAGAGTGGGACTCAACAATCTACTCACTTTGAATTCGCCATATTATCGCTTTGAGGTTGATGTGGTGGTGATGTCAAAATAGCATGGAGGTTGGAGGGGTAGTTGAGATTTGTATGAAAGACAGTCAAGCGAGGTCTCAAAATGAACAGGAGCTGAGAAGAAGTCCAAGCTACGATAAATTAAAGCTAGCTATTCTTGCAGAAAGATATCAACTTGGTTCATATTTAAAATTTCGTCAAATGCCTTTCAAAATGAAATAGATCCAATATCCTCAATCCTCAACTAATTTCCAATTCCCTCTCCAGAACGACTGTTAAAACTCCCCATTTTTCCTACCCCACTGTCACGTGCCGGCCCCTCCATCCGCTAAAAATCGATAAGGGTTTTGCACTCGGCTATCCTTGAGTTTTTGACAACGCTAAAGATAGACCCCTCTAGCTCGCTTCGCTCGGGACTAGGTTAGTGAATAAGTATTCATTCCACAACACAGGAAAACTTTAGAATATATATTAAAAATGGCGCCGCCGAGCCATAAAATACTGAATTTGCGAATAATCCTTCTATGGTGTAATGGTTAGCACACTAGATTTTGATTCTGGAGATATTGGTTCGATTCCTATTAGAAGGTTCCGTCAAGAACATTCTATCCCGCCATACTCAGATTGAACCTGAGACAAAAGGGTGCCAAAGTTTCTGCAAATTGTTTGGTCATTTCGGTTGTTTTGATCGCTCCATACTTTTGTTGTCCCGCTCGATTGTGGGTAAAGGCTACAAGTTTGTTTGTCTCCTAACGTCTAGGCAGTATAAAGCGACGACTCATGGTAGACAGGATGGAGGATCAACCTTGTTCTGTAATCAATTGTATTTTATTTTTGCAGTGCCATATTCCCAAAGAAAGCTTTTGATATCTACTATTCATGCCTCCTTCTTAGGCAATGTGGCAACCTTCTCCTGAAACAACTTCTCGGCCTTCGCCCAGACTGGAGTACTTCTCCAGTCCTTTAATGTCAACAAACTTGGTAGCAAGTCCTTGCTGAATGCCTCGCTTGCTTCTCTTGGCAATAGACTTGGTAAGTGATCAATGCTGATGACGCTTAGTCTGGGGTCTCCCTTGACCTCGACTGGGACAGTTGGCTCTGAAAATGTGGTCGCAACGGTATAGATTGGAATTGGATTGTTGGGATTTGTGGTATCAGCACTGACGTCGCAGACGACTGACAATTTGCGGTTTGGGGTATCGAGGCTTTGCATGTCGACAAAGTTCGGAATCTTGGACATGAGGTATATGCAGTTAATGAAGATGTCACTCTCGACAATCTCTGGAAATGGTCCTCCCTTGGCAGTCTCTGCCATATCCCACTTCAAGACATTCTCGGTTGGCACACCGGCTCTCAAGCAGAGATCAACTGCTCCACTTCCACATCTGCCCAATGCTCCGATAACCAAAACTCGTGGTGCCTTGCCTGTCTTTTCTTGTCCAGCTGCGATTGCTTTCTTTACGTCGGCAATCAACTCATCTTCGTTAGGATAGCTTGATACGCTTGGGAATGGCTCTGATGCTGAATGAGTGAGTTGCCATGCCCAAGTTTCGAGTGCCAATGCTGCACCAGCAAATCCAGCGTGGTATCCGAAAGCTGCAACTCTTCTGCCTTTATCGTCTGTCAAAAATTCGAGATCTAAGAGAGTTCCGCCGCCGCGAGGAAATCGTGATAGAACGGTGTCCCAGCCACCTTGTTGTTTGTAACAGTGTGCGAATTGTACGTGGACATGCTCGAGGGGAACTTATAGCTGTTAGACTTTTTTCCCATTGGTAGTGATTTAAGCAGAAACTCACAGTCTTCGACAGGTAGTTCCTTCAAACCAATAATAATATGATCCTTTGGTGCTTGTCTCCATGTATCTTCTGGCACGAGAGTAGCTCCAACCTTCTCGAACTCCTCATCGTCGAATATACGTTCTGGGCTGCGCTCGACATTAATTGTGTATCCAGCATCGATGAGAGCTTTGGCTGTAGTGGGGGTAAGAGCTGATCTATGCTCAAGAGCTTTTCCCACTGATGAACGCGTTAGTAGGTTATGGAATATTGTGCTGGCAATTACTTACACTCAGAACGTAGGTGAAGAGTAGTTCCAGACATGATGAAAGATTTGAATTTATAATTGAATCTTAATTGAAGTTTTGGGATTTATTTACAGTCTCTGGTTTTTGTTTGCAGAGGGGGAGTTTTTCTGCCTCATTGAGTCATTCAGTTCCCCGCAATTTGTTTTCACCGCCTCCGGGATCGCACCATCCATCGTCACCCTATGCCTCAATTAGAAGACCGAACATTTTCTTGAAATATCTACCGAATTCATAGTTGCGGTAAGCCTTGAAGTCAAAGACTATAACGGCTATATGTGTTACCTACTGAGAGACACCTCGTATGTTTCCCTGAGGTTCTTGCCGTATAGTGCTTCGAAAAATGAGGTTAGTTTCCATCTTAATTTTGAGCCTAAGGCATCCAACGCATTCAATACTACCAATTCAATCGAAGGATGTCGGAATAGTTCACCTGCATGTTATGCTGGCGGATTTGTTAAGCTTCTACTCGTTCAAATTAAAATATTCACTGCATCTTTCTCAGTAGAGTAATTCTTCATTTCTTCATGTACGGCGTGACTAGGTATAGTTTCATTGTGTACGACAGAGTGATAGATTGTCAAATTTTACTTCCCTACTTTGCTTCATCGTTTCCTTCCTTCTCTTCTTGGATCTTGAAAGTGTCAAGCGTTTGTGTACATACTTATACAACACATTTCTCATCAATCCAATTTATATCGTAATCATGTTGGTTAAAGATGTACGAACCCATATCATGCTCGACCTTGAGATAGCAGCACATCCCCTCAAGCACAATCCTGCGATCATCCAAATCGAGGCTATCCATTTCGATATCGAAATAGGTGAAACTTGAAGTATTTCTCAATGCACATAAGCTTGGAATCCTGCATTGGATTCGGCTTGATCACTGATTCTGATACACTCCAATGGCTTGAGAAAAACATCCCCACTACGTTGTCTGCAAGCCGAAACAGCAAAGTGGCTCTCGACGTTGCTCTGGAACAATTCACTACCTGGCTCTCCAGCTGTCACAAATCTACCAAAGCCAACATCAGTTCCAACTACCCAACTGCGAAATTTGACCCGACGGACCTGCAAATAATGATCTGGGCATACGGTAGCACACAGGATTGTCGATGGATGGAAAGTGCCTATAAAGCATGCGAATTGAAAAGCCGTGGATGTACTATAATGACCTTTGTGTCCGAACCTACTGCGAAATGGCTTTCTCTATTACTGGAAGAAATATCCGACGTGAGGTGGACAAATCTTTCGTGGGCAAAAAGCACAATGCAATTGATGATTGTAAACATCAAATCATCTACGTGATCAAGTGCCATGATGCGTTTCGAGGACCGCAAGTCTCTGCCATTGCGCCTGTTTCTGCTGGTCCAGCATCGGCCACAACTTCAGATTCTTCTAGGAAGCGACCCAGGACCGTTTTAGATGACAACCGCTCTAGAATGGGTCTGGAATAGTGTAACTTGCGTGAACCAGACTGGCCAGCATCAGCGCCTCCAAGAAAGGAACGTCCCCAAGAGCTATTTGGCTTACCTGATTTCAGTCTCCAATATCGACATCAATTTCTTTGAGAATGGGCCATTTCATCGAAAAAAGATTATCAATCGCTCAAGACAACTCCGTAAGATACTCAGGATGCTCTTGTAAATTACATGTCACAACAATTTTGGATATTCCAACTTCCCCCATGGTGCGAGGGGCTGATTGCATTCATGTGGGGAAAACTTGCTCAAGCCTGCGACAGTCGGAGGACACTGGATTTCTTTTTTGTATGGGATAGGAAGTCAGAAAGATGAATAATGTGTTTTATCTATACGTGTTTAAGAATTGAATTTGTAAGTACATGCTTGGGCCGTTAGTCTGTCTGTCTCTGAGGACACGTGTGGAATTTTTTTATCTCTCTCAAGTACTCATTCTTGGGAAAATTGCTTAAGTCTATAAATACTCACTTTTGACTAGTGCATTTTCTAGTTACTATTGAATGAAACTCTTTCTAAGTTTCGCCATATATAACATAATCACATCTCATTTGATTTGCTCCAGCTATGAGAACTACGGGCAGAGTGGCAAAACGCTACCGCCAGACTCTTAGGGTTGATGTTATTGAATGCCACAGTCAATATTTGTGCCAGTTTCATTGAAAAGCCTTTTCAAGTTTCTCGTTCGCCTTTTTTGAATCACCGACTAGCGAAACGGCAGCACTGAGCCACGATCACTTACATTGTTGCTTACATCTGAAAGGTTCTTGATTGTGGAGCACTTTCTCAAGACAACTGGTTCTGAAAATCAGCTAGATGCGTTTTCTCTCAGACTCTATTATCCATCGATCAATGAAGAAGTTTTGAAGACTTTTATTAGGGTTTTAAGGAAATACACTTCAATTCATGATCCTATTTGACTTGTGTTGAGTTTTCGAGGCTTGGATTGGAGGATTCCAAGGTGGAAATTGAGATGAAGGCTCATGTGCCGGAAGAGAAAAAGGCGTGAATATCCCGTGGTTTGACTCCCAAAACACCACATACAAAACTATGATTCACGTTGCGAGTTACATAGGTTCCAATAGTATATAAGACCTTCTCCTTAACAAAAAGTTATATATTTATCTAATAACTCTGGAATAGTAAAGGAATACAACAACTCACACTATGGATACCGCTGGTAAAGCTTTTGAAGCCCTTCAAGCAGGGAAGAAAGCCATCAAGCAAGGCCGCGAACTACATGGCAGAGTACAAGAAGGTTATGGTAGAGCAGGGGAAGTCCATGGTAAAACCATGGAAATCAAGCAACAAGCTGAGAAGTTCGGCATAACATTACCCAAAGACGCATCAAGTCTTCCGAAAAACCGTGCCGAATTTCAAAAAGAAGCAAAAGGCTATGCACGAGGTTGCTTTTGTGGATTTTGGGAAATATTTAAGGCTGAAACCAAGAAATATATTACATATGTTCTTTCTCTTCTGGTCTTTGCCTTCATCGCTATAGGACTTGTTTCTTTTCTCATTGCTGTGCTTTCGCATCATCCACATTTGCAACTTTTCACGTTAACGACAAGGGCAATGACGTCTAATAATACGAAAGGAGACTTAGTTGCAATGGATGGCGAGAGCGTGGATTACAAGATCTATCCATTGCATTACTGTGTTTCTGGTCTTACTACGAAGGCTGAGGAGCAGTTTAAAATGACAAATGGTTGTCATCCATCAAAGCAAGGTACGTGGGATTTTAACACAAAGTTTCTTTCCCTGGTCACAATAATTCACGTGTAACTAAATAATGTCTCCCCATGTCTTAGCATTGTACGGGCATATACTTCCTGCCCTCAACTCCACTTTCACGCCTCCTCTTCCTGTAGGCCCATGCACAGAAATCCAGACCCTCTTCAGGAAATATGGATATATATCTTTCTCCCTCTATATACTTGATATCATTCTATTACCCATACTTGCAGGTGTATTTATCTGGTGGTTTGTCAGTACCTTAACGCCTTGGAAACGAACCTTTAGACTCGTTCTTTGCGTAAGTCTATTCTTCACCATCTTGCTCTTCTACCTCTCTCAAATTCAATACATCTAACACCCCACCCCAGTTCTTTACAGCCACACTCCTCGCCACCGCAGTCCTCCAAACACTACTCGCTTACCACACCATCCACATTCTGAAGCACGATATCAACCTCAGCACCTCCAGCCTCGACATTACCCTAAAAACCGGCATCCTCTACATCATCCTCGCCCACTTCTTTTGGTGCACCCTTCTCTTCAATCTTATTCTTTTCCGCCTCATAGACTGGCTTCGAAATAGGAGAAAAACGAGGAAACTTCGTCAAACTCAAGATAATTACCAGGCTCATAATATCAAGGCTTTCGATGAATCAGCTCATGATGGTCACTATGTGGCTGGTGATACTTTATATGATACTCAATCATTTGGGATAAACAAAATGCCTTTTTAACAGCAAATTATGGGGATTTCACGAAAGCCTGTGGGCATGAAGGGCGATGATGGTGATTTGGGAGAAGGAATTTTGAGGTATTATCCTGATTACGGTGATCAAAAGCACGGCAGGAGTTACATGGGGGAAGAGAGATTTGGTAATGTATAATTAGACACTAGTATTGCGGTTACCGTGGCTGGTTCTCAACAGGATAGAATAGAATGACGTTGAGAATATAAAGCTATTTATGATATTCACCAATCAATCATGATTCACTTTATTCCCCAGTCGTTTGATGATTCAAAGGTAGCTTACTCACTATTTTTCCATCTTAACGACTAGACTCCAATCCCCTTTATATCTAGGAATGCCTTTCTCTTTATGCATTCATCATTCTGCTCGGTGGACTCAAACTTACAAGTTTGAGATAAATATATTGTAGAGTGATTGCCATATCGCAAGCAAAACTTTCCCTCAATTGATTCAGGGGCTATGCATTTATTGTCCACCATTCTTCCTGGTTGGTAAAACCGCATTAGGAGTTGTCGTGTTAAGAGTGAACTCGAGAGTAAGTTTACAAGTATCAACAAACACTTTCAAATTTCTCCTTTATCCACGTCTACAAACAGAATCCCTCTATGTCAAAAATTGAACTCATACATGAAGGTTGGAGATATAGTGCAAATAATATTTGAGCTCAGATAAAATTGCCGGTCTGTTTGTATGTCCTTTCCCCGTTTTTGGTATACTAAACGACTCTATGCATATACAAACGAAAATACGCCTAGTCTAGCACAGCACCTGGCATTCAGAAAAAGGGGTTCAATGCAAATACTACCAGGGAGGCATGAATCGGATCAGTACCTTCAGGTTTCCGTTCATCGATGGAAAATAGTGGTAAGAAAAGATCTATCCATACAGCTTTGCACAAACGCATACATGCATGCAGCTTGCGGTAGACCGCATGACAACGCTGCTTTCAAGGTAGTATGGAAAACGAGGAGTGAAAGCGAGGTGAAAATCAAAGAGGAAGAACAGGTTGAGTTATATCTAGCCAGTCATTAGACTACAAAATCGTCTGTGCCTATCTCACACACATTCGTTGAGGACCAAAATCATACTCCATACTCCTTCAGCACAAATACCGTCAATTCAACTTTCCTGAACCTCAGCTATGCTGATCAAAAGACTCAACACGAATATTATGCTTGATCTCGAGCTGGCCGGGTTTCCTGACAATTACAATCCAGCTATTACCCAAATTGGCGCCATCCATTTCGATATCGAAACCGGAAGAGAACTCGCAAGCTTTTGTGAATTTCCCCAACTCCAGTCCAGCCTTAACTTTGGTCCGGCTCAAGATACCATAACCATTACTTGGTGCAAGATTCACAATCCTGAAGCTCTCAAAAAGAGTCAGGAGAGCACTGTAACTCTCGACAACGCATTGAAAGCATTCACGGCCTGGGTCGATTCTTACCGGGAATCCACGCGTAGAGAAGCCCAGGCAAGTTGTGTAAGGGATTTGATGGGAGAAGTAAAGATTTGGGCAAATGGAAGCATGCAGGATAATCGATGGATCGATACCGCTTACACTATCTGCAACCTCGCAAAGCCATGGAAGTATTATAGCAATATGTGCATCATGACGACGAACAACACAGTCCTCGAGTTGACTGGAAGAAACTATCGCATGGAAGCAGAGCAAGACAGAAAGGGTGCGCATGATGCTGTCGCTGATTGCATGCATCAAATTGGGTGGTTTATGCCATGTCTCACGGCACTTCGAGACAACTCGAGGAAGCGAAGGATCGATGACCAGAACGAGACATACCGGAGAAATCAACGACGCATGTTGACGAGGCAATAGAAGCTAGGCCAGCTTGAAAGATAGGTGGTATGGAAAGTCGGAATGGTGTCAACTGAGTATTTGGTTAAAGGAGGATTGAAACCTTTCACGTCGGCATTGTTTGAGAGACCTTTCCATATGTTCACACTTAATCGCATCTCCAAATGTATTCAGGAAAGACACTTCAACATTCTCAATCTTTACCACCTTTGCCACCTTAAAAGTACTCACTTCCTAGCTTCTATCGCCTGTCTGATTTGTCACAATTCGTTTTCGCGCTCTTTCTTTCTCGAAATCACACAGAATGTGTTGCCCCAAAATTGCACAATATTTGCGTGAGTCAAGTCAAACACATAATTAATCATGAAATTCATGAAATAGAGAAGTGCAATGAGTGACTGTTAAACAAGGAGTAGACAATCAAAGTAGATGTTTTTTCCCTAGGTGTCTAACAAAGGCTAGTGCGTTAAGGTCCTGCTGGCTATCACGTGCCATGTGCTGTTTTGGGCCCGTGTGACAAAACCTTCTCTGAACGTTGTTGCTCAACTACTTCTGGTTGCACAAGCAGCAAAACTTCCTGATAATCGTGGCTATGTCAACAACAGAGCTTATCAAATGAAGAGCACTGCTTCTGGAGTATCATTTTATGCAAAAGCGCTTGCTGCTTCTTTCCTCTCTCATAGGTTCTATTGCCGCGTTTCCGCTTATGTTTTAAAAATGCCTGCAAACGCCAAATTAAAGCAGGCGCTTATCTGACCCAGACAAGTGTCTGCCATCCAATGATGCTATATGCTTAACATTATTTGAATATTTTAGCTTGATGGCGCGCTTCTTTTGTGCATCTTATATACCAAGACTTTAATGACTGGTTTTTAATGGTTCAAACTGAAATATAGCAACCCTAGAGACAACCGACCTCACAAGCGGCCATATCAAGCGGACTATTTTCCTATTGGCAAACTCAGCGCATGCTACTACGCTTGGCCGTCTCATCAATTTATAGAGTCAGAAGTTGATCTACAGAGCATAATCTGGGAATCTAGATCGATGAGTCTGATGTTCTGGACTTTTAGAGCTGCGAGTAAGAATGAGTGAGTATGAATATTTAAGATCTTAATTTCCTTCGTTGTTTGCTTCCATCATCATCTCAACAATCAGTCTCTTCATCTACTACAAATTACATCTTTCTCTCTTTCTTCTTTCTTTGGCTAGGATCAGACTTCAGGACATTCTCTTCACCAAACCGCATCCATTCTTTTGCTGGTAGATCAGCCCAAAACTTTCACTTCATCACAAATTCGAGCTACTTCCAAAGAAAAGTAATACACTCTTTTCTCAAAGTTTTTGAATCCGCAAATTTCATTCTCCACCTACACAACTTTCACCTGGTGAAAGCCTTCTAAATCATTCCTATATCGCTATCAATTCCCTGTCAACTCTCATTCAAAATGTTTGCCCCGAAAAACAGAGAAAGTATCTACGGCACTTTCGCATTCGCTTTCACCATCACCCGAGCTTTACAAGCCATTTGCCTCATATGCATTCTCGGTATGTCTGCAAATTTTATCGGAGAAATCAACGCGGCCGATACGGCGCCGCCTGAAGTTCTCATTGGAACTCTCAGTGTTGTATGTCAACTTCATTCCTATCCATGCACATTCACACCATACTAACGTTAGCTAGGTCGTTATTGCCATTATCTATATCGGCGTCTCCTATCTTCTCTATCTTGAAGAGCAAATTTCCTTTCTCATTTCTACAGCATGCGACTCATTGGCTCTTATTGGACTCATTGTGGTCTCTGTGAAAGTCGGAACACCCCTTTCCTACTTGGATTGTCCTGCTCTTCCCAACGTTGGAGTGACATCAACATTCGTTGAATCAGCTGTCGGCAATTTCTCCAAGGCCAATTACTATTATTGGGTTAATGCATCGAAGACGGCGTGCTACGAGATGAAAGCCATCTGGGGGTTCAGCATGGCGCTCTGCGTACTATTCTTCTTCAGTGGCATTGTCAACATTTGCATCTGGCACAAGTTGAAGCAGTTTGTTCCGCGAAAGGATGTTTTGGAGTACCAGGGCTAGACTGAAATCCGTAGCGGGCAGCAGAAGAAGTGAGAAAATGGATACTGCACCGAACGGGAATCATGATGCATGCAACGAGACGACAAAAGGCGGTCATGAGAATAGTTGAGAGAATTCTCATCAAAGAAAAATGATTCTTTTGAAATTATTGAGGGGAATCCAGCGCAAAAGACCGAGGAGATTGCGTTAAAATTTTGGGCTTGTGGTGGCACAGTCGATAGCACAGAACATACAGCGGGCAAAACATGGGGACATTGGCGTAAAGGAGAAAAGGCGGGGGTCCGTCGGTAGCACGAAGGAGGACGTAATATGGTAGACAAAACTGAGCCTCATGGTTGAGAGATTTATTTGTTAGTCCTGGATCATCATGTTAATGTTTGTTTTCTTATTTCGGGTTGCAGCAATCGTCAACGAAACCTTAATGATTAACGATGCTTTTATTTTTTTACATATTGCTTATTGTCTATTGATGAAAACAGCACATGCGCATCTTATCTCAAAATGTTCATTCTCCATGTAGACTATTGCATGGCCTGGCCCAATCCACAGGGGGCCTTTAGAATCTACTCCCTAAAGACAGACGCCACCAACCCCACCATCTCCTCCCGTCAATTTTACTAGTTTACCTACTATCAACCTCTAGCTTCACGGATCAGAATGTTTCTAGTTCCGTCCTTTATACTACCGACACCACACATTTTTTTTTTAAAAAAAAATCAATATCCAAGCCTTTCTTTTGCTTCTTTCTCGCTTTTCCTTTTTCCAATTCTACAGACTATATTTAATTCATCCACGAAATTATCATCAAAACAAGAAACGATCATCTATCTGCTAATTCGAACACGATATACCCATTGGATCACAAAAAGATTTGGAATTTTTCCACAGCCAAGCGAGGCAGGGTAAACTTTGGTACCACTATTCGTACCACCACATCTATCTGTACGTAGGTACGTATGTGATATGATAATGGCGCACAGTGGCTGTACAATATGCGTAATGCCTTTTGATCTGATATGCCGATTATGATGATTGGATGGATGTGCAGGTTGGGCAAGCAAACCCCGCGAATCATTTGTTCAGGGAGTGATCATGATGGATGCTGTTGGTACGCTGTTGGTGTAGCAGGGAAATTGAGCTCGGAGATTTTGATTTCCGTTTTTTCTTTACTTTGTTGCTTACTGAGTTTTGGAGAGTGAGGATGGAAATGGGATGAAGAGAATGAATATCGAATTCTCAATCTGAAATCGAAATAGGAATGGAATTCTTGGTTAGAATCATAAATGATATCTGCTATCTGCTGATATAACTATAAGACTAAAAGTCCTCTATAAAAGTATAATCAATCATAGCTGCGATTACATAGCAAGTTACATACTATTTCTCGGCACTAGCATCCGACGAATACTAGCCTGGGAATCCCCCAAAATATAAGCCCGCTTGGACGTAAAGTCTTCCAACCTCGTACAAATCAGCGGCAAGAAATGATTATGGGCTTTCAGCTCCGATCAGGATGAACCAATTACATGACATCTCAATTTTGAATAATATAGTAATATGGTATCGTTTGGTGATACATATTATGTTGATTATTCTTGGTAAGTCAGCAATATCTGGATAACTATTATTTCTCTTTTTACATGTTTTGTGCTGCGCCTGAATCTTGAAGTTTTGCTACGTCTCTCTCTTCTCTATCAAGGAGATTTGTATTTACATATCTATCTACCTACACGAATTCCTCCATCCATCCAGTTCAATTCTCAAGTATCTATCTAAGCAAAGATGGCTAAAACGATATTCACAACAATCACACCACTCCCTCCCAACATATCCCGAAAAACGGTTCTCGAAACCCTCCACGATCACCTCGAAATGATCGATCTCAATCCATCCCACGTAGAGCGCACTCTCACCAAACCTCCTCCTTCTGCTACCCCGGAAGAATACCATTGCCAATGGTATCGCATCGTCGACAAAGTATCCTATCTACCCGCCAATCTCTACACCGGCACCGTATCCTTCAACGCCTGTTTTCACAATCTGGCCAACGGACTGCAAACACATTGTTATGCGCCCATGGGACTAGACATCAAGGAAAAATGGACGATAGGAGGAAACATGCCTGGGGAACCAGCGGTCCCGAGAGAAATAGGCATCAATGCGCCGGTGGAAGGATTGTATATTAGAGAAGATGTGGAAATGAAGTGTAATATCCTGATGACGAGATTTGTGCGCAAAACATTACAGGAATGTTTGAAAGCGCTCGTTGCACGATTGGTAGTAAAAGCACAATTACAAGAAGCGCGTGAAAGGAACGACAGATTAACAATGCGAAATGGAAGTGTCTATGAAGGGGAAAACGACACGCTGACACCGCCGCTCAGCCCACCGTTGAGAAGTCCCGGAATGGCAAGTGTAAGCAGTATGGGTCGAAGGGGAAGTTCATACAGCAATTCGAGCGTGCCGACAAGTCCACCCTTAACTCCATATAATCCTGAGAAATGGGCTGAGGCGGGTATGCAAGGTCATCCCGCTTTACATCCTTACACGCCTTTTCAATTGCAGCAACAGCAGCAACAGCAGCATTTATATCAGATGCAACATGATAGGAAAAGTTACGGAGGACAAGATCACAGATGGTCCAACATTAGCGATAAAACGCAAGCCTCACTACCAGCACCAAAGTATGCGAACAAACCCACCAATTATGCACACAAACCTAGCATAATCGCAGAAATGGAAGCACCGCCCGGACCGGTCGAGCTACCATAATCGAAAAAGGGAGAAGCATATTTCCGGGAAGATAATTTCATTTTTGTGTAGGATTATTATTATTGGTAATGAATGGGAACGATCGCTTGCTTTATATACCCGTGGTTAATTGGAAGGAAGGTGGTGGTCACTCTCACTGTACACGTACTGTTGTTAATGGGTAGATGGGATTAGGGAGGGATTTTGATATTTTTTGTTAGTGCGGACTAAAGCTCATGCTTTGAAGGCATGGCTGGGTGTAGTATGTATGTGATTAACATTTGAGGCCGATGCACAGAACTGTCATTTCAGGAGATTGTGAAGACAGAGGAATTGGATTGGTTGGGGGAAAAAGGAGTGACGGAGAGAAAACTGACGGTTCGTCTGGTATTTCAGAAGAGCTAAAACAATGGCTTGTTTTTGGCTCCTTGATCATGGATGTACATTGGAGAAAGATACCAAGGATTGGCGAATATTGAAATATGCAGGAGATTTTACCATTTATTTCTACGCCGAATATCACCACTCTCAGGTACAAACATTCTTGGCATAAAGTTACTTATATCTTCATTGTCTCCATAGTTGTTTTATTCATAATTATGACTTTTGCGATATCCATGTTTCAGGTCGTCTGAACAAAATGAACAAATTTTATTGAGGATCTATGTGTACAAACAAACCCCGCATCATACACGCTCATGCCCCAAACCCATCTAAATCCCAATCTATGATGCCATTCTGCTCATATCGTTTCTTATACGTTGGTAGTCGAGGAGACCTAAATTTGTCAGTAAATTCGAAGAAAAAGAGTAAAATAAATTTGCTAGACATACCTTCAATTGATCCAACAGCACTGACTGCAATGTCTTGATCCCACAATTTCCTTTGCGCAAAGCTCATAACATCCTTCTCGCTGATGGCTCCAATAACACGCTCAATCTCCTCTGGTCCCATGCGACGTCCAGTGGTGATAATTTGTCTTCCAATATCCTCAGCTACAGCAGTGGTACCATCTAAGGAAAGAAGAATGGATGCCTTGAGTTGGGCCTTAGCACGCTCAACTTCGGCCTCGGTAACGTTGTATGATAGACGGGACCATTCTCTAAGAGTAAAGTGAACTAAATCGTCGATACGGGTAGTCTTGTCGGTGACAAGATAGATACCCCAGAGTCCAGTATCGCTATAACTTGTTGAGAAACTCATAAAGCTGTTGGCCAAATCGTTCTTGTGGACGAAACCGCTGAGCTTGCTTCCCATGTGAGGAGCATTGCCCATGGCTTTATCCCAGTTACCCACAATAGCTTGAGTAACCAAAGCAGTAAAGTAATCATCATCCTTCCAGCTGACTCCCTCAACGGCAATGGCAATGTTGGCAGTTGGGATAGTGTCGTCACGGACTCTGATCTCGGAACCAATGAATTCTGGCTTTTGCTTTTGAGCATTGGCGACTGCGAGAGCAGCGGCTGAATGTGGTTGGGATGCGAGACCAGCAAAGTGCTTCTCAGCGAGTTCAACGAGTTGCTGGTGGGGAACACCTCCGGCACCAACGAGAACCATACGATCGGCAGTGTAGTTTGTCTTAATGTAGTTGACCAAATCCTCTCTTTGAATGGATTGAATGTTTTCAGCGGGGCCCAAAATTGTGCGTCCCAAAGGTTGTCCTTGGAAAGCGGTTGCGTGTAAGTGATCAAAAACGACTTCCTCCAATTGCTTGTCAACCTCCTCGGATTCTCTCAAGATAACATCACGCTCTCTGTTGATCGCCGAAGGTTCGAGTTTGGAGTTTTGGAGAATATCGGAAAGAATGTTGACAGTTGCTGGTACGTCAGAGTTGAATGCCTTGGCGTAGTAAACTGTGTTTTCACGCTTCCCATACCATTAGCAAACTTCCTGCGCTTTCCAAGTTAATGTAAACATACGGAAGTATAGGCATTTAAGTGGCCACCCATGTTCTCAATTTCCAATTCCAATTGATGCTGTGTTCGGTTGCTGGTTCCCTATGCTCATTGTAAGTCCAGCTGGAAGGGTCTCCTTCAAGTCGAAACATACCTTGAAGGCAAGATGCTCCAAGAAATGAGCTGTGCCATTTGTCTTGTCCGTTTCTGCCCGAGAACCGGCATCGATCCATACACCAACTGTTGAGGTTTGTGCCCATGGCGAGTGTTCTGTAGCAATCTTTCTTTTTATCAGCACTTGCCCCTCCATCAGCTATATCCAAGCCTTACCGTTAGACCGTTTGAAAGAGTTGTTGTCTCTGTCTTCACGCCATTTTTTATCACTGGAGTCGCGAATCCTCTTCTCAGTCCTGATACGACATTGGGAGCAGCGCGGTTGCGCAGTCCTTGAGTAAGGTTTAATGCTAACCGCCGAGACGCCATGGGGATATGATGTGAGGGTTTGTGGTGGGAATAGAACGAATTGTATATAACCCGATGAGATCAAATTGCTAGAATTTAGTAAACCTGAAGAGCTTAGTCGTTGATCAGATTTCAGCCAATCAAATTTCTTCCGGCTTTGATGACCGCACACGTGATTTGTTGCCGAGCTACCTAGTTATTCCGAATATCATCGACCGAAGCATTCAAGGACCTGAGTGATATGTCGTCGACTCTTTTACACTCAATAATTGTAATAGAAATTCACAATGGCTTCATTAATTAAACCATCGATGCTCAGGCAGACTTGCCTCGCCGCGTCGAAGCGTAGTTTCTCTACAAAGGTCTCTTCCAGTTTCCCCGCAATCAACAAGCCCGCCGTTCGCAGCGCTTTTGTCAGAGATGCATTGCCAGGTTCAATGCGTGTAGCGGCATTCCATGCAAGTGGCAGACAATCAATTCTACCCCCATTACCTCGTGAGCTTTCTTCTATTGATATACTATTTCTATTGCTAACCACATCATAGAATCTATTGATGGCACATGTATGTGGATCTGCCCTTGGGCCAACCCATCTTAAACTAATAGTCTATATAGCAAACGACGCAGCACCCGTGCCTAAACCATCCCCATCCCACGGCTCATACCATTGGACATTCGAACGTTTAATCGCCGTCGGTCTCATCCCTCTCACAGTCGCCCCTTTCGTTTCAGGATCATTGAATCCAGCTACCGATGCTATCCTTTGCGCCGCAATCCTCATCCACTCACACATCGGGTTTGAGTCTTGTGTTATCGACTACATTCCAAGAAAGAGGTTGCCAAAGACGAGGGCGCTGTTTTGGTGGGGTCTGAGAGGAGCAACTGTTTTGGTTGGAGTTGGATTGTATGAGTTTGAAACAAACGATGTGGGACTTACTGAGGGTATTAAGAGGATTTGGCACGCATAAAAGCGCAGGAGGGAGTTCGTATTATTTGAAAATAAGCACATGCATGCAGTACAATATCAAGACTGTCAATCAGATGTTCTTCTCAGGCCCTGACATGTGGAATTGACATTTTCCCCAGGATACCGAGTCCATTCGGCCGGGATACAGGTACTGGTGGGTCCTTTTTGTGGTTAATTAGTAGCGTTAAAGCGAAAATGCATATGGGAATTAGTGATAGCCTTCCTCTCTTTGCTTTGCCAAACTGTTGTACAGCAATTGCCAGACTTGTTTCAAAGACTACCGATTCTCATATCTCTAGACACCTTCGCATACGCATCTTCTCTCAAGCTGCACATCTCCAGAAGGATCTGTTCGTCTTGTTCTACTGTTGGGAGCTTGCCGTGAAACACGTTCACGGATTTGTTACGTAGATGAAAGGCTCAACTCTTCACACGAAGTTCATCTATTCATGTTCCTGCGTGTTTTGTTATATGTGGCCGAGGGTTTCCTAAACCTTAAGGAAAGAAGACTGATCTCGCAGCTTCCTGAAATCAACGTTCTTGGATGGTCAATCATCTGAACAGTTTCCAGATATTCTTCAACGTATACCAACTCCCGCGCAGAAATACGTTGCGGGGGTGAGAAGGGGAGGAGGGATAGAAGGATATGACCCTATAACACAGACGATCCTATTCCAGTTTAAGCAGATGAACTGGTTTATTCCATCAACAAACCCTTGGAATATTAAGCCGTGGTCACGTTTGAGGGATAGAACACTGCATGTTGTCACTAAGCTTTTTGAACTTTGCCTTCCATAGAGGTTATGACGGTTCTTTAACTATAGATTTAAGTAAAGGACGCCGTCCTAGCATGACCACGAATTGCTACTGGCAATAGACTAATGGAGGTTCTAAACATCGAGACTTGACTTCCCAATGCGCAGTCAAATACTCAGAATTTGAAGCTCAATACTACTCACCAGTAAAGTTCAGAGTAGTAAGTGAAGCAAGAGAAGCAAATCTATCCGCATTATAGATGAAATGGCCCGTATATCGAATACAATTGTTCTATGTTAGGCTTTAAAATTCGGAGCTACTTCATATGTCACCACTTCTCTAATTATAACCACGAATATGGTCCCACTCAAAGTTAGATACAAGACCTAAGTAGAATGTACGTTTTAGTACAAGAAACAAAAGTTTCTGGACGCCAAATCCCCATGTAAACTTTATCAGATATCTACTCACAGCACACCTCTACGGAACGCAAAACGCCACTACATTACTCCCTACCCGATACGAATCTTCCACCAATACGCTTCTGTTTCTTCTTAGGTTGTTTGACGAGTGTAGATCGGGACTTTGGCGCAAAAGCTTCGAAGGTTTGCTCATTTGAAGTAAAACCTGCCTTTGATTCTACCTTACTCTTGGAGAGGATAGGTTGTTGCGAGCCTGAACTTGACGCCAAAGAGTTTTCTCTTTTGCGTTTGATCGGACTAGTGTTGCTTTCCCTGTCCTCAGGCTCTTGGTTTTCCGGTCGGGCTCGGGGCCGAGGGTGAAGTTTCTCAATTAAACCTTTGCCCTCTTCTTCCTCTTCATCTACCATTGCGAGATTCGACATAGCCATGTCGTTTCTATCTTCCTCACTTAAAGGAGGAGCGCCTCCCCGATTCTGATCATCGGCATTTATAATCTCAATCTGGGTATGCGTAACATTCATGCTAACTTGCATTTGAACCTCCGTACCCCGGGGTAGCTGTGGGAGTGTGAGATCGAGGCCGGTGAGAAGAATTTTCATCATGCGGTGAAGGAGCATTTCCTATCTTTGAAGTTAGGAGAATTTGGTAGTTTAAATAGAGCGGATTTTAGGATCGAGATGATGCGAGAAACAAGGAATTTAGACGCATAGGTATGGTGATAAAAGTTAAAAAAAGAGCAAAAACATACCAAGTCAGCCTTTCCTGGGCCCTCAATAATCTTCTGCTCAATAGCCGCTAAATCCTGAGCTTGTTGTTGATGACGAGTAAAGCGTGAATGATTTTGAAGGAGAGCAACAAGGCCATCTTTTTGAGTGGGCTTTTCTATGCCAACAGCTGAGAGCTGCTGTAATAACTGTTTGGTGGTGATTTTTTTGAGATCCATGATTAACCTTGTGGTTCAGTTGATAGGTGAGACTGAGTTGTTTTTTTCTCTTTCCTTTTCGAGAGATGACTGATTGATGGAAGTTGAATATATTGCATCTTGTTGATTAAAAGGGATTTGTTGATGGGTAAATAGATGAAAGGAGAATCATAAATTAATTTAGTGATGGTATGAGCTCTTTACAACTCTGTATGCAGTGAATCTACCCTAATGCATAAGATCAACAACTAAATGATAGTCTCAAGGAAATCACAGCTCATTATTTCCTGACAAAAATAAAGACCTAGACTTTGACTTGGAATCTTAGAAAAGGTATAGTAATCCCCCTGTACTTCGGGTATGTAATGCAAGACGAGTTGAGTTAACCGAGGGGCCTGTGAATTCTTTTTCTATATTTAAAATTTTACACTACCAGAAACAGGGAAATGATAGTAATGATAGTAATGATACAATGAGATTGGATTAGATGATGAATGTTCATAATTCATAGATATAAAGCAAAGTAATTGTTCAAAGCTGATTACAAATGATTGGAGAGAGTGCAGCTTTACTGGTGCTAACTCCTGGAGCTAATTATATAATCATATAAACTAGCAATAATTAAAAATGTTACTTTAAACCATCAAGTTTCAATCAATCAATCAATCAATCAATCATTCAGCAAACATCAGGAACTAATATCAAGGACTAATGAGTGACAAACATAACAAACCATTACCACATATACACATATAACATAGCTATAATAAAATCTTACATACACCAATATAAGAATTCAAACCCAATAATATGATTCCAAACAAGATTGAAGTAAAAACTCCGAATTATATATAATTCGCTTTATTCTCACGACCTTCCAAAAAAAATAAAATTATTCCACAAATTAAAAAAACTCCTCGCTATGCCTTGTCTTCCATGCCTCCTTGTATATCCATACCGTCCCATACCATTCCACCCTTATAAGATATACACAATCCCAAGAATTAAAAAAATCCTATGCTCATCCATCTAAACTCCCAAAATATGCTAATCTACACTCGCCTTGAAAGGTATTTCGCTAAAAAATTCTCGGCGCAACGCTACGCTGCACTCCAACACAAATACTCCTATTCATCCACTTGCATCTCTCATTTATTTCGTCTGTGATTCAACTGCCGTCTCTCGGGTGCTGTGATCGAGTGTACACAGATGTTGAATTTCCATGCTCCTTATCCCTTTGCTGCAATGAGCATTTAGACTTTCTTATCGTCGGAATCTTCCCTTTCCAAAGTAAGGTTGTGCATTCCCGTAATCACTTCGGCATTAGAATCGTGTTTCTCGAGTTGGAGTTGAGGTGTGACTCGATCATCTGGTCTGACACCATCTTCTTCTAGCATCGACTCCTCTTCATCTTCATCATCTTCGATTGCATTGTCGTAGTAGTCCTGGCCTTGCTCCTCTAATAGCATACTTCTCGTCAAAACATCATTTCCTTCTATAGACTCCATCAAAAGACTTTCATCTAGACCTTCCTCGTAGTAATTGTCTTCATCGATAGACCCACGAGAGATATAACTTTCGCCCATGTGTCCATGATCTTCATCCTCTTCTTCATCATCCTCATCTTCTCTTTCTTCGAGATCTCTCTCATCACTCTCGGATGCACTGAAATCATCAATTTCAAGGACAGGTTCTCGCCAATACGTGAAATCAGTGTATTCCTCACCTCCACTTGTGATGAGGGTGTTTACTGGTGGAAAGTAATGATCGACGACTTCTCGCATATTCACATAGCTGTATCTTAATTTGTTGAGACTGAGCAAATCTAACGAGACTTCCGCATAGCTGTTGATTGTGAAAATACGATTGCTAGGAATACTAACAGAACGGTATGATAATGCATCAGTCAGTCTGTTGCCGAAGCCTGCGTAGAATGGTGTGCGGTTGGGACCGAATAAGTTCTTAATATCTCGTAGACAAGCCATTTTGAAGACTTCCGGTTTTCTGATGTAAACCTCTCTTCTCAAAGCTGCAAGAGTTCTATCAGGACTCAAAATAGTCGGTCCTTTCGGTAAATGATAATTTTCCTGTACCACGCCGTTGAGGTATGCTCTAGTGGTGTCGGCTTGACCTACCGATCGAGATGTCAAATACATGATATTGTAACCATTATTAACGATCTCAGTATAGAGTTTGGCCACTCCAATATGAGTCCAATCTCTTCCGATATAGTTAAGAACGTGACCAAGAGCATCTGATTTTGTGATGGTACCGTCAATATCAGAAATGACAATAGGGACGTCATATTTCCAAAGGTACATGTTGGCTTGGCATGTTGCTCGATTGACAGTGAAGCTCACGGGATTTGGTCCGGACTTGAGACCGAGAGCTTTCAATTGATCGCTAGTCAACCGTAAAGTTTTGGCGTAATTCCGATTTGGATCACCGGCAGTTCCAGTGGGTGTCTTAGGTGGCGTCTGCATTCCCAATGAATCAGAATCAGCACGTCGGTGAGTTGGAGCCATTGGTTGGTGAAGGATATCACTATCCGTTTCACTATTATATCCTGGGTCCGATGAAGCATCACTGGTTAATCCAGAGGCATTCGCAATGCCTGCCATAGCTGCTCTATGACTTGCAGCGTCTTTTGCCTCCTCGCTGCTGTATATCCAAAGGTTTCCGTTTTCGTCCGCACCAATTAATGCACCAATGTCATAATTCCCTTCTAACTCTTCGGACAAAATCTTTCGCGCAATCACTTCTGCTCGAAGAGCGTCATCATCACTACTTTTGTAACCAGTCATATCCAACATTAAATCTCCAGTTTCGGTAACCTGACTGGGTATGTTGGAAGCTTGAAGTCGATTCGACAATGCCATTGCTCGTTCTATAGCCTCGCGGGTTGGCAAAGGTGGAGGACTGTGCGACCTTTCAGTAAAGATATCCGATTGGCCATCAACAGCTGCAATAGTCGGTGTCATAGATCGTGTCTGTCTATCTCGTTCCGTCAAATCACTAATATTTGTTCGAGCCGAAGATGACAACAATTCGTCTGTATTGCTACGATGCACCGCTGACCAGTCAGAAAGGGGTCTACCACTTGCATGCTCTGAAGATATTGATGGTGGCGTCAAAGCACCTATTCCAGTCAGTAAAGAACCTTTGAGTAGAATCTAGGCAGCTTACTGAGATTGCTTTGCCTTCTAGGGTATGAGCCTCCGACAGACTTGGTAAAACTGTCTGATCTTAAACTCTTATGTCCCATATCTAAGGCTAGGAAGTCGGGTTCGGACAAGCTCGCTGGGTCTGAGCCTGCTGCTGGTAATGGCGGGCTGGAAACTGGCGAAACAAGGGGCGACGTCTGCATAGCTTCTGGAATATTATCACTCGTCTCGAAAACAAAGAAAGCCTCTCCCCCTTCTCCCAACTTCATCGCATAATCTTGTTTGACATCATTGACTCTGAATTCGACCTTCTTCTCGTATGGTCGAAGAAGGGAGAACTTCCCGAAGCGAACGTGAAATGGTGAACATGCCAATGATCCATCTTCTTGTTCAACGACTATAACATCAATAGCTCCGCTGAGAGTTGCTGGATTGATGGAGTTCCATGTTTTCGAAACCGATCCGCTGATACTTCGCACGTACTGCATGGCTGATTGATTATTATAAAGGGAGATATCGTTGTTGAGATGTGGTGTCGTACGAAGGCGGATGTCACCGACGAAGATTTGTGAATGCGCGCAGATGAAAGAAGTGTTGAGGATTACAGTTGTGAGATTTATACATCCACTCGGTCATGCGTGAATTCCGTTAGACTTTACGACGGATCAGGTGGCGGTTTATTAAATGATGAATGGACGATCGTATATTATGTAAAAGGTGCGAATATTTGCGATGGCTGAATAAAGAGCTTAGTAGTAGGTAGGTTAAGTAGGTAATTATAGGTCCAAGATCTAAATTGATATAGCAAGACTTTTTGATTCGAAAAGGACGATAACGAGTGAATGTAAAAATGGAAATAAAATCCTAAAGCCAATGAGAGACCTTGATAGAGTGAAGTTTTCCAAAGTTTCAAGTTTCAAGTGTGAAGGTAAAGTGCGAAGTGTGTTTGGTTGAGAAGGGGGAATGATTAAGAGATGGAAAACTGTTGATGTTGAGAGTGACTAGGTACTCCATAGGGAATTAATTTGATGGGTTGGGATTGAGAATGCAGGCGCATGTGCTAAAATAATACCAAGTCTTACTTAACTTCTCCGTAATAATAAGTGGACAGAGCTTTTTCCTTTTTCCAGTAGGGTGACGACACGGAGAAAATGGAAAATTGGAAAAAGGACGGAGTAGCAGGCTCGAGGTAGGCTCAAAACAGGCTCAAAGTAGGTCAAAACCCGCTGCAGAGGATTCGATTCTTCAATACCCTGGTCTGCTGTGCTCCTAACAAGGGTTAAGGAGGGTTCCAAGCTTTCCAAAGATTCCAAAGATTCCAAAGATTCCAAGTCATGCAGCAAAATCTCAATGCACCATTGCACCTAAAGCACAATTTTCTATTTCCGAAGCGCCCCGTGAACCGAGAGCCGAGAGATACCTATGTACGGAGTACTGTCCCATCCAGTGCCTAGATGTACTTGTATGTACGGTAATGTATGGTAATAATGTACGGCAATGTCAAGGACGTGAGTACCTACAGTCACAACGTGGTTTCATGGGTGGGTCACAAGTACCCAAGAGTACTTGGAGAGTTACACTGTTACAGTAATGGTAATTGGAGGAGACAGGTGACGAGAGAATTAATTACTCCAGGTTATAACCTATAACGTAATCGTACTTGAGAAAGCGACCGATCTCTTCCTGCTTTAAAAAGACTCACTCATAATAATATTGAAAAACTCTTCTCGTATTTGTGATGGAAAAAAAAGTTATCGCTAGTCTTCGTGGAGTCCATATGAAAGTACGGAGTACCTAGGTAAAGTTTACAATACCCCGTACAATGCAGATTTTTTATGGATCGAGATCGGTCAAGAAGTATTGTTTGATTATTTCGCATGTGAAAAGGGGGATTGCTTTGCTAGATAATTGGGGTAGAACGCCAAGTGATAATAAGTATAGAAAGGATTCAGGAAGCAAAGCATACTCCATAGGGAGAATCTCAGGATAAATTATCAGGTATAGATACTAAATAGGTAGGTAGATAGATAAGTCGAGAAGATAACGAAATAAAATGACTTTTCAAATGTGTCCAGAGTAAAACATCCTCAGAGCCTTAGTAGGACCCCTGAGTGAAATAGCCTCGATTGACATACTACACTCAACTAACAACCTCTGTGCGATACGATTCTTCGGTGCATATTATCATTATTATTAGGTACTAGGTATGTATCAGAAGGGAGACAATGGCCTCCTTGGCATTGTTCCATTAAGAGTTAACTATTTGAAGATATTGACATGGTAGACGAAGTAAGTTCTTTATCCTCGTGTGTCTGTACAATAGAGTCTTATTCCGTCTGATCATTCACCAAATTCAAACTTCACTTCACATCACTTCATTTAACTGCATTTCAATCCATACTCTTGTTAGTACTCTCTATTAGTAGATACTCTCTGTTAGTACTTTCTGTTGGTACCGTCTGCTGGTACCTTTCTGTACTACTCACTACTCCCTAGGTCTTCCCTAACCATACCCCAAACACTTCTACTCAACAAGTGGCATTGATCACGATCCGTCACTTGAAATACCCCGCATTAATGATTCCCGGCCTCTTACCAATTTCTTTTGAGGCGTGCGGGAAAGGCGGTTGGAGATTTCTAGCGTCCGGATTCGTGTCGGTAGTGAAATCTCTTTCGATCTGATTGGTCAACTTTTCACCTGAAGATTCATTAGTAATCCGGGTTATAAATGGTAGCAGATCTTGTAATTGGCTACATGAAGCAAATGAGGAAGGGGGGATTTTCAAGAGTCATTATGCATAATTGCCTCAGGTGTATTAAAATGAGGAAACATGGACCATTGCAAAAAATGCAAAGAAAGCTGTGATTGTTTAATGATTGCGAATTTGTTACCCATCTCTTTATTTAGATCCTCACTACAGCTTCCGCCATCACTACTTCCTACCACCATCTCTTTCCCTGCCTTTTTTCTCTGTATGCTTAGATCTCAACAACCTCTTCTCTGAGTGTTTTGAGATCGGTTCGCATTCGATTCTGTATGAACGCGGTCGACTACTACACCAGCTTGATTGACTGGGTTTTTAGTCATGCCAGGGAACTTCACGAACACATGTTTTTAATTCAATCAATAGTGACCTGCGCGGCACTGTTTTGGTTTGTCACACGTCATCTAGGGAAGTAAGGGTTACTAACCTTTTATTCAAGGCTGCTAAGGAGGGCGAGCGATGTTCTTTGGACCCCTCTACCACGGCTCATTAGCATTCTAGGCGTCGAGGTCCCCGATCCACCGGAAGTATCTCTCGCATGTATCAAATCAGATTCCTTGACTTTACATTGGTCTTCATCTCCACCGAATAAAGGCGTGGTTCGGTACATCCTCCAAGTAAATGGTGTCGATGGTGAGATCTCTACAATGCACAAGGTCTGTAGTATTTTCGCTAAGACGTTACATAGTTGGTGAATCAACCCAAGGAGAAACCGTTATTATCGAAGGACTCAAGCCGGGTAATTTTTACAATGTGAGGGTCATTGCGGTTGGTTCGCAGAATTTTCAAGCTGGGAGTAGAGTTATACGGTTGAGAACACTGGGTCGAGATGGGCATCCACGACATGGAGTGGTGAGAAATGAAGCGGACCTCTCAAATGATGATCAAAATGATGCTACGAGTGGGGAGACTTTACCAACGGTTCGAGCCCACGGAGGCCCTACTGATATTACGAACCCTCCGGCAGCCACGGTTCAGGTCGTCGTGCGAGAATCAAGCGTTTCGCACCATACTCAGAGAAGAAATACGGTGGGTAGAAAACACTCGCCATCAATAGTTACCGCTACCGCTGGAGACTGGTCCGCCTCGATTGCTCAGTCTCTGGACGATGGCTGCGAAACAATTCAGGAATTGCAGCGGAAACAAGATGCGGTTCAGAAAGAGGTTGAAGATGTGATTGCTCAGGGTCTTAAAGAATCTGAGGAAATAAGAAACCAAATCCTTATTCTGTCAGAAGATAAAGACAAAAAGACAGAAATCGTCAAGGACAAGGAGGAAGCGAGTGAGGCACTGAGGAAAGAGGTGAAGAATCTGGAGGTCAAGAATCGACAAGCACAATCGCGGAAAACGGCACTTCAAAAGAGTCTACAAACGAAGCAGGTAGAAAGAAAGAAGATGCATGATGAACAAGCACGCTGGAAGAAGGAAATCAAGTCGATGGAAGCCGAGCGGGAGTCGTGGAGTCGCGAGACAGAAGAGATACGCGTGTCTACAGAAGCCCGATGCGAGGAGCTTCGTCAAAACATTCGTAACGTTCAGGATTTGATAACGCAATACACGCGAGAGGTTGCAGAGAAGGGGCTATTGGTCAAAAAATTGGAAGAGGAAAGGGAGAACCTTGGGATTGGGTTAGATGATGATCAAGCCCGCGAGTGGGAGGCTTCAGAAAAAAGAAACGACGCGCAGTGGGAGGTAAAGAACAGAGCGCAGCATGCTCATGCGCAAGACTGCAGCCAGCGGCTGGAGCAACTGGAAAACGAACTACAAGCTGCACAGGCCAACTTCACTGCTCTTTATGCCCGACTACCAAACAATCAGAACCAGCTCATGAATCACGCCAATTCTTCTGGAGTAGACTTTGATCCTAATTCACAACAAGGTAAAGCCAAAGCTCGAAGGCAACGCACCCGCAAGAGTCGCACAAATACGGTATCATCTACAAATCCTGGCTATCCCATGATCGATCCGCAATTCCCAAGTACCAGTGCATTCAGCACCTTCAACTCTATGAGTTCCACAGCTTATGCCCCTGCTCCATATATGGACTTAGCCATGGGTAATGACACTGCGATGGTCCCACTTTTGGGTCACACGGGCATGAGTGAAGCTGATATTCAATCACTCACTGCTGGGGCCCCACTGAGTCCAACGGCTACCTCACTATTACCATCAACACTTTTCAATGATGATGAGCCGCCAAGTCCCGATGAGGAAGTCCCTGAATATGCATCAGAGTTGCACCACCCGTTTAGCCCACCGCATCGACATAACGACCCACAATCCCCACGATCCAGTGGTTCTGTTAGTCTTATGTCTAGCCCTCATGCATCATCACAAAATCTCGCAAAATATGGTGTGACACATCACGATTATGCCCTTGACAACGATCGAAATTCTTTAGGATCACCTTCATCAAAGTTTGGAGTAATTGGATCGCCAGCCAGAACCGGTCAATCAACTTCTCATAGGAACTTCGGCAGCATGTTCACCTCTCTTCGAAAATCCGATAAAAATTCACAAGATGGACTCCCTCTTGGTAGCTTGAAATCTGGCCAAAGTCATTCATTTCCACGATCCACTGATGAACCGGAGACTCCTTCCAACAGATCGCGTCGTATAAGCTTCTCATCCGGCTGGGGCGGTGTGTTTCAACGAAACCCTACAGTTGGTGACACTTCTGAAGGTAATGCACCAGCCCCAGCTCGCCAAAATAGTCGGAGACATGGTTTTAGTATGTTTGGCTTTAAGAATGAGGATGCGAATCCTCTGCACCCCTCTCGTGACCCTAGCAGCCCTCGTCCCACTTCCATTGCTTCTTCTGACCTGCCACGTCCATCAACAGACAGTGCACCATTCGGCTGGGGACCAGGAGCTGACGGTACTGTGAACAAAAATAGCCCACTTGTCACAGATTGGTCAGTATCCGCCCCACCAACGTGGTCCCGCAGTCAATCTAGAAGACCTAGCTTTCAACATGGCTCTACTAATGCACTGACCTCCGGGATGTTGAGCGGATCAGATGAATACTTCTATGAGGAAGACATCAACTCAAGTCCGCCACCAAACCTGGGAGCCATTGGCACTAGGCCGCCTTCGTCCCATAATTCCGTCTTACCCAAACTCAATCCAACCGCGCCAAAATTTGAACTTCCTCAAACGAGTGACCCTGTCTTTACTCGATTTTTGAGATCTAGTAAAGGTAAAGGTAAGGCTTCAGACCAGAATGCCGAATCTGATCCTATTTATGACACGCCTCAGCCCATCACGTCCTCTCCATCCGAACCAAGAAAGTCGCGAGACTCTCCTTCTATTCATACCCAAAATAGCGTAGCCGAATCTACCGACAGCTTAGATAGGATTAAGAGTAATGCAACGTCCGACGTGGGGGGAAGCACTAAAGGAGAATCATCTTTCAGTAAACTCCTCCGCAAAGGTAGCTCGAGTAAATTCAGCTTAGGGGGCAAGGACTCGATCTTTGGTCGAAAGAAAGGAAGTAGTAGTATCTCTGCTTCTGATCATAATGAAAGAGACGAAAGTTTAGATGACCATGGTCAAGACTCTGTGACAACTGGTGGAGAGAGTGCAAACAGTAGTCCGAGAATTGGCGGTCCGGAAGGAGGCGATACGAAAGGTCAAAAAGGTGCTCCTAGAGAAAGAAAAAGCTCAACTTGGGGACGCTTTCAAAGGAGTAAAAAGGGTAGAGAAAGTTCAGACGTAGAGCGAAGTGAGAAGAGTGAGGCCGAGACAACAGGCACAGAGGATGAACATGAGCATGAGCATGAATGAAGCTTTAGTGAAAATTCATACACGAAATGTGATGAAGACGTGAGAGAGGGATTCGAGGGCATATAATGCCATATGTATGTAATGTACTCATTATACATATACTAGGGATGGATGGATATCTTCTTAAGATCTCCGCAAGCGTCTGCATGGGAAGATTTGTTGATAGGATGTCGATAGCGTGATATATTAAAAGCGAGCTTTGATTTATACATTTATATATACAACGTTCTGAGGTTTTGATGTCTATGATGTGATTTTTGTTTGATTTTTATAATTGTAGGTGGTATTTCTTTGTTTATTTTTGTTGGGATTTATGATGTATATTTTTATATATATTGAAGATATTATACTGAATTAGTATTTAAAAGTATCAAGATAAGATTATAGTGAGTATAGTGTTTATTAAATGGGAAATGATATGATATAAGAAGTAAAAAGAGTAGAGGACGAAAGAAGGAAATAAGGAAAGAAAGAACTTCATTTATTATTTTAGGTGTCAGTCAGTACGGGAGGAAAGAAGGAAAGAATAAACCTCACATCTTACTTCCTCAAGGAAACTCCATTTATCTATTCCATCAACTGTTCTTTCCCTAGGAGAAAGTCCCTTTAGATAGGACTTTACAGTTTATCTTATCTATAAGGCCCTCCCTCGCTCATACTGTATAATTATCGAATATCACTGACTATATCTTTTCCTTCCCTTCCCTTTCCTTGTTCTCTTATACCAGCAAAGAAAAATATCCATCTCATCCCCATTCCATCCTAATTCCAGTACTTACATATACTAAGCTCCCCAAAATCAAAATTCGCACAATACAATACGATACCATTTGGGCGCCCCAACCAGCATCCCTTATAAACTAAACCAAAGAGACAATATTCTTTACCCCATTCATCCATCCATCCATCGCATCCATCCCATAACCAATACACCAATCCACCACCACACTAACATGAAAACAAAAAAAAACAAGTCACCATGGGATCCGAAATGGTATGCAGCATACTACGAACTCCCATCTCCACCCTTCAAACTAATCATCGCATACCTAGTCCACCCTTCGACCCTGCAAACGGTATCCGACTGAACAAGACGTCAAAAATCCTTGCAAGAAACAGCTATCAGCAGACCTCAAAGCCATAAAAGTACACGCACAAGTACACGCACAAATACAAGCACAACGACAAGCAACATTAGAAGCCAAAGCCAAAGAATCAGATCAAGGCAAAACTGCAACTATCAGAATAATATCCGACCATCCGATTCTAGTCCTGAAGATTAAAGGATTTTTCTACATGGTAGATCCACAGTTCAAAGCACTACCAGGAAGCACGGTATTCGAAAAATTTATCAACTGTCTTATTGAAGTAGGAACGGTTCCATTTGATGCCTCACAAGATCCAACCACATCGACAGGTGACCACGAAAGCCTTGAACAATTTGAACGCGGTCCCGATCTAGGAAAGGAATTAGAACAAGAAATGCAAAGAAATGAGGCGACGTGGGATATGCTGATTGCAAAACGTCCAGCGCCTGGACTTCCACTTGTGGCCCTGGGAGAAAATCCACTTCGAATCTACTTCTATAGCGTCTTCAATCAGTTAAGCCAGTCACGACCCTGCCATATTCATAAACTACAAACCCTAGCGCGACGATTAGCACCAATTAAGAAAAAAAAAAAATCCCGCATGCCAACGCCGCCTAAAACCCCAAGTCCAAAAATGGGACTCTTTGCTCATCTACGGAATTCTGTCCAAACTTTAAATGCATTACAAAGACTTGGTGCTTTACTGCCAGGATTTCCCCAGATTTCAGGATCAATGCAAGGACACGGCGGGGCCGCCTTTAAACCTAGCAAAATTATAGAATTCAATGCTGATGGAGTGATTGTATTTACATTCGAAGAAAAGGCTCCAGATAAGCAAATAAATACTTGGGAGTGTCTTAAATGGAAGGATTTCACTGAGGAGCAACGGGATGAGGCTCTGAAGATGTACCTCAGCACATGCACAAAATGTTGGCATACCAAGCAATTTAATTTTATGATTGATGAGGCGAAAGCTCTTTCATTTAAAAGTTTGGATGATGCCCTCGACTACAAGATGATCATGCAGATCTTGGATTTTTTGGCCCGTGAGCTAGACCGCGCAGCCCAGCCGGAAAAGGATCACATTTTGAATTGGTTCTTGGAGATATGGGAGGAATTGGAAGCCAAATATCACCACGAATTGTCAATTATCTACGCGACAGTGGAAGATGAGTTTCGTCTGTCTCAAGACTTCAGACGTATCTTGGCGAGCAAAGCCCGGAAACTCAAAGAGACCAACGTTCTTCGCCAGTTATCATTTGAAGATGGTGTATTCCTTCTTTTCATCATCAAAATACGGAGAATTCGTGCGTTGGAAATAGGGAGAACCTTGGTGGGGCAAAGAATGATAAAGAAAATCGCAGAGGAAATAATTGCAGAGGACACAGAGTTAGGAATGAAAGAGTATGCTCTGGCGAAGAAAGGCAAAGCGAAAGAAAGGTCTAAATTAAGAAAAGAGCGGGACGAATATGCCAGGATAATAGCTATTGAAGCTTATTCAATAGCTGAGCAAGTTTGTTCAAAAGAAGTAGACAAATTCGTCGAAAATGAGGTAAGGCCCACAACTGAAAGCGAGAGGGTCCGGGCCAAACGCGATGTTGATATCGCACATGACCTTGAGAGCAATGGATATGGAATGCTAGCCTCGTGGGTGCTGACCAGAGATTTGCTCATTGGCGACCTTCTATACAAAATATATCAACACGTGAAAACTAATTTACAGTCTAATATTGATGGGAGTTACCCGGCTCTTCAGGTTAAAAACCTTCAGAAGCAGGGGGGATCCGCTGTGGATATGAATGATGATGAGGAGCCCCAGACTTCTTGGGCTCAATATCCTCAAGGAAAAGATTCTCAAGCAGAGGATTGGAACGTGGATCCTGATTTTGATAAAGGCCACGCAGGTACTAAGACCCAAATAACTCGAGTAGGGGAATGGAATATGGACCCTAATGTTGCTGCGGAGTTTGAGCGAATACTTTTTCAACCATTCCTCAATACCCGTGAATATATCTTGGGCTTAGTGAAGAAAACAGATATGGAAGAGTAAAGTTAGATACAAAGGATTAGAGAATCTGGTCTGAAGCGGAAATTCTGCCGTGAAATTGTCATGAACTCGAAGACAGATTTTGGGGACACGGAACATTTAGTTGACCAATAGCGAGCATATATATTAGTGATGATTGGTAGTATAGGATATACGAATCATTTTCAGCGGCCGTCCGTCTCTTGTGGAGTTTACCGATGCTGAGTGAGTGGTGAATCACCAGAGAAAAATGATAAATTGTGAGCCTAGCTAGATGAGATATAGTTGATGCTCGACACTCAGAAAGACGGCTTAATGGATAAACATTGAAAAAAAAAAAAGATGAATCAAGAACACCCTATCATGTAATTTTTATAAATGATCCGTGGTACGGACCTGATTCTGGGAAAGTGGCATATAAAAAGATCCGCTGGGACTCATTGCTTTCCCTTGAACAGTGTTTGATTTCAGATGTCTGGTGTACAGATATAAAGAGATTAAGATTATCATGAAAAGTGTCATTACGCTAGGTTATCGCGTCCGACCTGTAATGTCGTATATGGCTTTTCGGAAGATTCGAAAAGAGGAGTGTGCCGCTCCCACATAAAAGAAGAACGCACGTATAATGGACAATGTAGTATTGGCGGAAATGGCTGCAAGCATCTTGTCATATGCTAGACTACTCAGCACTCGCATTGACAGTAACCCTCATTTACACAACACATAAACATGATAAAGTGTATTCCCAATTTTTCATGGCCGGTGAAACGGTGTCGTTTTAGATCAATTCTTTTGCTATGGCTCGACTGGTTATATTGATCACACACTGTGGTGATTGCTGTGAGAACTAAAATACGAATGGAGAGGCGTATATTGTGCTAGGATATGCATTATGCGCTTCTTGGTAGGTAAGAACATTCCCGCTTGTAGTTTTAAGCGCCAGGTTTCGCTTAATACATACAAAATGTGATCAACAATTGTGCCGCGATCCCTAGAATAGCAGTAGGATTTTAAGTTTTGATTTCAACCACAGTTTTAATCACTTGAAATGGTTTTGTTTGACAAAAGCAAACGTCCGAGGATATCACAAGCCTTAATAGAAATCGCTGAAAGATGGTATTGGAGCTTCGCGATTGGTTTCATCGTCTTGTATGGAGTAATGAAATTACAATAGTTCTTCTGCCACATCAGACGGGCCTCGTCCCCGGCAGACAACGTGAAAGTTCTTGAAAGACATATATAGTAGATGAAGTACTCTCATTTCAAGGACTCTCAACTGAATAGGTCAATTCCGGAAACATCACATATGCAACAAATTGAAGCATTCAAGGCTCTCATAAACAAAAATTTCTGCTGTGTCATCCAATGGTAGGTCCAGTGGAAAAGCCGTGCGGTTTTTCAGCTGGGAGTACCCTCTGACGTTGTGCAGGCACGATAAGCTTAACGGGAGAAACTATTCATTGACTTCAATGCATTCGAAAGACGCTCATTCCGTCCACCAGCTGTCTCAAGATGATGTAATCCAGATCGTTTTTGGTGTCATAGCAACAGTACTGGGAGCCCTCAGTGTAGTTTTGGCGTGGGTGATGTGGAGATCGCGTAGGACGCGAATTGAACGGGACTCTTTGAACGAAGGCATACCTCTGCTCTAGGCGATGAAATTTTAAGGGTTGTGCTGACGCATACAGTAGGCTCATCTTCAGACGCTTTTGAGCTTCGCCTAGTAGTCGCAAATGCAAGTGACATAGCATAGGTCTGGAGGAAGGAATCGATTGTGAGCAGCGAGCTCGGAATATGCTCGACTGGGGGTCGCGAAAGTACCAGCGGGGGATTCAAACATTCTGTCAACTCCTTGAGGGACAGTGCTTGCGGGCAAGCTTGTTTTCCTCGAAAATAATGAAAATTCATGTAAACGAGATCGTTGCTCGCCCGGCTGCAAACGACATGTGTGGATGATTGAACACACGAATAAAAGCATCGAGTGGATTCAGCTGCGTAGGCTATAATTGCTTAGACATACTACTTCCCCAAAATCATCAGATATCCCGTGGACCCCTGAAAAAAATCGAGTGATCCCTAAAATCCAAAGAGGTTTTTGCCCTCTGCTATACCTTCAGGAAGAGGCACATTAGTCACCACATTACCAATTTTGGCTTTGATCTCCTTGGTCTGTATTTGAATCTCCTGCACCCTGATCAATTCGTTGGCGGTTAATCGCTCGGTAGCCTCAATAAGCTCTTGGCCCGGTGGCAACAACGTCCAAGCAATACTAATGTGAAATGCCTTTGACAAATCAACCATATCAACAAAATTCTCCTTTTGCTGTGTCTTTGCCTTGAAATTTTTGACATCTCTGGAGGGATGAGCAATTTTGGTGCCATATTCACTGGCTCTAGAATCTGCGTATAATGGCGGCTGTCCAAATTCTTCTACGACTTTATTGCTCACATGGAGTAATTTGTTCAAGGCATTGCTTTTGGGTATGTTGAGACGGAGGACTAGGAACCATCGAGTCTTTTCATAATTCGGAACCCAAGCTAAGCCGGAGAAGCCGATCTCAAATCTAAAGAAAGATTAATCACGTGTCGCTGCTAGTTGGATTCGGACATGGACTTACGGACGAATCCCGGAAGATTTTATAGCTTGCTCGAATGAATTCAAGAAGCTATCTTTGACATCTTTAGAGAATCCAATTGCTCGTGAAAGACTAACATGTAAGGGAAGAGGGACTCCAAGATCACTTGTTAAAAATGTCTGAATCTCGAATCTTTTGAGCGAAACAACTTTTGAGATCAAGGATGATAATAAACGGAATTCTATCGTCGAAGGATACCCTCGATTGAATTAGCAAAAAGCTTGAAAATGATTAATTCAAGGCATTGATAGGTACTCACACTCAATATAAATATGTGTTGGCCAATTTCCCTCAATATGGGGAATGACTCTTTTTCTCCCTCCATGTAAACTTGGATCATCGCTTGTACTATTTCTTACTGTTGACGCATAAAGATCATGAAATTTGGAGGGTAGTGGAGGTAATTCTGATGAACAAGAAATGCTTCTTTTTCGCTTCAAATTATTCGAATTTGAAGTTTTGGTGGTGATATTCTTTTCATCCTCTTCATTGTGTTGGTGTTTCTGATCAAAGTCGTCGTCTACATCATCTTCATCAGACGAGGTATAATCCACTAGAGCCATTACGAATTTTGACTTCGGTCAGCCTTCCTTGGTCAAAAAGTATGTATGGTATGATTGCGAATGAGGAACCAAAGAGATGCACCAGAAATGACAGAAGTGACAGAAGCAGCAAATTAGTGTGAATGAGGACAAGTGCCGGGTTTGATTTAACTGGGACTCCGATGAACAGATTCGTATGCTAAACCTAGTATATTCCGTATGATGGTATGTATGCCTAGGTAGCTGGCCGGGCTTCCCGTGAACGTGTGATTTTAGAGTCCAAACTGAAATCCGAATTGATGTATTTACACGAACAAATCAAGCTTCATCAATTAATGATTAATGAAGCTTTGAATCAATTTGTGGTCCAGTTATGGTCCAGAATCAAACATCCAAAGCAGAGCACAGGTAACGATTTTAAACTTCGACCCAAGGATTTTTGTATTCGTGGCAGTGCGGCTGTTCAAATGATTCCGACCCTGGGCTCCTGGGCAAAATAAAGTCTAGAACCACGTTTGACCCAATCAATACAACCAAGATCAGACGTCAGCGTGTTGGGTCGTGTTAAGGATTTGCGGAGTTGGGGGTGTTTTTGGTTCTCGTTTACTTTTCTCAATGATCTGCGGAATCATTATTTTTGTTGGAAGCGGAGTCTGTCTTTAAGTACCTGACTAATCAGTATTTGGACATTTGAGTGGAGGCTGGGGCTTTGAGGGTACGTTTACAACAAATCTTCGCCCTATCTAGCGTTATCTAGCTCTTTCTAATCCGGGACCAAAAATACAACTGTACAGTGTACAATGAATGAACCGTATAAATACACTAGAATTACATCATCGATGCCAAGGATACCCTGAAATGCTGCGTACGACGTACTATATCTTTTTTTTTCTTTTGTTAACGCATCCGGCCTGAGTCTTCCTACAATTAATTATAGTAATGAGCTAATGACCTACTTTTACTCCCTAAGTCTCGAGTAACCAGTTCCTTTCATCTCATGCAGCCATCTTTTCTTCTCTTTCTCTTCCTCTGCCTCTCGTCTTCTCTTGCAATACCTAATCAACCAACCGAAAAGTCTCCTGTTCTGTTGTGTCTTCACTACTCAAGTACAACCAAAAGAACTGCTGATTGACATTCTATTACGGAGTACGGCTCATTCGGAATCACCAGATTCAGTCATCACACCATATTTGGTTGAGAATTATCTTCAAAATGGAGAGCTCAAGTGACAAGAAATGGGTATGTTAAAGGTTTCCATTTGTATCGCGATCCAAGACACCAAACTATTCATTTACAACACTCATATTCTAAACTACAAACAAGTAATACAATGACCACTAATAACCCTTACTTTACTCAGGCTCAACAGTACCTAATCGATCCTCTCAACGGTCCCGAACCTAGCGAAGAAACAGGTCCTGGAAGTCATTTCAAATCTTCCATTCCACAAACCAAATCTAGCAGTTTCGGCAGAAGCAGTTCAACCAAGAAAACACCCCAATCAACCGTAACATCCTACCCAACACCCCCCGCCTCAGCTAGTCCCACCAAATCCTCCTTCAACTCTAGAAATCCATATGCATCTCATCGCCAATCAGCATTTGGCAGCTACTCCAATTCTAACAGCGGAAACCTACGCAAAAGTCTCGATGAACCTATTGGTGATGGTAATGGCAAGGGACGTCGTAGAGGTAGTTCACTAGGTGAACGTTACCCAGGCGATATGTCACATAGACCCCTGGATCAATTGCGTCAGGAGACCAAAACCGCATACCGTTCTCCTCATCTCCGTAAGAAGCACATTCCAGGTGCTGATACCATCGACTCTCTTGACCGTACCGCTGTTGGTGGTGCATATCATCATGAAGGACCATATGATGCCACACTAATGGCACGTAATACGAGTTATAAAAACTCACCAGTGGCAGCGGTTGAAGGAACAAATGCGGAGGCTATTAGAGCTACCCCAAGGGAATTTATTCAGGATAGTTTAGATAGACATATTCCATTATCTGGAACGGCTATTATTCCTCCTGGAATGCCTGGTCCAGACGGCAGGATTATGAATTATGAAGAGGGTGCTGATTTGATGAGGGAACCTGATGCGGCTGGTGGTGCATATAAGAGATGGGATCATGTGGTATGTCTACTTCTTTCCCCATGTCCATTCTACTGGTACACCATGCACATTCTACAATTGGACTATGATCCATCTCAGCTCCAACACAAACCTCAGACAACACAAAACCCCACCAACCAACCAAAACTAACGCCAAACCCCTTTTAGAAATACCTCCCCGAAGACTACAAAGGCAAAGGCGAACCCTCCTTCACCATCGAAAAAGCCCTCAAAGAACACAAAGCCTCTCAAAAAAAATCCTCCCACCGCCGCATCACCTCCGACGGAAACTCCATCTACGAAATGCAATCCCGACCCTCCACATCCGCAAACCCAAACTCAAATCTCCGCGTCCCCCCAACCTATCGCCAAAGAAGCGCAAGCGGAGGTAATCTCTCAAGTAGTTCTAGCAGAGACATGAATAATAGCACATCTAGCGGTCGCGCAATGGGAACCGTGGATTTCTCTACTGATGAGTCTGGAATGGGTAATAGTAGACTTAGGAGTCATAGTGCAGGGAGATCGCATAAGATGGGTGAGGGTCTCAAGAGGAGATTTGGGAGTTTGAGGAGGAGTTTGAAGGGGGAGTGAGTGAGGATTAATTTCTCCTGGACTAGATTACAACCTTTTCTTTTCATTGTGGTAATAAATTGGTTGCGGTTTAACCACTGGTTAAAAAGGGGGAGGGAATATAATGATCTCGGTTCTTGAGAGAAGAATATTAAATATGAAATATGAATATAAAGTTGCTTTGAACATATACGTGGATAAAGGAAAGCGATAGAATATGCATTTCTATATATTCTTAATGACAGAAATCGAAAGAAATGTATTTGATGAAAGATAATCTAACTAACTTTATAGTCTAGTGAGTATCACAACCATCCCACTCACCATCCATTTCAACAACACAATAAACAACATAATACTTTTTAACTATCCATGATGTCCTTCCTATATATACCATAACAATACATATATCAATATAATATACCCTACCAATGTACCATACCATACCAACATACCAACATATTTGTATAGATACAAATACCAAAACCCCTTGAATCGATGCTATACCATGCCATACAATGCAATCAAAAAATAATCGCCCCATCTTCCATAATCCTACTTTTCCTTCATTTACCTTTCTCCCATTCGATTCCATCCCATGCCATGCCATGCCATCCATCACATACCCCCACCCTCCATTACGCAGAATATAAAACCCCATTCCAAACTCCATAAAACAGAAAAAATGCACCAATGTACCAATGTACCAATGTACCAATACTAATCCGGGTATCCCACGCATCGCATCGCATCACATACATCAGTCACAAACCTTGCAGACAAAAAATCCCAAACGCCATTATGATGCATAAACAGTCGATGCATAAACAATCGATGATTGATGTAGGCCATCTAATCTTTTACCCTTTCCTCCATTAAGAGCATCTCCCAGAATCTCAGACATAAAACCAAATATAGGGTCTGTATGTATGACTACTGCAATTCTGTGTCTTGCATAGCTCGACTTTTCGCAACTAATACTTCAACTTTAGGTATTAAATCTGGCATGCGAAATGGTTTAGAAACAACATCATCCTAAGTTTAATCATTAGCCACATTCAAACAGATGACATTTCTTTTGAAACAGAATAGGTAAAGGAGTTTTTATGTACCATTCCAGTAGCTAGGGCCGTCTCAATTTGTTCCAGTCTTGCATTTGCTGTAACTGCAATTATTGGAACGTGACGAACAATCGTTCCATCGGCTTCTAGTGCTCGTATCTTTTTAGTGCAAGTAAGACCATCCACTAATAGGTAAAGTAAATTGTAAGCATTATATTCGAAAGTTCCAGAACTGTGAAAAGGCATGTGCACATACTTATTGGCATTTCAAGATCCATTAGGACACACGAGATGTTGGTTCTCTCACCACTCTCGCCCCTGTTCTCCTCATGCTTCCAAAAAGAAGATGCTTCTAGTTTATGCAAAGCCTCCAAGCCATGGTTGCTAACTTCTGTCACAAATCCGGCTCTGTGTAATTGTTTTTGCAATACGCGTTGATTTACAAGATTGTCTTCAACGATAAGAATTGTAATATTCTTGTAATCTACCTTTGGGCTGGGTGATATCCTAGGTATATTTATTGACTCTTCACGTACGGATCTATCTCAACGTCAGCGAAAAATATTGCAATGTGCTGGACCAGAAATTCTTCATCTCAGATGGATAAAAGAAATACTAAATATACGTACTGGGTAGGGATACGCTCTTCAATTGAGTTGTTGGTACTTTCTCCAGTTGCGCGATTTGGTGTGCGCAAGGAGGGCTTCCGATTAACGGCGTTGTGAGTTGGAGAGGATAGAGGTGATGTTTCGGGCGTGCGATCGGCTCTTCGAGCTTTCACATAGAATGCGAAACAACTACCCACACCTTTCTCCGAAGACACTCCAATTTGCCCTCCTTGGAGTTCGGTTAATTCTCTTGAAATGAACAATCCTAGACCTGATCCGCCGTATTGGACGTGAGTACGTGGAGATGCTTGCGAAAATCGTTGAAACAGAATCGAAACTTCTTTTTCGTCAAGTCCCCTGCCTGTATCTTGAACTGCAAACTTCAAGTATAAATTTTCGCCTGTGCCCCATTCTGCTTCATCCATTACCAAATCCGCAATACCCGAGCGGGAAGGGAAATACTGAACAGTGGTGTCTTTGTCTGCTGGATGTTCTTTCGTCGCCCCAATACTCACAACAATTAAGCGTTGGGGTTGACCAGTGGTGAATTTGATAGCATTGGTCAGCAAGTTAATCAGGACTTGTAGAAGCCGTGATGGATCCAGTTTTACCCAACTGATATTGAGGTCAGAATATGAGTCCTGGATTTGAAATTCAATAGAGATGCCGTGTTTTTCTATATCTCCTTCAAACATCTTGATGGCGCGCCTGGCCACAGATACTGGCTCTGATGAGACAGGTGATACGACCAAAAGCGCCGAGTCCAATTTTGACAAGGTCAGAATATCATCGACAATGCGCTTCTGATGTTGGGCACAAAGTGCGATAGTTTGTGCCGCATCAATACTACTTTCGATGTACTCTGAAATCTCCTTGGACGCCTCCACATCCTGCATGATTGAAACTAACCTTTTGATGGTAGGAGAAGTCAGAGCACTGGTGATCTCATCCGAGCATTGTAGAATCGCGCTCAAGGGATTGCGCATCTCATGACTGGTCATATCAATGAAATTCTCCTGTTGTCGTTTAAGCTCGACTGCCTCTTCCATCTTACGTTTCTGGAATTCTTCTGCCCATTTTTGATGCGATATATCCGTGATACAACCGAAGATGCTCATCAAATTATTGTCTCCATCTCTCAGCACAGTGCAATTCATGAGAGCCCACGTATCGGTCAAAGCATGCTTACTTTGCCATGGTGTTTTGAAACGAAACTCTTTTGTCACGTTGACTTTCTGCGTGACTACCCTGTTCCAGGTAGCCTGGACTCCTTCGCGGTCTTCTTCTTTTATACTATCCATCCATGACTTTGCGCTATTTTCTGTTCGAGGATGTCGCGATATTTCCCACCAAGCATCGTTAGAGAATGTGATCTCACCATGGGCGTTTGCAATGAACATCCCAACAGGAGCCATTTCAGCCATGCGAGTAAATCTGCTTTCACTTTCCACCGCTTCTTGAGTGCGCAGGCTGACAAGCTCCGACAATTCCTGACGATCTTGCGCTGCGATGCGTGCTGCTTTCTGACCTTTGCGAATTTCTTCCTCGTAAAGAACAACCGACGCCATTGAAGTTGCTAATTGGCGAGTCGTGAGCTCAACAAACAGACTATAATCATCATCGTATGGTCTTCTGGGGTTCACACCCATGACCAAAAAACCTAGTATAGATTCTCTACTGGTGGCATGAAGGGGTATGACCACAGCAGCTCGACAAGGATCACCAAATCCTACACATTCAAGACCTTCGATGAGTCCCCGTGGCAGAGTACCCTCCTCGGTAGTAAGAAGTACAGGTCGATCAAGCCTCATAGATTCTCTCAGATATGGGCCAAACCCATCTTCACTGAGGTGGAGATCCAATGGTGTGGCAGCTGATTGATGACCTGAAGGTACACCTATTGTTCCCTCCAACACACAACAAGGAGCTTGTGATATGCTTCCAGAGTTCAAGGATCGCTGTGAGCTCATGTCGCTATCAACATCCTCATTGACCGAATAGAGAAGAGCAAATGGTATGTCAAAGGGATTATACTCTAAGGCTTTGATGACTTGTGACCAAAATCCTTTGATATTTCTGGCGGTGGCTGTCTTTTCTCCTACTTCTCGCAGAGTAAGCATACGACGTTCCGAAATCACTCTTCTCGTTTTCTCCCATGCCGGATTGTATAGCCCGGCTACAGAACCATCTTCCCCGACTAGTGGAATAATACTCCAGGCAAAATAGCACTCTTCTAGGTAACCATTTCGCTTGATGAAAAGTCGATCTTCATCCTTCATGGTAGCTTGGCCGGATGATTTAGCTTTTGAAAATACCCCTTCGATCTCACCCCATATTTCCACCCAACCAGTTTTGTAGCTTTGTCCCATCAAGTTGGGATGCTTTTGTCCGGCTAGTAGTATATATGCTTCGTTATATATGGCTGTATAGTCACTTCCCCAGTACATGGCGGCCGGGTGAGGGCTTCCCATAATGAGATTGCACATGGCTCTTAGGTCAAAAGTCCAGTTTTTCATTGGTCCAAGAGGGGTTGCCGACCAATCGATACTACGGGTGAATTGAACATGTCGAGGTAATGCTGCGGACAGTGGAAGTCTCGTCCAATCGAAAGAGGACCCATCAATTCGTGGTACGTGATACCTTGAAACAAGTGTCTCGGCTGGACTTGAATCTGGTACAGTGGGAGCTGGGTCCCCAAAGTAATCGGTTCGCTCAGGGAATAGGCTAGTTGAGCTTGACAAGTCTTGAACTACTAAAGAACCTTGTTTCTGCGAAGAGCTGTTATTATTTGCGTTTGATGAGGTGGTATTAGTTGTTGGAAGTTGAGCTCTGATGCCACTCATCACCCGAAGACGTTTTCGTAGAGTCGAACAACTCCATGTGAAACCGCCATACAAAAATGATGGTAAGCATATATCTAAAGATTCGCTTTGTTTGCTCACAAAACTTAGTACCCATGCTTTAAACTCCGGAAATGCATTAGTGACAATAGTGGGAGAAGATAGATCTGCAAATCCTGCTACCATTTCCAATAACGGGCTGATGGCGCGCAGTGATGCATTCGCATACTCTACTCGTAAACGACCGCCGGGTATGTAATTATCCTGATTAGAAACATCTATTATGAAAGTTGGCCTCTCATCTTGTTCTAGAAGTTCAATTATGCCCACTTTATAAATCAATGAGCCTTCTCGAGGGTTCGTCTCCAGTTTGGGCGTATTCGCGCGTCTTTGTATTCCTAGTATCGGCGTGGGCCCGGTGGATATCCCAGGAGGATTCGAGTTATTCCCCAGAATATTACCACGGGCTAACCTTTGAGTAAAGGAGCGTTAGTATTACCCCGGCTCTTCAAAATATAATGAATGTGAAAGTGATGCCATAGGTATTCCAAGGAATCTTGCTAACAATTCATATATTGTGAAAGTTATCAACATAAGAAATTTAGTAGCGAACTGACTTGAGTGTTGCTGTACCATTGCTATCCAATTCTGGTTTCGACATAACTGGTGTATCTATATTCGGAGATCTCGGGCAAGAATATGATATTTTGAGTTTGTGGGTTGTGAATCGGGGAGATCTGGGAGACTGTAGAGTTGTAGAGAAATCGGCGGCTGCTTCATTATCCGGTTGGGGGATATGACAATATTTTAATTTTGCGCACTGTCGTTTTGACTGGACATATAGAAACTGTTTAGTTTGGAAAACGTGCAAAACAGACCAAAAAAAAAGTATTGAAGGAGGCCTACCGGTGGTTCCGGGATTGCAGTATCGATGGTTGTCCCCGAAACATTATTATCCTCCTCTCTAGAATGTTTTGAGTGCTGTCGCGACAACGACGGAGGGGCCGTCGATGGAGTGGGAGATGAGACGGCGGCTCTTTGAATCTCTATATCCTGTGATTCTTCTGCGTCTCCATATGAAGAAATAGACCAGGGGTTGGAGTCTCGCAACAGTGGTAGTGAGATACCAACGATACGAGTGATTTGAGGTTGAGAATGGGATTTTGACGTGAACAGTGGAGTTTCTTGAGAATCTCGAGTTTCTAATTCTTCTGACCCGTGTGTTGGAATGGACCCCTGTCCCTTTGTCCGATCCAAGCTAGATCCATAGCTCTCGACCCCACATGACGTCTGTGTTTGTTCTGAAATTGGGAATGGTAAGGGTATCGGTGTGGGTAATGGTAACGGTATTTTTGGTATGGGATTTTTGGTGATTGTGATTGTTCCGAGACCGACTTTGCTATTAACTTTGTTCGCTCCTTGGTGTCCATGACGGCGGTGGTGGTGATGTAGATGATGATGATGAGGATGATGATGGAAGCTGTCGTCAATTTTGGAAGCAAAGATAGATTTGGATTCCGAGTTCATTACGAGTACGAGTAGGGAGTGCTTCTATTAATATGAATGAATGTGATTTGGTGCGCTCGGTTCGACAAGGATTGCTTTAATGCATCCCATATATTCATATATTCCGTATCTCCGCAGAAAGGTAGAGGGGTGGGAGTGGAGGCGGATAAGGCGGAATCAATTCTCAATCCTCCAATGCTCAACTCTCTGCTCAGGCTGATTCTAGATGGAGTCAAACAAGACCTAAATCAACTCAAACCAATTGGTACTATGACAGCCTCAAAGGACTGTTAGAATCTGGCGAATCGGTAGACCTATCGACGGCAGTAGGTATTGTATTATTTAACAATACCTAGGTTAATAGCTAGTCTGGAAAGTGTGAGGTGCGGCTATAGATAGATGTTGATGATAGGTGTCAGTAAATAATCCTTCATGTATCCGTAGTGATCCAAAATGGCTTCGTGACTCGCTATTGATTTCGATGTTGAGGTTGATTCGTTCCAAAACAAAAACAGCAGCAGTAGAATTCATAGCTGAGCAATTTACTTGTAAGGTAAAGTGGTACTATATTTTGTGAGTTGACACTTGTGGTCACTGGTTGAAGTTTCTGCTGCCCTGTGGTTAATCTTGTAAGACTTATTACTCCGTACATCCAAGAATGAATGGGTGGGTTCCACGATAGAATTGGTGAATCCATCTGCTTAGTACACAATACATAACTACCTGGTGTGGGTATGGCAGCATCCGCATGTCCTAAGTACTTACTTACATACCACCTATAGAAGAATCGAGATGACATGACAACCCTTCTCTTCCCCAGCGCTTCCTTATTTAGATACCTCTTATATTAATGTAGAGGTAGGCACTTTTCGTGTATAATTCTATTCAGGATAGTTAATTAGTTTCACTAGGCCAAAATTTATTTTAATCCTAGAAGTATAAGATAATGATATTGATAGAGTGAGTGAGTATCTACTAGGTATACATACTGTACTCCGTACTCCGCACCGTACTGCAGCTAATCCCCTCAGGGAGCGAACCAATAATAACTCATGTCTATTGCCTCTTTTCCCATCATGTCGGCTAAGTAAATGACAAGTCTCAGGCAGTGAGTGTAAGGTTATAGACATGTTACTGATGTCTACATTATTCAAATTCCACTCAGATATCTACCTGCTAAGTACTTATTGATTGCTACCTAATGATTTATATGCCGACCATCATCTGGTCCCTCTAAAAACAAATCAATGCCATCTTTTCAAGTACACCACGTGAACGGAACAACACTGAAGTCTCCTTCACTCTTGATCATTTGATATCTTATGATGTCTGACAAGTCCCTTGTGCGTTGAGACTTTTCCGAGGTCCCGCCTGACGTGACCTTAAAGTTACTGAGAAACACAAAATTTCCGAAAAGCGTACCGGTATTATTAAAGTGGAAAGACAATTGCTTGTATTGAAATGGACATGTTATTAACTCTTCTATTACGATCTTACAGCCAAAAATCCACGATAGATACCCCGGTTTTCTACTAGGTCAACATTCTTCGAAATACTCGAGTCCTGTTCGCATAATTCATTCCCTTTTCAGCCTATTCCATGTTGCCATTACATTCCAGAACTCTGCACATTCGGAGCGATGTTCCGATAGTTTTAACTTTTGTTAGCAAGTTGATCGACCTGTCAAAATGCTCATCATTTTGAGGTTGAAAATGAGATCAGTGTTGGGAGTTGAATTTTCTTTCCATCAACTTGAAAATAGCCTATCAATTGTCCTGGCACTACGAATTTGAGGCAGTGCTAGCTAGCACGGCCTAGCGGTCGTAGCCATCGCAACTAAACGTTTAGCCTCCCTTTCTAACTGTGTTTATCTAGATATACCAGTTTCCTTGGACATACTTTTGCAAAACCCCTGTGTCCGCCATGCGATTCAGGTACTATTTAAGCTAACATCGCAGGTCGAAAATGGCTTGTTTATTAATCAGCATTGATGTTCGGACGTCGCGATCGATATTTTCATCAGGCTTTCTGGAGCATATATGATCCTCTAAATCTAATAGTCAGTCAAATACTGCTGAAATAAATAAATTCTCGGGTGGTAGTGCCAGTCACTATGAAGGATACTCCAGAAGGGTCAGCGGTTGGCAAAGCTAGCGATGTACCTAACACAAAGTGCCCCAAAAGCCGGCCACCGGCTGGCCTGCGCGAGAAGATATTACGGAAACCGCTGCCATACTACAGTGGACCGTATTCCGTTGGACAAATGGACATTGAAGTACCCGTGCGAGAACCAAGGACATTCTCTAATATCAAGAGACAACATAAGCATGTTTTGAACCTCGAGACCGTCCTGTTCAGCATTTTCTATCCTTCTGGATTTGGATCAGGTGAAGGGGTCTCTCCCGAAGGAGAAAAGAATTGGAGTCGAGCAACATGGTTACCAAGGCCTCGTATTGAGACGGCAAAAGGTTATAGCAAATTTGCTGGTCTTCCTTCATGGCCAACTATCGCGTGGTTCGGCATGACAACCGCTTTCACCAAACTTCCTGCATTCCGTAATGCCAAGTTGGCAACACATTGGCCTCCTGAAAATGCACGAGAATCTAAATCGGGATATCAGACGAAGAATAGCGCAGCGGACCCCCCTCCTGGAGAGCCAGAATCACCATGTTTTCCGTTGTTGATTTTCAGTCATGGCCTGGGGGGAACTAGAACTACATATAGTTCTGTCTGTGGAGAATTTGCCAGTTATGGATTTGTAGTTGTGGCTGTGGAACATCGAGATGGGTCGGGACCACGCACTTTCATCAATTTACCAAAAACCGGCGATAAGTTTGGGTCACAGAATGTAGACCATACTGATGAAGCACGTGATAGAGGCTATGAGAGATTCGATTATGTTTTTCCCGAAGGCAATGCCAGAGATACTTTCCCTAATAATGAACAAGGGTGAGCAAACCACTTTTTACTTAATCGAAGGGTCTAAGATATTTGGAGCATGAAAGTAGGAATATCTGAAGTCTGTTCAAAACTTTTGGGGAACATATCCAAGTGGAAAAAGTCAATACGCAATACAAATGAGCTGAAAATAAGAGATACTCATCCAGAGACTGGAAAATCATACAATATGGTGTGCAACTATTGACCCATTTTTAGTGTCGACGCCGAACTCCGCGCTGCGCAAATACAACTGCGGCTCGCCGAAATCGAAGAAGCATACTACATCATGACCCAAATTCACGATGGAAGTGGCTCTCAAATAGCCCAAGCCAATCTCCGTGAAAGCTCTCCAGGCCGTATCGGTGGTTCCTCTCGAGGTCTCAAGGGCATAGACTGGGAAAGCTGGAAGGATCGCTTTCACCTCCAGCAAGTTACGATGCTGGGACATTCTTTCGGCGCCGCCACCACAGTCGAAGTTCTCCGCACCCAAACTGAGCGATTTCCCTACGTTTCGCAAGGAATTCTCTATGATCCATGGGGAGGCGCAATCCAACAAGCAGATAGTGAATCGAAGTACCAGATTCATAAACCGTTGCTTTGTATTAATAGCGAGGCTTTTATGTACTGGCCTTCGAATTTTTCCAGCATCATGTCACTTTGTCGCGAAGCGAAATCCCAAGGTACACTGTGCTGGCTTCTTACCGTCCGCGGCAGCGTTCACATTTCGCAATCTGATTTCTCGCTCCTTTATCCGAATGTCAGCAGTTTTCTTCTGAAAATGACGGTTAACCCACGCAGAGCTATCGATTTAAATATCAACGCCAGTTTGGAATTTTTGAAAATGGTAATGCCGAAGAGAATTAGTGCGATGAATAGAGGTACGGATGAGGGAATCCTTCAGGTTGAACAATTGGATCGGTTGCCTGATGTGCATCAGCCGAAGGATAAATATATTGCGGGTAGATTGAGAATTCCACATGAATTACGCATTCGATTAACGCCATTGTGGATGAGGAGATATAAGGGGGAAAAGGTGAAACAGCATCAGGAGGGAGGTAATGGTAAATCTGGGAATATCAAACGGGGGAAAAATATTGCGAGGGATCCGTTGGGAAATGTATTACCGGGTTTGGAAGATTTGGAGGTGGGAGAAGAGGTTTGGATGCATGTTGCTCCTACGGCGGAAGAGTTGGTAAGGCATGGTATTGAGGGGAAGAATGGGAATCAGAGTGCGGCGAGGGAGAGGGATAGAGATGAGCGGAACAGAGGTGGTATGGTGGATTCTGGGGGTCCTGGGGAGGGAGGGGAACAGGAGAATGAGGGGGGTGGGGTGGTGGGCCATAGGGGGATTGAACAGCGGATGATGGATAGAGGGTGATTGATTGATGATGATGTATAGAGGATGATGCATAGAGGTCGAGAGAAATAAAGGGTGCAGACTTGTATTGATATTATGTCAGATTTTGTATTATAGGTATGTAGATATTGTAGATTCTTTAGAATTGATAATTGTAAATATATACAGCGAGTAAGATCTTACAATCTGTCTTTCTTCTCAACATAGAAGATTTTATAATCGAATACTTATTTCCTCGTACTCTCACCTCTATAACTCAGCACTATATATTAATTTCTTATAATCTTACTATACCAATACCTCAAAATAAGAGAAATAGAAAAATGAACAGAATATATGGAGTATATGGCGGGGTAGGTAGGTTTTAATGGTGGGCTGATGAGCTTACACTATACAGACTTTCTTTTAGTACAAGATATGGGAAATACATAGCATACCCTGTATTCGGAACGGGCCGTGAAGGAGTGGTGTTCTTATGTTTAGTATTATTTTGGTTTGTATGATTTTGACAGGATGAGGTGAGATAAGATGAGATGATTTTCTAACTTTTCTAAATGATTGGAAAGAGTGTGCGGTTAAATAATGTAAAGCTTTATGCTTTATGCCATAGGTGAGATAGCGCGAGAATGGATGAAAATACTCTGTATATGTGTTAAACATGCAGTCGGATGTAATACAACCGAGCCAGCTGAAATACCGTAATACAGGGTCCACAAAGTTCGAACACTTATTAGCTAGATCCTGGTGTCGATCTTTTTAGGATGGGTTTCTAGAGTGAAGTGGGTTGATTCTTGGGGTCGAGTCCAGACGCATTTATTACACGAGATGGTGTTGTGGTGGACACTGGAAACCACATACGGTAGAAGAAAAGAAAACGAAGCTGGATGGTGGATCAGTCTGAACCCTTGTATAACACTGTACGTACACTGTACAGATGTACATGGTAATTTGTAACTAAAAGAGGTATAAATAACAAAGCCCTTATCCGATTTCTGTAAAGTCTGCTTGCTTTAACCTGAACCATTCACATCGCCGATGCAGTCTCATTTTCTTGTTTTGGGTGCGTGTATTTACTTTGCACAATCAATCAGAATGGAAAGAAATAGAAATTCGGTGGACAACGAAAATCATACGTGCAGCGAATATCAATTTCAGCAGCTGCGCCAAGATATAACACGAGCGAAAACTACTAATTAAAGACCAGGGTAATTTTCTAAAACTGTGAGATTCTTTCACCCAGAGGTCACTCTTGCCTTGTTACCTCTTACCTCTTCTCACCTCTCACCTATTACCAGATCACTATACCGAGCTGGAAGGTGGAGAGATAATTAAGACAGAAAGGAAAAAGAGCCTGTAAGATCCGCCAATCTGGGGAAACCCAGAGAATATGCAAAGTAGGTAAGATAAGGTAAGGTATCATTGATATTTTTGGTAATTTGTTTCTTCATTTTCATTTTTCTATCTAATCAATTAGTTCGTGAGTTGGTTGCGTTGTTCTTGATCGTATCATATCTATCATAACATATCACCAACCTACCATCTCTCTGTCTATCACGAGGTAGCATCAATTTTCTTTCCTCTCTACTCTCTACTACTATTGCACCAGCATAGACATTCGTTTTTTTGTTTTCTATTTGATACTGATATTCTGTATTCTGTATTCTGCTACTCTTTTGCACATTCGCACCTTCGCACATTCGCTTTTACAATTTATGTTGTTCAGAAAAAGAAGATAAATACTTCAATAATCTCATTACTTCATATCATTTGCCCTTTACTAGATCTTTGTTCACCAGATAATCTCGAATTGCCGTCTTACAATTCGAGACCAACATTCACTACCCGGAGTCATCATTGAGCTGCGCCGAATAGCTCAAATGTATCCAGCACCCCAATAACCCTGTACTTTATTAATAATCTATCACATTTTAATTCAGGTACTATCTCGAAATGAATTCCAAGGAGAAAGAGAAGCATGGCCGTTCGGAAGCACGGAGAAACACACTTCAACGTATGCTCGATTTAGAGAAGAAGAACAAGGTACGCAAACAATACCTCACATGGCCAAGTAATATTGCCTAACATACATGAAATAGCTGCAGCGCATGCAAGCCTCGACAACGACAGTCAGTCAACCGCTGCGTAATACCTTCTTTCGCGAAAGGCGTCCGAGTATTCCTAATGTATATACCTATGCTCCTCCTCCCGAACGTCCTACCCCAATCAGACAATCAGAACGAGCAATGACTGCTCCAACATTATCCGTTGCAATACCTGCTACGCAGAGCTCCGAAAAGCCTGAGACGAAAATAAAGACACCTAAAAATGTAGTTTTAATTGAGCCGGAAAAGGAAAAATTGATGGAAGTTGAAGCAGACGCGGGCGGTTCTGATGCATCTTCGATATGTCGTTCGCCTGCTTGGGATGGTGGTGATGGCAAGCAAAGAAGAACAGCGAGGAAAGAAGCTCAAGATCTACGCAAGAAGGAAGAAGAGCGGTTAAAGAAGGAAAAAGAAAAGGCCGAAAAGGAGACCCGTGCCGCGGCACAAAAACAAAAAGGACGATTGAGCAAGACGCCTCCAACCAACAAGCGCTCAACTAAAACAGTTCCGGTAGTTCCAGTAGGCCGAGCCAACTCTGAGCCTGCGGTTCCAGTTACTCCAGAAATAACACAATTGGGTCCTGATCCTGATGATGGAAGACGATCAAGGCGAACGAGTTTGGATCTTGGACTCAAGAAGCTTATGTCTTCTTTCAGATCCAGATCTAGGTCCACAAGTGCATCTGCAACACCACGAACCCAATCTATGTCGAACTCACCAAATTCATCGGGATTCATAGGAGGCTCAAAATTACAACAATCTAATGAGAATCAAGCCCAAAACGAAGCTCGTGACGGAAAATCTTCAAATACTAGAACAGCTGGTCACGGTAACAAACCCAGTCAAAGCCGGCCACCAATCTCACTTGAGAACTCTCGATATCGCGCATTGGATCTTTTGAGTTCTTCAGGGACTGGTTCAGGGACCGGCTCAGCAGCTGTCGAATTACCAACCAAATCGCAAAGCGAGGACACTTCTACTCCCCATAACTGGGCAGAGCCAGAGTCCAGTAAACAGCCTTCGGGTGATCTAGAACCAATCATGAGTAGAAATCCTCGAGCCCGAAAGCCGAGTGAAAACTTCAGATCAGATCATATTACTGAGTCAACTGTGAATAAGGCTAAGCCTCAATCGCCTGTTGCTCCTCCATCTCCAGGATTTAGGTTTGGTCTGGAAAAACATCAGACATCAAAGCAAGAAGTACAAGAACCTTTCTATTTTCAGAACTTTGATACCCCTCCTGAACCTGTGAAATCTGAAGATAACGAATATTTCCCAAAGCAAAAGCGACACGGCAAATTAGATCAAAGTAGCTCATCACATGACATCAAATTGGTCACCGCCCCAAACAAGGAAGTCATGAGAAGAACACCATCAATCCATAATGCAAATGGTCGTAGTAAGTCGATATCTAGAGCTAGAAACGATCCGGAATCAGTAGAGAGTGGAGAAAGTTTTCGTGCATTCCTTGGCAGTGAAGGCGCGCCTCCAGGTTTTAAGCTCACAGCACAAGCATCCCAAAGCAGTATTCAACCAGAGGAGGGTATGTTTTCCAGGCGAAATCTACAAGAATTATCTTTGTACCCGAGCCCATTATCAACTCAACCCAAAAGTGACAAGAATGTTGCAACAACCACATTTGGTAAACATTTATCTGCAACGAACTCGCCTTCTTTACAAACTTCCCAACTGGACGCACCTCTCAAAAAGCTACGTCCACAATCCACTCTTTCCCCACGCACCAATGGATTTGATAGCAGATCTATACTGCCAAGTCAATCTGGTCGAAGAGTATCAGAATCGGAGTATTTTTCTCCAATAACATCAGCACTACCTGGAAGCAATCCACTATCGCGGGAGAAAGTCTCTTCACAGGCGGCTAATGTAACCTCACCTCGTCGACAAAAGAAGGATCGAAGATCTAGCTCTAGGTCTTTCACTGGATCAAGTGAGGAGTATTTGAGCTTCGATGAACAATCTAACATTACGACTCCAGCAGTCTCAAGACCACAATCACAAAAGGGTCCCATTGCATCTAGTCATGATACAACATCCCGCCAATATCATAAAATCCAAGATACTTGGAATCAAACTCCCCTTCCTATCAGACTCAAAGATGAAGATGGTAATACTACTACCCCAAGCGGTCAGGCGGCTCTTAAAGCACAGTCTAAAAATCCTCATGCATCTTTAGCTTCTGCGGACCCCAATACAGAAGCGGGAGTTGCAGAGCTTCAAAGGAGACTTAGTTTGAATAAATCTTCATCGACTACTGCACTTCAAAATACTTTGAATTTTCTCCCAAAACTTAAACATCAACCGTTACGTCCACGAAAGGCTCAGGAAAAACGACAAACGAGTGAAGAAAATAACGTGTTGGGAAATAGAAATGAGAATTTTGGAAGAGTAAAACGAGAATCTGCATCCGCATCTGCTTACGCGCAATATAATGATTCGAAAAACTCGCTCATGTCATCACCAGTTCTCAATGGAGGCGAATCATCCAATTCAAATGGAAATTCCAGCTCTCAGAAAGGGATAACAAC